GAATCTGCGAGATCGCTCGAATGGATATTGATCCAAAACCCCGAGGCTATCATTTGCTTAATTGCTGCAATCTGAGTCTTTGATGGAACTGGGAGTTTTTCACCTTTTGTGACAACTTGCTCAGCAATAGAATCCTTTCTCGTTTTTGACTTGACAATGTGGTACACTTGGTACCGTAACTTTTCAATTTCTTCCATTACTTTCTGTCTCAAGTAGCTGGTTTCAAAGAAAGCTTTGCGTTTTTCTGGCTTAATGTGGTCCATGGCACAAACAGCAGAGAGTAGCATGAGTGCATCACTAGCTGGGTCAAGTTGAGTGAATTGGGCTCTTGACTTGCGGAATTTGCTGAGTGTGCTCTCATTTGGATTCTCGTCATTATGAACTTCATGCTGGCCAATGAATGGATCACCAACAGATAAAGCAGAAAACCAATGCAACAATGTACGGCAAACATCCTGCTTGATCCCCAATAAGAAGGATTTTGGCAAACCTAGGACTCAAAGGAAATATAGACATGGACTTTCCTGTTGGTGTGACAGCCTTAGTTTCACGATCAAGAGCTCCAAGAATCACCAAGAGCCTCTCAGCAGCCTTCAATGCAACACGATCTGGAGGGGTTGGAAATGGAAAGTTAACGATTTTATCAATTCCCATGCTTTTCATATTCAAAACCACACTTTCCACTGGCATACGCAAGATTTCAGGCTTGCTAAATTGCAGGAAAAAATCTTCATAAACTGCTGAAGAATAAAGCCTGTAACAATGACCCGGACCGGTTCTTCCAGCACGACCAGCTCTTTGATCCGCCGAAGCTTTGGATATCCAGTCAACCTCGAAAGATTGAACCCCGGTTTCGTCGTTGAATTTTCTTTCCTTTGACCGTCCAGAGTCTATAACGTACCGAATACCGGGAATAGTCAACGACGTTTCAGCAACGTTAGTCGCTACAATGCACATTCGTGCTCCTGCTGGAGGGTCTTGAAATACCTTCATTTGCTCCGAGGTAGGAAGCAAAGAGTAGAGAGGAAGCACATACAATGGGTCGTTATCGGTTTGATGTGCCTCCCTCTCTTCGTCAAAACCTTCTTCTTCGGAGTCTGAGTTGTAGTCGTCTTCAATTTCTTCGACTCCTTTCTCATTTAAGCCAACAGAAAAGTCTATTTCTTCTGCTTCAGAGTCTGCGTCTTTGCTCAATCGAATCTTGGGTATACTTTTGTATGAGGCATTTTTGAGCGGGAATTCTTCTCTTAACCGTTTCACCGTTTGCGTGATTTCAGCTTGACTTGTCAAAAAAATCAATATTCCACCGGGCGGAAGCTTTCGGTGTATTTTACATGCTTTGTTGAAAGCATCGTCGAGATACTCGAACGGTGTTTTCTTGTTGAAATGAACGCTGACTGGATATTGTCTGGCGTCAACCTTGATGATTGGAGGAGGAGACTTGAACAAAACGGTATTTTCAGAAAAGTCAGATACTCGAAGTGTTGCAGACATAATTATCAACTTTAGAGGTGAGTATTTTTTGGGGTCCTTTTGATGATATTGACGTCTCAACTTTAATAATCGACTTAGAAGCCCAATCAAGATATCGGTATTGATGTTTCTTTCGTGGGCTTCGTCGACAATGATAGCAGAGTATTTGGTGAGCATAAAATCAGCCATGATCTCCCTCAATAAAACACCATCGGTCATGAACTTGACTGCTGTTCCATTGGGCTCACCTTCGTTGGAAATTGTGGAATCAAACCTAATTTGATAGCCTACTCGGTGGCCGTGATTTCCAAGTTCTTGACCCAACCGATTGGCCATAGACACAGCTGCAACTCTTCGAGGCTGGGTGATTCCAATCATTCCTTTATGTTGAGACTGAGAATTTCCGTAGCCTGCTTCATAGAGAAACTGTGGTACTTGAGTGGTTTTACCTGAACCAGTTTCTCCACAAATTACTATGCAATCGTGATGGTTAATGGCTTCCATAATGCGATGCTCTTCGTTGAATACTGGAAGCTGCATTCTCAGTTGCTGGATACTGTCAGGTCTGTCAACTGTGACAAAGAAGGCATCTCGTTGAAGGTTCTTGTTAATTGGAATGTACCCTTCTTCGTCAGAAGAATGGTCTATATCTTCTTCTCGCACTTGTGGTTTTGAGTATTCCTGCTTGACTTTTTCGGATACTCGAGGAAGAAGAGGAACAGACTCTCTGCCTTCAAGCTTTTTTACCTGTTCCTCAGCCCACTCCTTAAAAGACTCGGCAACTTTGGAGTGCTTTGGTTTGTTTTGTATCAATCTGGGCATGTCTTCAGAGTCTCCAGAAACCTCAGAGGCGGATTCTGATTCTGAATTTTCCTCCTCTTTTTCAGAGCTTGAATTATTTTCATTTTCGGGGTCAGAATCATTTTCAACTTCATCTTCTGGTTCCTCTTCAGCTTCTTCATCTTCTTCAGAACTTTCCTCAGAATCCTCTGCTTGACTTTGTGAATCGTCACTTTCGCTGGTGGAAACGAAGTCATCTTCCTCCTCCTTCTTTGCTCTCTTCATCTGCTCCATCTCTAGCTTTTTCCTCCAGCTGTACTTTTTCTTGGGCTGCAGCTTTTCTATCACTGGTAAGTTGGCAAATCCGAAACCTGAACCCGAGCCGCCAAATTTGGCAGGCCTGCTATCTATAAACGTTGACGTAGTGGTTCCAAAATCTCCAAACTTGTCAGTCTCATCTTCTTCATCTTCACTATCTTCCCGATTTTCTTCCGTTATTCTGTCCAAATTCAGGAAAATCATCCTCCTTCACTTCTCGCTCTTCGTACAAGATTTCTCTGGTGCGATCACTGGCTCGTCCTTGTCTCTCGAGTTCCAAAGCCTCTACCATTTCCTCTCTTCTCGTCTGCTTTCCAGTACCTAGAAGCTTAGATGGTGCATATTGGGAGGTGTCGACTTTGGTATGGGATAATTTTTCAAGCAACACTTTCTTTTCCTCTCTCTTCACCTGATGGTCAATGTACTTGTCCAACCTCTTTTTCTTCGCTCTGGACATCTTTGCCTCTTTTTCATTGACCAGGAATAATTGTTCTTGAAGCTTCCGTTTTCGCTCCAATTTCTCCTCGTCTGTCATTGGCTTTAGTATTTCAGCATTTGGGTCATTTGCAACTGCTTCGGGTTTCTCATCTTCAACGTCATTAGATGTCTCCTCGGCACGAAAAAACTGTTTATTGCGAGCCTTCTTCAATGCAGCTTGCTTGGCAAGCATCCCGGATCGGGCCTTCTCATTGAATCTTTTTCGGTATTTACCCATACCTCTACGACTTGACCGCGCTGCGATGAGCTTGATGAGCTTCTCGATATCGCGTTCCTGCAGATTAACAGGGGTATTTGGTGGGGAGAGCGAGTGCGTTACAACTGTCAATTTGTTATGCATCCAAGCGAGGTTCAAAAGCATTGTAAGTACCTTTATGATTATGTTTCTTGATATGTGAAACTAACCCAGTGATATATGCTACCTTATCACTTAATAGCACCACTTTGTATACGTATGAGAACTATCAATTACTCCATACACTCAATAACCTCAACTGTTCTGAGATTGTATCGCAAGAATTAGGGTCTATAAACGTTTCGAGGACACTTGTGGGAAGCATACCGATTTCCACCAGCCCGAGAGTAACGAACACACAATTAGCACTTTATTTCTTGAAAAAATCAATCCATAATGAAGACGGAAGTAATGATTTAGCAACCATTATTTGCATTGGTCATGTCAACGTGAACCAGACGTTGGTGTTATCGATCATGAAGAAGATCATGGACAAGTACATTGAGTTTCGGAGCGATAAGACAAGTCTGACACCTACAGATAAGGCTCGTTTGGGAGAATTCAAATTGTATATGAACCAAATTATAAAGTTTGAAGAGATGAATTATGACTCCAACCTGAGAATCTACAGCTACGGAGCAACAGACCAGCGAGATGATGACGGAAGTGGCGAAATAATTGGACCCAATCAACTAGTATTGGCAACCGAAGAAACCCAAGAAGTGCGACAGTTGATGTTGGAAAACATCAACAAAATCATGCATAGGGGAGACAAGATCAACTCGCTAGTCAATCAAACAGATCGTTTGACGAACTCTTCTGCGGTGTTTCAGAGGAAAGCGCAACAAATACATAGAAAGATGTGGCTCCAAAATAAGAAACTCTGGCTAGCCATTGGTGGTACCGGAGCATTGACAGTCTACATTATAGCCAGCTACAATTGCGGTATGGGACTAACGCACTGTCTTTGATGTATAGTATTGAAGCTCAAGCAATTTGTGCAATTGTATGACCCTAAATCTCCTCATCCTCGCTTTCTCTTTCCTGAGTTTCAGCCTCTGCTCCCCCAAGTTCCTGTTCTTCATCGCCCAAAATTTCAATGGGATTTCGTGACTGTTCATCATCGCTTTCTTCTGCATTGGCAACCCCTTCTGCCATTTCAGTGTCTTCCTTTTTATCGTCGTTTTCATCTACATCAGCATCCAGTTCTTCCTCGTTGTCAGAATCCACATTTTTCTTTGGAATAGCAGCCTCACTATTATCCTTCTGTCTTTTTGCTGTGGTCTCGTCTTCTCCCTCCGTAGCTGCGTTAGCGGCATTTTCCTCCTTTTCTTCCTTCTTCTTGGCCTTACGTATAGCTTGTGCCAGTTCAAAGTTCGCCAAACGATCTCTTACTTCGGGTATAAAACCTGTAAATTCTGCTCTCTCGAGTGCTCCCATGATATCTTGGGAGTTAATTCCTTTCCTATCTTGCTCCTTGGAGATTTGTCTGGCGTGAAACATGACATTGGAAACGAAAACTGTCGCCGATCGTTGAAGAGCCAAAAGGGCATCTTTCGCCATAAGCATGTTGGATTCGTTGTCGTTGATCATCAGCTTGGCAAGCTTTTGAATTGTGGATCTGGGGAACAATAAATCATCAATAGACACTGGGGTATCTTCTTTGGGTGGTTCTGGATACTGGCCATCGGCGTTCTTTCTCCAACCTTTTGGAGGCATTTTGATTTGTTATTAAGAGTATGAAGGTCTAGTATGAAGGTTTAGTATGTGGAATAGCCTTGATTTGGTGCAATACCTTGGATATAATGTAATACGTTCAACTAGTTTGTCTACACGTCTCAATATTTGCACGTCTCAATTATTTAATTTCGCGATCGTTCATCTTCTATGGAGGATGGTGGTCAGGTTCCATTGGTTGAAAATGGGTCTAAAGTGCCCAAATCACGTCTTAGGGCACTGAAAAATGACTTCTATGGCATAGTGGACTTCAGAAATATCGACAAGGTGACATTGGGCAATTATGAGTTCCACACTTGGTATGGGAACACGGCCTATTTTTCAAGAGCAAATAATAGCCATCCAGAATTGGGTATTAATACTTTAGTACCGAGGAAAAAACATTTGGGTGGTGACCCAACATCGGACTTTTGGCTTAAAACACTCCATGTTTGTGAATATTGCTTCAAATATTGTGCTGAAAAATCAAGTATGAGTTCCCACCGGCTGGTTTGTACAAAAAATACTCCATTTCCTCAAACCGGCCGCCTTGTATATAGGGATCCCATCTCCAAGTACGTGATAAAACAAGTACGAGGGTACCGACATCAGTTGTTTTGCCAAAACTTGTGTCTTTTTGCCAAACTATTTCTTGACGATAAATCGGTCTATTATAACGTTGATGCCTATGAATTTTTCATTATTTACGGCCATCCAGATACAGGCTCGGAAATAGACCGAAACATGGTTCCTATGGGCTACTTTTCTCATGAATTGGGAGCTTGGGACAACGATAATAATCTAGCTTGCATCTGTGTGTTTCCACCATTTCAAAATCGACGGCTTGGAACACTTCTTATAGACCTTCTGTATGAGGTTCCGCGAGCCCACGGCCAATCAGAACCAACTGGACCGGAATATCCACTCCTGCCGTTTGGAAGGGCTACTTATCTACGTTACTGGGCCAAGCGACTAGCGCACATTCTCCTGTGCTCTTTACAACGAAAGACACTGTTCACACTACAAGACTTATCTGATCTCACTGGATTTCGAAAAGAAGATATACTATTGACATTGGAGTTCATGCAAGTACTTGGCAAGAAAGTTGTGCTGCAAAATGGTGAAGAAGAAGGTTGCAAACCCGTTCTTCTGCTTGAAAATCTCCGCCAATGGTGTGTGAGAAACAGGGTGGAAACGAGTCAGGACATGAGAATGCTCAATCCCGACTACTTGGTGCTATGAGGTATTTCCTAGTGTTAATTATATTGAAGCACTCTCTACACTGTACTATATACCGAACGACCTCATCTGCTCAATAATTCGCGTAGAGAGATCGAGCTTCAATGAACCATGGTGGCAAAAAAGCGCTTTTTTGTGCCTTCTGACTCCCTGAGAGACCTGGAAAGCACACATATCAAGTCTGAACTGTCCAAAGAGCTGGCCTTGTTTGTACCAGATGACGAAGATGACGAAGACAAACCAAACTTATCATCAAGCAACATCGAACCGCGCCAACCTGAAACTATAAATTTGGATTCCGATGACGAAACCAAGCCAAAAACAAGCCAAAGAGATAATAATAACTTGCATCCATCCATACTATATCCAGCATTCGAAAGAAGCATAATTTCCATCCTTGGAAATATCCCATCAAAGAAGATACGACAGCTATATTCAGCATTTTCATTTCAAAAAGATCCTGTAAGTTTGGCAATTGACCGATACTTCTCCGATGCAGAAGGTGCTAGAACTCCATCCCAAGAGCATGAATCAACGGTAGAAAAGAAGAGGCAACTGCCGTTACCATTAACTCCAGTGGCCGCAAATCGGTCGAATGTACAAACAGAAATTACGTCTGAAACCAAAGATCCTCTTAAACGACATATAGGTAGTCTCACTGTTTATGCGTGGGCTACTCGTCCAACTATGAGGCCGCTTTCCCGTTTTCAAAAGTTGCAACTTAAGAGGTTGATTCCACGAAAACTTACTGGTGTGAAAAAGTCACCTTCAAAGTTCGGAGATACTGCGGTTATTCGATTGCTTACGGTACCGGAACTGGCTAACGTAGATGGCCGTGAGATAGGTCGTTTACCGGAAGATTTGACGAGAATCTTTGCTCCTTTACTTGACCTCGAAGTTGCCTGCTTTGAGGCAACTGTTGTCCTAGATACAACACGCCGCCTATCTGTTGGTGACTCTTTCTGTGTTCAAGTAGACTGTTTTCTAACGGAAAATGCTTTCGAATCATCGATCGCTGCCTCTCTTAATAGTGGTCTCACCAAGAAAAGAAAGATAGACCAAAGCACAAGGTTCAATTTCGCTACTGAAACAGAATCGGAATCTGTTCTCAGACTCCGTCAGACTTCACTTTCACGGCTATTTGATAAGTTGGGTATAGTGCCCTTTGTTTTGGATGACGAAGAACGAGAAGGTGAGGAGCCTAACAGTTCTCAATCGCTCTCGACCATTCCTGACCAATTAAGCTTGGACCAGTTGAAGCAATTCTACAAGTCCAATCAGCACTCTAAGCTATTGGATAGTCTTCCAAGTACAACACGGCCCTCGTCCTCCAATTTTCAAGTTGAGCTACGTAAGTATCAAAGACATGGTCTTTCATGGATGCTAGCTCGTGAAAAAGAGCTTGGGTTGCTCGAACAGCTCTCCCTGTTAGACATGGGTGATGCTCTCTCTACCCAGTCCAGAGAAACCATTCAACAGAGTAACGACGGAATAATGAATCCTTTATGGAAAAGCTTCAAATGGCCGCCGGACAGGTCCATCAACAAATCTTCCTCGGTACCGCAAGTTCTTTCCGGTGAGTATTTCTACGCCAATTTGTATAGCGGGGAGCTTTCGATGGCCAAACCAATGATAAAGAATGCAGTTCGTGGAGGCATACTCGCTGATGAAATGGGTTTGGGAAAGACCATATCTGCCCTTGCACTAGTTTCTGCCTGCCCGTATGACACAGAAATAGACCAATCAAGAGGGAGCCCTGATTCTCGAAACTATGCTTCACAGACCACGCTTGTGGTTGTTCCTATGTCGTTGTTGACTCAATGGCATAAAGAATTTTTGAAGGTGAACGCCAATAAAAACCACAAATGTCTCATTTATTATGGAGACCAGACGAGTGTTAATCTTTCAACCAAGCTTTGCAATATAAGGAAAGAAATTCCAGTGGTTATTTTGACCACTTACGGCACCCTCTTGAACGAATACCAAAGCATTGTTTCTCGATCTATCGAAGTGGAAGGCAAGCAGCAATTGCCAAGGGAAGGTTTATTTTCAGTGAAATTCTTTCGAGTTATTCTTGATGAAGGTCACAACATCCGTAATAGAACCGCCAAAACATCTAAAGCAGTGTATGCCTTACGCCTGTCAAGACGCTGGGTGTTAACTGGAACTCCAGTGATCAATAGATTGGACGACATGTACTCGTTGGTCAAGTTTTTGGAACTCGAACCATGGTCAAATTTTTCGTATTGGAAAACTTTTGTTACTGAGCCATTCGAGCAAAGGAAAATAAAGCAAACAATAGATGTGGTGAAATCCATCTTGGATCCAATTCTACTTCGAAGGACCAAGAATATGAGAGTGGACGGAGAACTTCTTGTAGAACTTCCAGAAAAGGAGGTGTCAATCCAAGAAGTTACCTTTAACGAAAGGGAAAGGCAGTTGTATGATTGGTTCCGAGTTCGTGCCTCAAGAGTTTTCAAAGAAGGACTAAAATCTGGAGACCTTCTTCGTCGATATACCCAAATACTTACCCAGATTTTAAGACTTCGTCAAATATGTTGTCACATGGACTTGGTGGGCTCGCTTCAGCAAGACTTTGACGAGGAGGTCGCTAATGGAGAAGAGGATTTGAAAAGCGAGTTAGATCAATTTAACCAGACTGCGAAACCTGAGCAACAAGACCTGTTCAAAACGGAGACAGAGGTAAAGGATGTTCTTTATCCGCTTTACCAGAGTTTCACCTTGGAAACTTCGGAGTGCTCCATCTGTACTCAGTCTCCTATTTCAATTGGCGAGTTGACATTGACTACCTGCGGCCACACATTTTGCCTCAAATGTATATTGGAGCATATTGCATTTCAACAAAGACTATCCCAGCCTATCAAATGCCCTAATTGTCGAGCTTCCATTTCAAAGCATAAGCTCTTCAAATTGAGGAATAAAATCACAACTAAAAAAGATATTCTTTTCCATAATCCAACGCTTACGATAACAAAAGATCAATTTGAGTATGAAATCTTCCACTATGATCCTGACAATGGTTCCTCAAAGATACAAGCTCTTATATTACACTTGCAGCAAATTCAAGAACAAAGTCCTGGAGAAAGGGTTGTTGTTTTCTCTCAATTCTCTTCATATTTGGATCTCATTGAAAATGAACTTAAAGTTCAGGGAAGTGATATATTTCACGTTGTCAAGTTTGATGGAAGGTTGAAAATGCACGAGAGAAACCAGTTGATCGAATCGTTCAACAATGATGATACTAGTCCACGAGTCTCAATTTTACTATTGTCTTTGAAAGCAGGTGGTGTTGGACTTAATTTAACATCTGCTTCACGAGCATTCATGATGGATCCTTGGTGGTCGCCCAGTGTGGAGGACCAAGCTATTGACCGGATTCATAGAATTGGCCAAGTGAGAAACGTCAAGGTGACCCGGTTCATCATCCAGGAGAGTATTGAAGAGAAGATGCTTAAAATTCAAGAGAGAAAAAAGCAGATAGGAGAAGCTGTGGGCGCCGATGAACAAGAAAGACAGAAACGGAGAATTGAGGAAATACAAATTTTATTCGAGGATTAGGTTTAGCATAGATGAATAATTATTGCATCACTATTTACGACAGACAAGTATTTAATTTTTTTTGGCTTCTCTTCTGGTTTTCACTGCTTTAGCCAAAACGTCGAGCACAGACTCGGTATCTTCCCATGAGATACATGCGTCAGTAATGGAACAGCCGTATTTCAAAGCATCCTTTCCACCTTTTTCCTTGGGAGGTACATCTTGTCTGCCTTCCACGATGTTGGACTCAATCATCAAACCACAAATACCATCCTCACCATTAGAGATTTGTCTGGCAATCTCAGCAGCAACTATAGGTTGGTTTCTGTGGTTCTTGTTGGAGTTTCCGTGAGAGCAATCGACCATAATTCTTGGTCCTGGTTTCTCTTCAGTAATCACATTGCTCTTTATGAGAGCTTCCTTGGTCTCCTTAACCGACTTTTCGTCGTAGTTTGTGCCCTGTTTTCCACCACGCAAAATCACAAAGCAGTCTTTGTTACCTTCGGTTCCAACAATAGCAACGACACCTGGTTTGGTAACCGAAAGAAAGTGGTGAGGATGAGAAGCGGCTCTCAAAGCATCAACTGCAACACCGAGGGTACCATCAGTACCATTTTTGAAACCAACTGGGAAAGACAAACCAGACGATAACTCTCTGTGAAGCTGAGACTCGGTAGTTCTGGCACCGATGGCACCAACGGAGAATAAATCAGACAAAAATTGGGGAGAGATGGTATCCAACATCTCGCCAGCAATAGGAAGCTTCGAAGTCAAGTTGACAAACAATTGACGAGAGATACGAAGACCCTTGTTAATCTGGAAAGAACCATCGATATCGGGATCATTGATCAATCCTTTCCAGCCAACAGTGGTACGAGGTTTCTCGAGATAAGCACGCATCACTATGTGAAGTTCTCCCTTATGCTTGTCGGCCTCTTTTTTCAAACGGGAAGCATAATCGAGGGCAGCCTCTGGGTCATGGATGGAACATGGTCCGATAACAACCATCAAACGATCATCTTTGCCGTCCAAGATATCGCAAGCACTTTGTCTTCCTTCCAAAATGACTTTTTGGCATTCTTCCGTCAAGGGGTACTCGTGTTGTAGCAAATCTGGGGGAGTCAAAGGATCGTATCCTCTTACTTGGGTTAGTAAATGCAAAAAAAACCAAAGCTACTCTTTTGTGAAACTCCGAGAAAATTAGTGTAAAACTTTTTTTTGAACAAACGAGAAGCTAAATGAAGTTGATTTGATCTTCAAGTTGTTTACTTACTTCTCCAGTCTTCCATACGACTGCGATCGCCGACGTGTTCGTTGGTAATGAACATTTTGTAGTAACTGCAAAAAGAGTTTTTTGTCAAGACCCTCGTGCGCCGTGCGATTTTTCAGTTTTGGTGACACAATCTCACTAGTTGCAAAGTATTAGTATTAAGCCAATTAATTATATAGAACTATGTGGGTGAATTCTTGCCGTTCGTGTAGCGTTTTGCTGTTGCCATATAAGTGACATTGGCATTTTGGACTAAAGTTCAGTTAGAGCATCATTTTTCAACTTCACCTCTATGACTCATTCCTAATTGGGAGCACCTAAAACTCTCCATAAGGGCTTAGGGACTTGAGGAATCCCGCAAGATACACCCAAGATGAGTTGAGCGTAATTTCTATTCATTCTGGCACCTGGATGTAAGCATGTTTCAAAACATTTTTATTGGCTAATGGGCGATTTTCTCAAAGAAGTACAAGTATCCATTGGCACCCACTTCTTTCATGCTAGATTCGTCACAGAGAACCACCTTTTCGTCGTTGAAAAGGACCCACCTTTCTTGGTTATCGATGTTGAGACGAATGTATGCAACGTAGTGGCCGGTGTGAGGAGATGAACCTTTATGACAAACGATAGCTTTGAGCTTGTAATTACCACCTGTAGCTGGTGCCAGAGTCAATTTTTCCATTAACGACAGTCTTGCCTCGGCTGTAGATTTAGTTCTGTCGACTTCGATGACTCCGTCATCATCTGGGTTACTGAAAAGCCATTCTACCGCAGCGTTAACATCGCCTTTGGATAAAATGAGTGCTTTTCGAGAAACTTGACTTGAAAATCCCATCGCTCCTAAGGATGCAATAGCTTCATTTGAAGGCTCATTGGACTCTTTCGACTCGGAAACCTCAAGCGGAGCATCGATGTCTGCATCCTCGAGATGCTCAAAGAGCCAATTCATTGCATCCTCGGCTGATTTATTGCCTGTATTGTAAAGTGCTTTGGCCGCTCGATTGTGAGGAAAGCCCATACTAGATAACATTTCCATGGCATCTGGATTGGGTTCGAATGTTGTGCTGTTTGTTTTAGTAAACTCTTGCTCGCCATCTTCGAGTATTGGGGCACCAAAAGAACTCAAATCAATCACATCGGGCACCTGAAGTTCCACATCCACTTTAACGGGCACCCAGTTCTTCAACTGAATTCGTCTTGCATTCAACACCAAAGATTGTGGATAAGTTTTAAAACCACTTGATTTGAATGCAACAGTTTTCTCTTTACATTCATCACATTGATAATCTTCAACTGCCTCAACCGCAAAGTAGTCCTCTATCTTCTCTAGTATATCCACCTTTTCGGTATCGCTAGTATTTTCATCGACAATGGGCACCGATAAGCTATCAACAAGTTCGCTGTCTATCCGTCCTTTGTTGCACTTGGAACAGAGGATCTTGTTATCAAGAACAAACTTCAAGCCTTCATTAAGTGCTAAGCCAACTTCATTGTCGATCTTATCGAGCAAATGCAAATAAAACTCGTATGCATCTTGTTGTCGTTGCGTTTGAAATTCAGGGTGGTTTTCACCTATTAAATGCTTAAAAGTTGATGGTTTGATTCCCGCTTGGTATACATCTCCAGAGAGTTGAGATGGCACCGAATATCTGCTAGAATAAAGCCCATCATACATCTTGACAAGTTGACAGCATACGTCCCTCGACGGATCTTTCACACGCTTGAAGGGCGGAAACGTCTTGTTCTCAAAGTATGACTTGTAGTCGTTAAGGCTGAATAACGACTGGACGACAGAGTTCAAGTAACACAGGTTTCCAAGGTTCTTCATGCCGGTTAACCCGGAGCCGAATACAGGCTGCAACTTTTCTCCATTGGCGCCGTCGAGTTTGAAATCCCAGTTCAAGTTCTGATCAAGGTTAATTTCAACTAGACTCTTTTCTGTCTTGACCGCTTTCGAAACGTCGATATCAAACTTTAACAAGCATGCTGAAACGTTAGGAACCTTGACTTCATCGTTACATTTGTAGCAATAAGAGTCGCAGATTTCAGAGCCGGCAGCCGATAGAGAGCCAAGCTTTACCGCTACTGGATGGCCAGTGAGTTCGTAGTGTGCCAATGCATGGGAATTGCCAGGAATGGACGAGCCAAATTGTTCTCTACCGCAACCAATGGAACCACAGTGGAGACATATCCACAAGTTTTGTTTCAAGTCACAAGCACCACATTTAGAGAGATCTGGTGGCGAGTCTGTGACGGTTTGTTGAATGTCACAAGAATGTGTACAAGGGAAAATTTCCTGTTCCCATGCCTTGATTTCTTCGCTCCGAGTAGACGAGTTTGCATTCATGATTTCGTCAACTTTCAGCTGAAGACCTTCAGAAACTTCAGACATGTTACATTTCAAGTCACACAAGGCACAATATATAGATGTTAGCGTATTGTAATTGTCGTCTTCCTGTGAGTCTGTGATCATGAGTTTAGCCATTTTAACGCTGCGTTCTCCATCGGATTTCCTCTTTCTTTCGTCTTCCGGCTTCAACTCCTTGACTAGATTGAGGTAGATCTGATGGTGGGTACTGTTTACATGCAATTCTGTGTGATTTAATGGTCCACGAGAGAATGACTGGTAGCACTCGAGACATATATCTATACCCTTGGGGCAATTTTCTGGTGTATCGAAGCAGTACATACAATCATCCTTGTGCACCTGAGTGCCAGGAGTCAATTTTTGGATAGGGAATGTGGAAATGTGGTCGCAACAGGTCATGGTAATGGCAGCAATGGCGTACTGGTTAAAGATCTGAGATTGAGAAATTAAGATTCCTGGTGCAGGACGGTGCCGCAGCATGCAGCGCTCGCAATTGCAAAACTGATTTAGCTGTTAAGTTTGAGTGATAGAATGTATATTAGTGGCACATACTTTGCTAGTTGGTCCATATACCAGTACAAGCACTTTGTGACAGATCTTCCGGTTGCAGATATAACCCATGTGTTCTATGCCTTTATGAAAATAGATCCCAACACTGGTGAAGTCCAGTTAGGTGATAGCTGGGCAGATGCAGAAATCCCGCTCGAGTCACCCTGTGGAGGTCACCAGGTCAAGGGGAGCTTGGGACAGCTTTATGAATTGAAGAAGAAACGCCGGTATCTCAAAACTTTGATGTCGATTGGAGGCTGGGGTACAAACGACACATTTGTAGCAGCATTTCTGACCGAGCAAAAGATGAATACGTTTGTGAAAAGTGCAGTCACCATGGCCAATTGCTACCATTTTGATGGTATTGATATAGACTGGGAGTATCCAAGCACTGATGCTGAAGCTAGGCAATTGCTTGAAGTATTGTACAGACTAAGAGTGGCTTTGGGTCCCGACCGTCTTATTTCAGTAGCTTGTCCTGGTGGAGACGATACCTTTGCTATTCTCAGACCGCATCTTCCTGCCATGGATAAGTACTTGTCTTTTTGGAACGTCATGTGCTATGACTATGCTGGTAAGTCGTGGTCTCAAAAGACCGGTTTCCACTCGAATCTCTTTGGCCATAATGGAGATAATCTGATGAGTTCTGACTCCATAATCACCAAATACCATGAAGCTGGAGTTCTTCGCCATAAATTGGTACTAGGAATGCCTGCTTATGCCAGGGCTTTCGCCAACCCAGCCCAACCCAGCATTGGCCTGCCTTTCGATAAATCTACGGGACCTGATGACTTGGAGTACAAAAACATATCCGAGAAATACGAACAATTCGACCATCGCAAGGTCTCTGCGTTTGCAATGGATAGTTCTCGTGGATTGTTCCTCACGTACGACAGCCCGATTTCTGCAAGAATCAAAGCCAAGTATGTCGAGCTGAAGCAATTGGCAGGCGGAATGTGGTGGTGCTCGTATGGGGACCAGCCAGGAGAGCGGTCGCTCGTTGGTGCGTTTGTAGATCAGCTTGGAAGGTCGAATTTGGACCACACCAACAACTACTGTAGCTGATAAAGTTTGTCATTATATGTATAATCTACAAAATGGAGTCCATTCTTGCAAACACGCTGAGCACGGCCGCGATGAGCTCCAATTGCAATTCATCGGCAGAGCATATTTCTGTTTCGTGGGCTATTTCTTGGCCCAAGTTGGTACCCAAACCTAATGGGCTCTGGTGCGACCGCAAGTTGAAGGGGTAGTCTCCAAAATCAGCCAACAACTCGTCTGCTCTAGCGAAGGCCTGATCTCGCTTGTCATAGTTGAGAGTGGTTAGGACATTCTCGAGAACATTGGCAGCGTGCGAACCACATACCAAAGCTACCGACCGCAAGTAGCGGAAAGACGTTTCTTTGGGGAACTGATCGCTGCTCACGGAGTCCATGTCCACCGTACGTGCGGTAAGAAGGTTGAGAATCCGGTTTTTAATATGTTCTTTGGACATCTTGTCGGCTACCGGATGAGTCGCCATGTCAAACAAAAAGAAGCTTTTACGTTCTGTGCGCAAAATGCCTTTGTCTACGAGGCCCTTGGCCAACCGTTCACGCACCTGTTTCAATTGATAGTTGATCTTCATCAAATTCCACGTTTCGCCCGATAAAAGATCGATCCAGTTGGTCACCGACAAATGCGACTCATCGTTCTTCATGATGCGAAGAGCCTCGTCCAATAACACCTCTCCAGTAGGCTCCGAGTCCACCACCTGGACCAAACGGTCGGCCAATTCGAACCTTCTACGAGCAGGGTCGTTGACCAAGGTAATTTTGTTGCGGAATGCCAATTCCAACAAAATACACCCACGCAAAGCATAGGAAATGTTGTCGTTCCAGAACGACAAGTAGCCCTCTCTGTCCTTGAGGCCCATAAGAAGCACTTCCTCCATCAACGTCAACAATGGTAGGTTCAATGTTTTGCTATCGGCGATGTCGCGTGAATCGATGCCAATCTTGTGGTCGATAATTTCGCTGTCTCCTTCATCAAATTCACCAGAGGTTCTCTTGGAGCCTGGAGCGGGACTACCCGAACCTCCTCCTGCGCCCGCGGCTCTTCGACCGCCTCCGCGGCGCTTTTGCAAACCAGAACTCGACATGATTATACCGTCGTTGAGGTGGATTTCAGCTAGATTTTGGATTTCGGCAGATGCAGGAGCTCTGCTGGAGCCTGTGATTGTGAAAGCTTATGGTAGGGAAAGAGACTGAAATGAGCCGAAAAGCTACCTAAATGATAGTTGATAATGATGTGAAGCTCTGTGCTTGGTTTCGAGACTCAATTGCCAATTTTGGTCCATTTACATGTGTCTTTCTCCTTGTGCGATTATGTAATTTCCGTAACTACATAGCCTGGGTCCTTTTCTTATATGCCGACCGCGTGTACAAAGATACTATTGATGGATTAGTGGTACCGACAGCATTAACCTCAAACTCAAGAAAGCCGCAGAAAGCCGCGGAGAATTGAAAGCTCTTACTATAAGCTGAATTTCAGTGGATTATAACAAGCAACACCATCTCTTATTTGGACTCAGATACGATCCAATTGCAGCTTGTTGGTGGTTCTGGTTCGTGATTATACCATCACTACCTATTATAGCTCAATTTCGATCAAAGATTCTTGATCCTTCCACCTAAGAGACTCACCACATTTAATCACCACCTTTAATCACCAACTTTAATCCTTTGTTCCAAATGTTATCTCCCACGTTTACCAACAATAGCGATGAACCCCACACCCCCGATAGAGACGATTATGTTTCGTTCCCTATGTTTCCTGAACCCCAGGATGACCGTGAAACCAGCTTCGGCCGTATACTATCCAGAACACTCCGCAAGGTGACCTCCAATGCGTCACATCTTGTTCAGAATTATGCCAACAAGAGTGACGACGATGATGAAGAAAATGCTGGTCCGGTCCGATTGCCCAATCTCGCCTCCACCATACTGGGTGCCGAAGATATTGACTCGGTTCCACACATATATGCATCTGGACCGGCTGTTTCTCATGTGGATTCAGTGCAAACAAGCATTGAGGAACTGACTAAAGAACCAAATCCACCTCGTCCTCGTGAATTTCCTGATAAATCAGCAACAACAGAATCAGTTCCACTGACTTTGCCTCCACCAGTAGTGATGTCTGATAGGCATAGTCTTCGGTTATCGACAATGTCGGTACCGAAGCTTTCGGCAGTGGATACTAGTTCTGTGCGTTATGCAAGAGAAGAGATAAATGCCACTGCCTCTCTTCTTCCAGCGCCTCAGCCGGTGGTTGCAAAATCCACCACCTCTGTCATAGCAGAAACTACCGCTAACAACACTCATGATTCCAATGTTGAAACTTCTTCACTCCAAGATAAAATCACCTCCATCTTTACAAACCTTCCCAACGATATAGAGGTTTCAGACGACTCGGCTTCTGAAGGTGATACTGCAAACGACAGCACATTAGGACCACTCAAGAGAACTGATGCTAGCTTCGATAAGGACTCTGAATTCTATACTAGTTCACGTCGGAACTCTATTGTTCCCAGCATATCATCCAAGACTCAAACGTCGGCTCTTATAAGCGGAGCCAAGTCCATCTTGAGCACCAGCATTCCTCTGACAGTTCTACCTGCATCCCTAACTCCCAGCAGTAGTATTAAACGGTCCAAGAAAAAGAAGAAACTAATTAAGCGCAAGAACTCGGAAAATCCTTTGAAAAACGGTGGGATTCCTCAGAAATATTGGATGAACGATTCTTTCGTCTCAGACTGTCTCAACTGTTTCAAGCCGTTTACTGCATTCCGACGTAAGCATCATTGTCGATTTTGTGGTCAGATCTTCTGTGCCGATTGCACCCTCTTTATTTCCTACAATCAGCATAAAGACGAACGTAAAGCCAGGGTTGCGTCGTCTACTCACAGGCGAGGAAAAAGCTACCAAGATCAACTTCGGGTGTGCAAGCCATGCTATAGTGATGTGATTGTGTATTTGAGTGACGACTCTTCCTCGTCATCCTCTGAATCTGGTGACGAAGATCCTATTCCGACAGAAACTCTTACGCCAAACTACCTGTTGTCTAGGATGCGCTCACTCTCGACGGGCTCTCGAAAGGACAGTTTGCGGCACGAGATAAGACTGGACAGTCGTGAACTTCGAGAATCTCCACAGCACAATAGAACATTTCTTAAATCTCCCGATCAAAGTTCGCCGGTACCATATAGGTCTCCACAGCATCTGACCCTGACTGACATTACAACTACTCGCCCACCTCATTTCGAGGTCTTACTGTCAAAGCACGCTCCGCAAATGGCGATACCTACTACCAGAAAAGGCGAGGCAGTTGAAATTCCTGATATTCCTTCTCGTCGAAATACCAACAAATCGATGGGTTTATCGAGCAGTGCCACCTCCAAATTTACACCTTTCACCTCACTAGACCATTCTGCAAGACACCTTCTGACGCTGGGAGACTATTCGCCTTGGATGAAGAACTACACCTCAGCTGGAGATTTGTCGCAATCGCTCAGTCTTGATAATATTGGACAATTTTACAGCAGCTTGATCGGCAAACGATCTCACGGTAAACTCACAGACAAGGATTCAATCAGGTACGATCGAAGCGAGATTAAAAATTCCACAAAGATTCAGGACGAAGACTTGGAAAGCGAAAGTGAAGACGAGAACGTGATGTCATTATATACCTCGCTCAACCACGGACCGCTTACGGTAAGATCCAGCCTTCCTCCACGTCACTCTATCAGCGCTAATGCAGTGCCAACATTGGGTGAATTTCCTCAAATGTTAGCGAAAGATAGTGATAAGAATTTCACCATTTCTCAAGGTCATTCGAATCACCTACTTGTTCCCCTAGGAAGTTTGCAGCGTCGACTGTTATCCTTTATGAGTCCAAAACCTGAGACTAGCTCGAAGTCTCGTGAGCGAGCCCACGCATCGCTTCTTAGAATGAAGTCTCGCCGAAGAGGAACATCCACACGAAATGTCCTGATTCTCACCCGCAACAATAATCGTCTACCGAGTTTGGATGCTTCTCAACAGACTTTCGATTCACCTCCCGCATCACCCGCTCCCGATGAGACCAAGACAAGCTTGTCAAAGACGTTTTCTGGAGAAATTGCAGATTCCCTCAAATCATTATCACCTGAGAACCTGACCCACGAGTACGCTGAGGTGCTGAAACAAAGTCCGTCTTTTGATGAAAAGAAGTTTGTGGACAAAGACCGAACTGTCAAAAATTTGTCAAAGGACCTGATGTATTCTTCCCTTTTCAAAAAATTGGCTTATCAATGCTTCGATGATAGTGGTATAAAGGATAATTCTGACCGATGGTATGCATCCCTCATGAGGGTCCTTTCTCATCTTGACGATCTTAAGCTAACTGATACATTGGACATCAAGCAATATGTGAAGATTAAGAAGATTTTTGGAGGTCAAATTGAAGACACAGCTATGGTGGATGGCATATTCATGACCAAGAATGTTGATTCCAAGAGAATGGCGGTGGACATTGACAATCCCAAGATTGCAATTTTGATGTTTCCTCTCGAATACATGAAACAGAAGGAACAATTTATCAGTCTCCGGACCATACATTCACAGCAATCAGTCTATATCTCCAACCTTGTATCCCGGATTGTATCCTTCAAGCCGGATATCATTTTAGTTGGAGATACTGTTTGTGGTATGGCTGAGTCCCTATTGGAGGCTGAAAACATTACAGTGATTTCCAATCTCAAACCGCAAATCATAGAAAGAGTATCCAGATACACCAAGGCCGATATATTTCAATCTATCAATGACTTGTTTTTCAAGAAAGGGTCCTTGGGCACTTGTGCCAAATTCAGAGTGAAGAGATATATCTATGAAAACTGCGTGAAGACATTCGTTTTCTTTACGGGAACTGATGTGACTTCAGGGTTCACAGTTGCTTTAAGAGGTGGTCTGGAGTCCTTATTGGATTCTGTAAAGTACACCGCTGAGGTCCTTGCTCCAAGTATTTTGAACTCAAAATTTGAAGTCTCGTTATTGAAAGAGCAAGGGGTAGAATACCTTGACGAACCTTCTAGCGAGCTGAGCCTTCTATCCAAAGTTACAAATATCGAGGGTACACTTGATTTGTTGATCAAAGTTTACGAAAGTTTACCAAAAGAGATCAAAACTCAATTGGGAGCTCTTCATATTCTTGACAAGCAAGAGGTGTTTGAGTATTGCAAGTCATTCCAGAAGCGTCAACTCTCTTCCTCGCCATCTGTGGTGTATGCTCCCCCATCAGCATTATGGAATTTGATCGAGTCATATGAATACTACCTAAATGCATTTGACAATTTCAAACAGATCTTACTTTCTGGTGTCGAAGAGATTGATCCGGAGTCATTGAAAAGCATAGGGATGTCAACTCTGTTGGAAATGCTTCCAGGAGGATCAAGCGATCTCCTTCCAATTGTCAAAAGTGCTCGAGATGTCACTTTGCGGTATTCGTTGGATGAGTTGGTAACCAAGGAACGCATATGGTCAAACTGCGCTAAACTTCCAAAATACCTGCTCTCACCAAGTAGCCATCGAAGCATACACATTTTGAACTCGACCGTCTCCATAACGCATGCGACTCCATGTTTCGGGCCCAATTTGGTTGTTGTGGATTATTACACCGAAAACGACAAATGTATAGGCCTTTTTCTAGACCAGATATTCCAGGAAGCTTCCAAGACCTGCGAAGAGTGTGGTGTTCTATTCTTGAACCATTACAAATCTTACGTTCATGGCAATGGAAAGCTTGACTTCATTACTGAAAGATTTGAAAATGTCATGGATGGCGCTTTGCATGAGGGTCTCAATCAAAGGTTCATGTGGAGTTATTGCCAGGAATGTAATAAAACGACTCCTATTCAAAAGATGAGTCCGGAAACATATTACTATTCAATTGGGAAATTTTTCGAGCTAGGGTTTTGGAACGGCAAAGCGTCGCATATCAGTAGCATTGACTGCCCTCATGACTTCTTCAGGAGCCATATCCGATATTTTGGCTTGAACGATTTGGTGATCAGATTGGAGTATTCCACTATAGAGACTTATGAGGTGATTGCACCAAGAAAGCAGCTTGAGATTGTACCTTCAGCTGATATGTCATTGAAGATCAAAACTTACCATCTGATTCGTGACAAGTCCAACAAGTTTTTCAAGAGTATCGAGAGTCGCTTGTACAGGGTTAAAGTGGATACTTTTGAAGATTCCAAAGCCGGAATGGAAAAGCTCGAAGAATTGAAAAATAAGCATCGCGAGCAAGTTGGCTCCATTGATACCCAACTACTTGAATTATACAACAGCACTCCGCCTACGGTGCATCTTCCATTGAATGCCATTTTGCGTACCTTGCAAGAGCTTGGTGTTTTTTGGGATAATGAGTTCAACGATTTCGAAAAGAGGTTTTTACCTAGTGAGAATGATATCACCAAGATTACTCAGTTTCACTTGACAAACTTTTTAATGGAAAAGCTTAATTCTGAACAGAGTACAGATTCACAAAGGAGTGAGAATAAGGATGATATGCGAGCCAAGCCACTTGACGTACCTTCTACTGTTAATGAAGGGCGGGCTGCGCAACTCAATAAAGAGAAGACCAATGAAATAGGAGAAATGATTCCCTCATCTTTATTTCGTCGTCTGAAGCTAGGTGATGACAGACTCCAATCCAAGATGTCACAAATCGAGGATATTACACCTAAGGTACCTGAAGGATCTTCTACACCACGACAAGAAACTCACCAAGGGCAAGAAGCAGCTCAGCCTACACAAAGTCGGGTGTCTCAATTGGCCAATTACTTTGACCAAATGAACTTGGATCAGATTTCAAAAGAATTCAAACAGCAAAGAGAAAGAGAGCTCAAGAAAAAGATCAACAAGTTTAAGGCATTCCCTATTGTGGCTTCTAAACCGATTGTTGAAATCTATGATAATATCGAGGACGTGGTTGACGTTACAGATATGGATACCGAGAAGGGAGAGCGAGCAGAAAAGCCAGAGCAAAAGTGGAAAGATATTCCTCGCAAAGAAAGCATGAAAACTGATGATGCTGATAAGGTGAAAGATAAGCCAAAAGACGTCAAGAAAGGTGTGGACTTACCTCAGCCCGAAAAGAATTCTCTCTTGAAGTCGTTGACTACCTTTTGGGCAGATCGGTCTGCTTCACTTTGGGATTCTTTGGATTTTCCCTTGGATGCGATGGAGCATACTTTTGCTGACTCTGATGTTATTGTTCGCGAAGATGAGCCCAGTTCTCTCGTTTCATTTTGTCTTTCTTCCAGCGACTACAAGCTGAAAATCAAAGTTATGGAAGGTGATGGCGATATGGTCGACGACAACGAGAACGGCAGCAGCGATATTACTGAGAACAAGAAATTGAAAAACTTTGTCAAGATCGAGAAAAAGTTCAAGAAGAAACTCTCTGACGACGAAAGTGTTCATGAGCTCGAAAAAATCATGACAAAGGATAAATCCAATCATCTCAAGTATCAGTTCAGCGACGGTGATACGCAGTTTTCGTGTAAGATCTTTTACTCCGAGCAATTTGAAGCGTTGCGAAGATCGTGTGGTAATAACGACAGTTTCATCCAAAGTCTTTCGCGGTGTGTGAAGTGGGACTCTAGTGGAGGGCAGAGTGGGTCAAACTTTTTGAAAACTTTGGATAATCGGTATATTGTCAAAGAGCTTTCGAAAAGTGAGCTCGAATCTTTCATTGCCATTGCTCCATTCTACTTCAAGTATATCTGCCAATCCCTTTTCAGTACTTTGTCAACCGCAATAGCCAAGATTTTTGGTTTCTATCAGATTCATATTAAAAATGCAGCTACAGGAAAGACGTTTCGTATGGATTTCCTTATCATGGAAAACTTGTTTTACAATCACAAAACGACGAGAATTTTTGATTTGAAGGGAAGCATGAGAAACAGGCATGTCAAGCAGACCGGAAAGGAGAACGAGGTGTTATTGGACGAGAACATGATTGAGTATATCTACGAATCTCCCTTGTTCGTGAAGGAACATCTGAAGCGAATGCTCCGAGGATCTCTTTTCAACGACACCTCGTTCTTCTCCGCCATGGACGTGATGGACTACTCACTTATAATAGGCATTGACGATACCTCCAAGAGGCTCTACATTGGTATTATCGACTGGTTGCGTACTTTTACGTGGGACAAAAAAGTGGAGAATTGGGTCAAGGGTAATAACTTGATGGGCGGTGGAAAAAAGGGAAAAGATCCGACAATCGTCACCCCGAAACAGTATAGAACCCGGTTCCGTGAAGCTATGGAACGATATATCCTTGAAGTACCCGATATTTGGTACGAAGGTCGGTGAATCACCGCCTGCATTATCGCTACTGCACTCACCTGTCAAGCCGCACCATCGCGCGTTACAGCCACTCGTCCTGCCCCGTGTTGGCAATTGCGAGGCAGTGTGCGTGCGCCAAACGCACTGTCCTGCAACGCCTTGCTGGCTGGCGTGCGGCACTCAGTGAAAGCCGCGTATAGGGGTCTAAATCGATTTCGTCAGTTTGATCTCTTGATAATTGTGACTGATGGGGTTTGGATTTCACACCGCATCGGCGGTCTTGATGATAATATGCCTTGTTTTCTTGATCCTTGCCACAATATCGGCCCCAGTGGTGCCTTCGTTTGCCTTGGGCCAAACTACAAGCCACAGATTTGGTGTGTTTGGGCTGTGTGAAATTAAATCTGGGAGTTGTACTAAAGCTGCTTATCCTTACACTCTTGGTGATATCGATAAAGGTTCTGGCTGGACATTGGCTCCGTCTACTAGAAATTCGTTATCCAAGATCTTTATTTTGTGCCCGATCGGAGCAGGTCTTAGTTTGATAACATTACTTGCTATTCTTGTGGGCCACTGTGTTGGATCAGTGGCTCTTATTTTGGCGATTGTTTTCAATGCCATCTCGTTTATCATTGCGGTTCTTGTATGTGTTATTGTGATCGTTGTGTTCAACCCAAATGTTGCTTGGACTGGTTGGATCTTGATCGGACTGGCAGTAGCCTCGTTGTTTTCTCTCATTTTGTTGGTACTTGCCCTCAAGTTCCATGGCTCTCGTGACGATGCAGATGAAAACGAAGGCGACACTACTAGCTTTGAAGGTGATAGGGCTTTTGGTGTACCTAACAAGGCGTTCGACGAGAAATTTTCCGCACCTAGATCTGGTGGTTATGGTGACGACTCGTCTTTCAAGCAGTCATACCAATTCACTGTCCAAAAGCCTCAGACACAAGTTTCGAAAACGTTGACAAACTCTAGTGTCTACAACTCCAACCCACAGTTGGCAAAGGATTTTACGGTTCACGATAGACCTTCAAACTTGTCGCTTGGTCGCACCGGAACTGCTAGCTCTTCTTTCTACGATGAACTGCGGGTAAACTTGGTCAATGGTCCTAATACGCCCGTTGTAAGCAATAAGCAAATGGCACCAAACGTCAGACCAGAAGTAGCTCAGACGCAAATGCCTGCCCCAAAACAACCTCCTTATCCAGCTCAAAATCCCTTGGACAAGAGGCCATATAACCCCACTGACATGAGTGTGTTTGAACACCATCCTGAAGTTGAGGGACACCGTCCTTTTCACGGAACTTCCAGATGACGAGCCGGCTCGTACCAACCACAACTATAGCAAATCAGACGAGATGGATTCAGATGCTGATTCGGACTTTACTAGTGTATCCCAGCGTGCACCCAACCCCAACTATCAACCTCAAATGAACTATTTTCCTCCTCCACAACAAGCTGGTGGACCTGTACCTTACGGAGGAAACCCCCATCCTCCACAGCAGCCTCCTCAACAGAATTATGGCTACTCGCAAGGTCAACAATATGCGCCGCAATTTGTGTCCCGACCTGCTGGAAACTTTGGGCCTCCTCCTTCGCAAAATTATGCACCTCCCATGCATCAACAGCTGAGAGGACCTACTGTGTCAGAAAACATTTTGTCGCAAAATCCTGACGTGAACTTTGCAAGGACAGGAAGAAGAGGCCATCAGCAACAGTACAAACCAGGAGCTGCCAGAATAAATCAACAGAGAAACTTGATGGGTAACCGCGCTGCTGGGTTTAGAGATAGTCCGTATGGAGGGTTTTAGGAACGACTTTATTTCGGTAGAATGTATTATATAGGAAGAAAATCAACACCAGGCTGAATTTGATTAAGATCGTGGATTAGAATCGGGATTGGGATCTTGTGGGTGGTCTATGGTCGGCCTATCTCCCTTGTCTGGTTGCGGATGGGAGGGCTTTTCCACCACCTTCGTTGATCCATGAGGTTTGACGAGAACTATCATGAATAATGCAAACACCACCAATGAAAGCAAGAATATTATTTTGCATTTGGTTGTTCTCTTCTGGTAACCTTTCGCTTTGATAAGTTCCTTATCGGCAGTTTTGAGATCTTGCGCCGTGTTTGCCAAATTGTAGTCTATACGATCAAGCACACTGCCTTGGTCAACAACCAAACTTTCCATTTCTTTGAAGATGGTTGAGATTTCAAGTATACCCATTGCTAGTTTCAGAATTTCTCGATCGCGCTGTTCGAGGTATTGTGAGTTGGCACCTTTAACCTGTTGCGTTTCTTGAAGAACACGTTTTGAATAGTCTTCAATATTTTTGGCTTCTTCTTCCATGATAAGGGTGTTTTGGTCGGTATCCATATACGACGACGACGTTAATAGTGAGTCACTTTCGTCTTCGTCGTCACGGAGGAACTTCATGTAGTTATTTTGAAGATTACGGAAAAGTAATGAAGTATCCTGGAGTTTTTGAGCATAATTCTTCTTGTAGTTTTCAATGACTGCGAGATCATTGGCCGTGAAGTCAAGTCCTAGGCGATCGTAATTCTTTTGGAGAAACTCAAACTTCTTTATCAAAACGTAGCACGCTTCAAATTTCTTTGTGATGTCGTAATTGAGTTGCTCGATACTATTCTCTAAAACTCGCTTGTCTCCCTGGGCAGTAATGAGTAATTTTTTGTACATTGCATTAAGTTCTCCCGTCTTGGACTTGATAAAAGATAAATTGACGTCTATATCCTTCGATATGTCAACTGCTGTGGGAACAATTGGTTTCATTTCAATTGTGTTGCCATCATCACGGTACTTTGTATGACGCCGAGAACCCATCAAACCCTCTTCTTCCTCCCGCAAAGATGCGATTCTGTCGCCACTCAAAGGCACACTTCGAGATATCGTTCGCCGATAAGATAGAAAAAGGTTGGTTCTGTCCCTAAACATGCTACAAAATCGAGTAATCGGAAAAACGTCATTATGTGAACTTTTGTGTCCTGCACATACATGGAGGATTGTCTAGGTATATATAGTGTTCATTTCTTCTTCTTGTTAAGAAAGTGGAGATTGTGCAAGTTCAAACTAGAAGTAGACTTTGCTGGGGCTCCAGCAACTGCACTTCGAGAGGAAGCACTGCTAGAAGGCTGGGCCACACTTGAGGGCTGCGATAAGAGTGGGTGCGAAATTCCTGGCGACGCAGACATTGGTGATATCACCAGTAGTCCTGGAGTTCGCGACGGCATGGTGGATATTCTGCTGGGCTGGGGACTTGCTATGTGACTCGAATGTGTAGGGGATGAAGAGAGCAGGTTTAATCCTGGACTGCTCAGATTGTTCAGGCCCAACAGGCCATGCGATCCAATGTGCGAACCTGAAGTTGGAGGCTCGTAAGCTGGTGAAAGAACTTCTTCACTAGCATCCGACTTGAGAGCTTGTGAGTACGTAGGAAGCCTCGTAAGGCTTCTGGCATCTAGCGATGAGGCAGCAGATGCGACTCGAGAAAGATGTGCTGGAGGAGACAGAAGTCCAGGACTGACGAGCGGTGAGAGCGACTGGCCATGAGGAAGCGAATAGGTTGGCGAGAGTTGCGAATTTTGCGATAACGATCTGATGGGTATGGGTCTTCCTCTAGTCAAGTAATCGCCTTCCTGGCCACCACTGGGCTCACCTCCGAGATTGAACGTAGCTCTTCCGCCTGGTGTTCCTGCGGCCGATGGAGGACGACTGGAATCTTCGTCATTTTGACGCTGTAAGCTGAGAAGTCGGAGGTTCTCGTTCAACTGTGCCGAATCCAAGGGAGACATTGAAAACTGACCGATGTCGGCGTCAGGTGGTGGGCCGCGAGGGGTGGCTGACCCTGACGAAAGTGGTGACTCAATGGGCAGCACTTCGGACCAAAGACGATCGTAGATGTGTTTTTCGTATAGCGGCGGAGCCATGAGTCCTGTTAATGATGTGTACGAGTTTTCGTGCGAAACATTTGCCGAGTCTTGTCCGCCTAATTCGTTCAAGCTTGTGTAACTGGATCTTTCTGTCGTGAACAACTCTTCGTCGTCTGAATCTTGGCAGTCTTCGTCTAGTTCATCAGGCTTGGCACGCACAGAGATGAAGGGCAGGATAAATAACTGCACGGGCAATGACGCCCTAAGTTCCGAAACGTGGCCATCGGGATTCACCAACCCTATAACGAACTTGAGTTTATGGCGCACCTTCATGTAATTCTGGATTTCACAGTCTTGGGTACACTTGGAGAGGGTAGCTGGAACCCGAATAAACGATTCCACTTCCCATTTATCCAACTGATATTCTGCCTCTTCTTCAGTTGGCCTAGGAATGAAGTTTTCACTGACCACACGTTCACCGTTATGTACCGGTGGGATGATACCAACGTAAGAGTAGTATTCCACTAGCTGGATCTTGATGTCTCCGAGACCGAGGCCCTTGAGAAGTGGAACCATCATCATGCTCACCGGAGTTCCAGAGCCTATAGCAATTGCCTTTGAGGGCACATTCAACGAATATTCCACCTTTTGAGGCCAGGTATTATCCACTGCCACCGTTTCCGAGAGCTCCACTGCATCGGTCGTCAACGTGCGTACCACTCTGATGTGCTTTTTCGTGACCAACGGCTGGTGGAACTTGCCGCGATCAATAGATGCCTCGAGCTTGTAGATGATAGATCCGCCAGGAAGTCCCTCTACGGATTCGGGCATGCTTCCAGGAAGCACGGCACTGAATGGGATCTCGTAGTTTCCCGTGGAAAGAACGTGACTGCGGCCGCCACGCGAGCTGGAGTTGAGACTGGTTAGGTTACTGAAAGAGCCATGAGGCGAAGAAAGCAGAAGACTCGAAGATGACTTGTTGCGTTTGGACGAGAGTCGAGATCCTCGAAGGTTTTCGGCCGAGTGCTCTCGAGATAATTCTGCCATTTCTGATAAATGTGTGTTGAACTCGTTGGCATCCCAAACATGCTCAAATATTTTCTTGTCAAACCGGTGATTTTTGGGCATGGCAGTTTTGCCTGCTTGGATGGTTTCTGTCCAGTTCAAACGAAGCGTGGCATAAAGACGGAGTCCCAACCTTCGAATCGTCAAAGGTTCGTTTATTGACAAAACAATCCGACCCGAAAGAAGGGAAGAAGCTGCTTCCTGTTGGGTACCTTTTACCACCAAGACGTCATGATCCAAGTTGTAGAGGCGGATATCGAATAAGACCGCCAGTTTGGAGCCGCCACCAGACTTTTTCGGCATCTGCGATGATTAGAGTTTAACGGTGAACAAAAGAAGGATCGAAAAAGAAACTTGTTATCAGGGATTTTGCCGCCTGTGTACAGTCTCGGAGAAATCGAAAGGGTTAGTCCGGGACGGTGCGCCAAGCGTGGCTGAACGTTCGGTGCAGGAAAAGAGCAGGTCCCTGTTTGGGGTGAACATTTGGCATTTAGGCTAATTGGTTAGATTGTGCGAAGAAGATTGAAACTTAAGAATGAAGGTGACATGAAATGAAGCAAATAGTCACATTTGTGTTATTTCCAAATAATGCATTTAGTGGATGTTTTATAAACCGTTAGATTTCGCACCCAAATATTTCACTGGTAAGTAACCGCACTACCTCCATTGTTCTAGCAAGCCAATTTGAAATAAGACGAAAATGTCAAATAAGCACCACCGCATACTCAATTGCCCATTCTGAAACCCTCAACATTCTGCACCAAACCTGTCACCCCTAACCCCCACGGCGTGGGCTCGCTTAATCCAGCCTTGTACCTGGCCCCGGGTCGCGTGCGACATATTTTTTCCCTGGCTTCGCACTAATTTGCAACCGTTTTGGGGCCGCGCACCAGCCATCTTGCCAGTAACCAGCTACAACGCATATGTCGGTAACTCTAAAATCCTGTAACCCCTGGCTAGTTTGTTCGTCTGCATCGCCTGGCTGGTCCCTTTAGATTTATTTAAAGGCTTGGCTGTGCCTCCCTAGAATTTATTGCTCCCAACCCATCTAGGTTGTTAATATCCCACTGCTGGTGGTTTCTAATTATAGTTCGTTGTCTCCGAGTCATTGATTTGCTCTCGGTCCCACCCTAGTCTTCCTTCAGGCACGAACCTTCTCCATGCTTTCCCATGATGCTTTTGCCGAAAGGTCCCTCAAAAGACACAAGTCTGTGTGTACCCCTCCACTTTCAAGGGCGTCGTCTGTCAAGCATTTTTCTCGTAGGAGAGATCGGTCTCCGTCGTACCCACTGTACTTAAGCGATCTGGATGTGTCGTTTTCATCGTCTGACCTCGAATCACTTCCTGATCTTTCTGACGATACCACCGCTGAATCTTCACCCATAGTGGAGAGAACGTGTGTTTTGTTTCCTCCTCTTCAAAACTACTTCGAAGAGCCCGTGAAAACAGCCACACCTCCTCCTCATCCATCGATATTCGACATACCTGAAATTGTTCATAAAATTGTGGAATTTGCACATCTTCAAAACCCCGTGGTGCCCCACGAGGTGGCCCCCATCCGCCGACGTCCGCTTTCGTTCGACCACGCAATGTTGATATATGGCGACAAAGAAAGAGCTTCGAAAGCTCTCCAGGATCCCGCACCTCTTCACCCATCTAGATCCAACATCTTGTACACCTGCTTGCAAATCAATAGACTTTTCCATCACGCCGCTACCGAGATTCTCCACAAGAAATTGTGCTTCAATGACCCCCGGAAATTCCATAATTTTCTGCAAAGCATTTCGCCTGGCGCTGTGCTCAGACCAACAGAACTTGTACTCCACAAAATGTTCCATATGAAGCAACCAGCTCTCGACCGGCTTCTTCACATCTCGGAATTTTCAGGCTTGGAACGCCTAGAGCTCTTTATGTGTCCCAAGATCAACGCTTCTCCTGACTTTTTTGGTGAAAAATTGAAGTCTCTAGTGATAACTGGCTCCAAAACTGCCGATGATGAATTGATGCAAATTACAGCTAAAAAGTGTCCCAATCTTGAATTATTGGATATCAGAGCCTCTGAACTCATTACGGATGCTGGAATATACTACATTGCTACAAACTGCAAAAAACTCACCACAATCAACGTTGGCCGCAAAAATAAGGGCCACCTTATAACCGATGCCAGTATGAGTCTCTTGGCCAAAAACAACCCCAACCTCTCGACCGTCGGCGTTGCCGGGTGCAATGTGTCTGACAGGTTTGTATGGGACTTGGCTCTTAATTGCAGTGACCACATGGAACGTCTTTCGCTCAACAACTGCCGCTACATATCCAACCAGTCCATTCCATTAATCCTCTACAGCGACTACTTTCCACAACTTTCGGTGCTCGAACTCATGAATGCCGACCGGATTACTAATTTCAGACCCATCATCGAGTTCAAGAGAAGACAAGAAATGAAAGGAATTTCCATGCTTCTTGAAGTGTGTGAACCGCTCTGCCGCAAAATGCGCCAGCAGGAAATCGAAATGGATCGCACAATTTCACAAAGAATTTTCAAGAACATCACGGAATGGGCAAACAGCGAAAACGACGGCGACAAACCATACCGAGAACTTATTGCATCAACCATTAATAGGTCTTAAATTCATTTATCGTGTATCATAAAAATTGCACCCAACAGATCTGCATATAAACTCCTCACTATTTACATCTCGATTTGTTCTCTGGAGAAGCAACCCATTCCATTCATATTCTTTTCGCTCGTTTCTGGTGCTTTTCGTCGATATTACGATACCACAGTGGCCCAAGTGCATCTTAGCATCAGTACCTAAATACAAATTCACAAAACTTTCAAATTGAGCTCAAACAACCACATGTCGTCAATCGACCACGTCAACAAGTCAATTTTAAATCCGGATGGCGGACCGTCGCCTTCCTTCAGGCGAAAATTCGAAGAGCTGGGTACTCCTGTACTCAAAGAAAGCCCAGATACTTTCCAGAATCAAATAAAACAACACTCATTGAAGCCGAAATCGTCAACTTTGGACCTCATAGACGACACAAAATTAACTTCTTTACCACTCCCTCCACCCGCCAAATCCAGGAAAATGGACAGTGAAACATGTAACGACTCTATGATAATCAACACTACCTATGACATGTCATATGATGATAGTTTTGATGTTGGAGACGACCCAATAGTACTAGTTGAAGACTACGTTCAGAAACCTGAAAAGCTGCCCCATTCGAAGAAAAAAGCCCATGAACATGCTGTGTCCCGTAAACAGTCGCTTGACATCTTCAAGCGAAGACTCAACAAATATGAGACTCTGAGTCTCTTGTCGTGCAATTCCACTGTTCTGACCAGCAATATGACTGTAAGTGGTAAGCGCAAAATTTCAGAGGAGCTGACAACAACGTCCGAGACTTATGCCACCCGGCCCAAAGAAGACATAGAAGAGATCTTTGGCAAGATTCCTGGTTCCGACAATCTCAAATATTGCGATATCTGTAATAGGCCGCTTTACGAAATAAGCACCGTAATATCTAACAATAAGCGGCCAAAAAAAGAATACACCACAAATAGCCAGCCCACGAAATCGTTATACAAGGAGTTTGTCTGTTGGGAGTGTGTGGACACATACGAGGAATTTTTCAACGAACTTTACTGGACAGAAAGCAGGACGGAAACTTCACATCAAACAGGCGATACCCAATGTAACCAAAACTTACTACGAATGTTCAAAGATATCCTGCAGAAGTATCAAATAGAACCAGCACAAGGCACATTTTCGCCTCTGTTACTTGGAACTTTACACCACCATCTCGGACAAGGAGAACGACATCTTGATCTCGCCTGGTTGGAACGCTTACGACAAAAACTACGCTGGAGATGGCGCCTCAATGGGCTCATTCCACATCCCTTTGGTGCCAACTAGCACCATCAGCATCATGAATTCGTCATTTAACTATATAATAAAGGCATTGAAAGCACCGATGTTGTATACAGTAATTCTAACTAGAGAGCTGAGAAATCAGTGCGGATTTCCCGATGAAACCTAGTAGGTTGTATGCACCCGTTAACAAGGCACAACGATTCCAAAAGCCTCCCTTGTCCTTGGAAGAGTTCTTGTTCCGCCAGCAAGTCTTAGCAACCTACAGGAGAGCCCTCCGAGCTATATACAAGTCTCATGAAAAGCAGGACTTACTTGCGTTTGTAAAGGCTGAATTTAAGCCATCAGATGCACTGAAGGAGCTTCTACAACGACGGTATGAGTTGAAAAAAGGCACAGAAAAAATGGAGGCCATGTTCCAGATGATGGGGATGGGAGAAAGTGTTTGAAATGGTTTTAGATCACTATATACACTTTTTGTACGATGATTCCTTCAAAGACTTTTTGATCATTTCGACAACTTCTGTGGCCGATTCACGGGGAACGTCATCGGCACTCACGTTGTCAATTTCTGATAGTGTCAGGTCCGTTAATTTTGAGTTTTTGATTTCTTGGGCAACATTCGCAACAGCTTTCAGCAAGATCTCACTCTTAAAGCCATTACGTCTGCTAATCTGTTCGTAAATTTTGATAAACTCGAGAACTTCAAAAAGACAACGATTCAATCCTGCCCCGCTAGCAACCAGCTTGATCTTTTCAAGCTTCAAATTCTTGACCAAAAAGTTGACGAGCGCTTCGGATTCCTTTGATGGTGGTTGCTTGAACAATTTAAACAAATTCAACAATAACTTGAATGTCCACTGCTCATGCTGGGCCAATTGGTCATGAATTTTCTCTGAGTTTAGCGCCTTATTGAACTGTTTTATCAACTTTGTCGTTTTGGTGAAATCATTTTCAAGAATCAAAAGCTCTTTTGCACACATTAATTGAACATACTCCTTTCCTCTTTTTACCGTAGGCAATTTGGATGTGTTTGGCTGACTACCAAATGACCAGAGCGTAGTGTAGTCACGATTGTCGAGCACATCGAGGGATCCTTCAGAAACCTCTAGTTCGTGCTCTTGGACGATGCGGCTAAAATAGTTCAAATATTGGTGGTCGTTGAGTATACGGCAAAACTTAATAAGCTGAAGCAAAAGCACATACCTTGATAAGGAGTTCTTAAGCTTTATGGAGAACAGAGTGAAACTCTCTAATTTGTTGTAGACTTCTTTCTCAAATGCAAGCGAAACACTTTCGTTCAATTCACCGTCCGCACTGAGGTAAAAGCGATAAATATTGATGAGCTCTTGAAGGTTTGCCTTCGTGGGAGTCATGGAATCCACTATGAGATGACTCAAAGATTCATGCTGGAACATCTTGATGCGAAGTTTGTTGTAATTATGGACTGCCAAAGAGTCACAATTTATCGATGCATACAAATGGAGCAAAAGAAGCCTGACTTTGAAATCTTGAGGATCTTTATCTAGTAAGTGCTCCAATGTGATTATATTTTTCACAATGTTCGATGCAGATTTGTCTTCCAAGCTGAGAACGACATTCATAAGAATCAATTCATTGGCAGAATAAGCATCTGTTTCCACTTTCTCTGCCAAGAGAGGCTGAAATTTGTGATAAATCGCCCAGTTTGCAGCAATAAATGCCAGTTTATCCAACTTGTCATCCCAGGTCTGAATGAATTTTTGATTGTTCACCAATGTGATGAGGCTAGCAGTGTTGACTTTTGAAGAAGCAAGAATCTCACTTGTAGTCTCTTTTATCTTGTCAATGAATGGTGTTGGTTGATAGTAAGATATATCAGTATAACAGCACAATTTGGATGAGAAGTTCTTGTAGTAATTTAATATGAGAGCATCCACTGGCTTTTCATATAGTTTTGCAGCTTCGATAGCCGCCAATTGGCTATTTCTCGTTGATGGCCGGTGCAGAGAAATGAGGTCCTGGCACTCAACGTAGTCTCTGCTAGTGTTTTTGGAGGCCCGGATGAGATATTTCCAAGTATCGAAATCGTTAAATTGAACCTCAAATAAAAGTTTTTTAGCAAGCAGATACAACTCTTCCCACTTTTCCAGCTTGTCTAGAGCATCCAAGTAGAGCAATTGAAGATCAAGGTCCAAAGTACCCTCGTAGGAACTGAGAAGCAGGGCTATTTCCTGATATTTTTCGTTATTCTTCAACAATTTACAGTAAACATAGACTTCCTGAGTGGACCCGGAGACGAAATCGAACAGTTCTAGTAATTTTTCACCAAGATTTGAATATAATGTGGCTTCTTTTTCGGTGATTTTGCAAACCTTCGACAGGGCAAGATTAAGACAACAAAACGCAGCCCGCATCGCAAGTTTCCTATCGCCCTTCTTGTGTTTCTGGAGTGCCATAGCTGCCTTTTGCATGGTTTTAATATCAAATTTCGACACCGCCAATTGAAACCAACATTCAATGAGGTCTGCTGACGGATACTTTTTAACTGCATTTTCATAAATCATGTTGGCATCTTTCGGTCTCCCTAATAGTTCAAAAACCTTGTATAACATTTCTAGAGCATGTGGGTCGCTTGGAACCTTCTCTTTTAGGGCATTACTTTGACTGAGAGCTTCTTCATGTTTGCCCAGACTGACCAAGAGATAGCAGTTGACAGCCCAATAGTAGCTTTTATTAGGAAACTTCTTTAGTTTTCGGGACAAGAGAGATTGAGCAAGGCTGAACTGGCCCTGGTCAATGGCCGAAAGAATAGAGGCGTCAGTCTCAGACATCAAGTACAATGTACCAAGAAAAATTCGCGAACAAATCGATTGAAAAATCGATAAGATTGAGGATGAGAGATCGAAGAGGGATTGATGGAAAAATGGGAAATTGGGGAAATTGTTAAACGGTTGAAGAAGTAGACGATGAGAATGACGAAAGAATTGAAAGGAACTTGACTTAGAGTAAGCAGTGGTGTTGTAAGAAAGAAGGTGCGAAACGAGTTGAATTGTTCTGGTGTTCTGCCTAATAAAGAGTCACATGAGAGGCAAGTAGCGGCACTAATAAGCATTCCGAGCAGCCGTAAGCAGTACACTAACCAATTGCAAGAAGACATCAAAATATGCACAGCTGGAACTCTCCACTGTCTACCGACTCACAAATATGATTGCAGCTTCGTAAAGATACTGCTACTAATTTTTGTATTCAGAGCGTGAACACTACCGAGAAAAACTGGGACACAAGGAGAGAATGGAACTCCCAAGTCAGTAGCTGCAACTTTTTCATTCGTCATGTCCCCAATCGCAATTCGGAACGGTACCTTTTTACAAATTTGATTTAAAGGCTCCATTGGTATTTGCCAACTTGTGGACACCATTGTGCTAGCAATCTCCTTCTTTCTTACCCGAATTTTCTTATCAAAGTCTTCTATCACATAACATGTGTTCATTGATCTGAACCATGATGATATAACGGAAAGGGCCGTGCCTAGATGCTCTAAAATCCATTTTCCCTCAATATAAAGGTGGCCCTTGCAACCCACATGTTCGCGTCTTACTGGATGTGGACTGAAAGTATGGGTCCTGCTACTTGAGCCCAATGAAAGACGCTTGTGCTAGAGGTGATCTACCACTTACTACCTCTCCATAAAGAAGTGGTAGAACATGGACCAAAGTATACCACAGACAAGCAAACGGGTAGCAATCAAAGGCAATTATTTGGAAGATTGTGTCATTATAAAGTGGTGATTATTCACAGAAGATGCGAAGGTTATAGTCTCGATTTAATCTTGCAGGACTTCGCAGTCATTTGACACTTTTGCGACAGGGATCATTTGCAATGATTTCATTTGATATAATCCACTTCCGTTAATAGAATGGACTTTGTGTCCTTTTTGATGAAAATAGACCCGTTGATGAGCTCTGCAATTGATGAGGGAGACCTAAAACTGTGGATCACATTCCTCGTAAAGGTCAGTTTGCGATACTGACCGGTGCGGTAAGCTTTTTTCTGTTGATTAGGCTTCTTATCATCGGTCTATTCTGCTTATCATCGTGTGACATATTTCACATCCTGTACATGGCTCGTAACCGGTACGTCTTGACGTACGCAGCGAAGGTTGCGATGGACGAGACTGACTCTTTCAAATGAAAAAAATGAAGCTTGGTTCTCGTTATCCAAGTTGCGGCATTAATATGTTGCGGTTTTGATACTACGTGATTCCTTGCAACATTGAGAAATCGTAGAAACGACCGTTAATCTCACAGATTCTAACATCAAGTATAGCACCCCAATTGGTATCTTGTTGAGTTTGGTCTGTTTCTCTCAAGTGGTATCGTCGATTATATCTTTGCAGAATCACTCGAAGTGAAATAATGATTGAAAATCTAGAAAGGTTGCAAAAACTTTACATCGCACGAGGTATAACGCTTGTGGATGTGACTAAACACTGCGTTTCGCAGCGATACTAGATCAAACAAGTACTGAAGCTGCTTGGAATATGTTTCTAAGCCCAATCAGAATTCCGTCTAGTGTAACCACTAAGCATGGTAAACAAAAGTTATACTCGGCAAGCAGAGAATGATTCAACAGTTGGTTACAATGAGACAGGTCGTCGTCTCTGGGCTACCCAGAATCATAATATTCCATTCAAAAATGAGTAACAAAAACATGATTTGAGGTCAACCACCTTCAAATAATTTCATTGATCATATGGTAGAATTTTCCCGGTTCTACATCTGTCGAAGAGTCTGAATAACTGCCGATACTTGTCATACAAGAGCTCAGAATGGAAAGTGGTTCCATTCTTATACGACGGTAGCACGAAATATTCAATGAATACCTTCAATTTCACAAAAAGAGAAATTGTCGATAATCATTACGTTCCTCATCGAGATGCGACTACTCCGAAATTTTGTTGTGAACTGAAGACATTGAAAACCTTAGCCTGTTTGTGTCCTATTCTTAGACAAGACAGTTTTATGACCATTCAAGCAGAATGGATAGGCTACTATAGGAATTAGATAAATCTTCGGTTCACTGTAAGATCCGAAAATGGTGAAAAAAGTGTGTTTTGAATCTCATTGTGAGCGGATTAACTCATTGCCGCATTGAGAAGTGACTCCGAGCAACTGATATCCACAGTTTAAAGAGCTAAAACTCCGAATTCATCTCGTAAATGCTCCGGTCTTCTCTTCTACAAATGTGCTCCAGTGCCTTTGGCCATATACATCGTGTGAGTATTAGGCTCATTACCAGAGGTTGATGTAGCCGCAGCAGCACTGCCAAGCCAAACGGGTCGTTTCGGTCGTAAACGGCCGAAATTCGTTAGCCGACAATTACGCACTGTGGGGCAGATATGTTATCTACTTGAATTCTTGGCGCATTTGGGGACGGTGGTTTCCTGCATCCAAGACGCAAGATTTGACATAATCGTGACTTCCGACTTATCTTCACGGCGAAGTGTATGCAGGAGATCCTGAATTCCGATATGCACGGCTGATGGCTGCAACTATAAGAAAGTTGAAAGAACAATTTTTGCACCAACAATAAAAAGAATGCTTCAGATTTGATCACAGACTAATTTCGGCACTATTTTCCCAAGATTTTCAATAGGTTTCTGTCACTGTAAATGCCCACGTTCGTGACGCTCCTGCAGACAGCATGCGCCAAGGCTGCAGCTTCTTGGCCCTTCTTGGCTAATTGAATGTTGCGCGAGTGGGGCCGATATAAAAGCTGATGAGTTGCCGTTCGAAATTCATCGGTCCGCGATTGGTTTTCAAAGTTACAAGACCAATATCGATACTTTTATATTATTTTGCCCAAGTAAGATCCACATTAGATCTATACTAAAGCGTGATATTCAAGCTCTGCAGCTCCTGATTAATTATTCATTATAGTTGCTGTAGTTATCGGAGAGTACCTTCTCATTTAATAGGAATCTCTGCTAGCTCAAACTATTCCGATAACAGAACATATCACTGTTACACTCGTTTAACGCTGCGAAGTTCCTAACCTTGCTACGTTCCTAACCTTGCTATCAATCACACATATCTAGCATTATGGATTCTTCTTCCAATTCTTCCAAAACGTCCAAAATTTCAGAAAAAAGAAGCACCCGCAGAATCAACACGGAGGACACCTCGTCTGGCCCCAATGATGGCTCTCTTGCATATCGTTTGACCATTGCTCAGGTGCTTGACAAATATAAGACCCTGCGTGATGGTCTTTCGCTGGCTAGAGCAAAGGAGATTATTGACTCTGTCGGTCCGAACTCGCTTGGTGACGATGCCAAGATCTCGTACTCCAAGATCGTGGCTCATCAGGTGTTCAACGCTATGATCTTGGTGTTGATCATTTCCATGATTATAGCACTTGCAATCCAAGATTGGATTTCTGGTGGAGTCATTGGATTCGTCGTCCTTATCAATATTGGAGTTGGTTTTGTCCAGGAAGTCAAAGCTGAGAAAACGATGGGCTCTTTGAGATCCTTGAGTTCTCCCACCGCAAGAGTCACCAGAGATGGCGACGATCAGACCATTCCTGCTCAGGAAGTGGTTCCTGGTGATATTGTCCACATTAAGGTAGGTGACACCGTTCCTGCTGACCTTAGACTCATAGAAAGCATGAATCTTGAAGCCGACGAGGCTCTTCTCACTGGTGAATCTTTGCCTGTCCAAAAGGACGAAAATGAAGTATATGCTGATCCTACCGTTCCGATTCCCGTTGGTGACCGTCTCAATTTGGCATACAGTTCGTCTGTTGTTTCCAAAGGTAGAGGAACAGGTGTCGCCATTGGCACAGGCCTCGATACCGAAATCGGAAAGATCGCTCTGTCTTTGAGAGGCAACAATTCTCTCATAAGAAAAGTTGAAAAGAGTGAAGACCATTCTCCCAAGAAGCGTGAATATGCCCATGCATTTTTTGGTACCATCAAGGACGTTGTGTGCAACATTTTGGGTACCAATACTGGTACACCTCTTCAGCGGAAGCTTTCGTGGCTCGCTATCTTTTTATTCTGGGTGGCTGTTGTGTTTGCTATTGTGGTGATGGGATCCCAGAAGATGCACGTCAACAAAGAAGTTGCGATTTATGCTATTTGTGTGGCATTATCTATGATTCCTTCTGCATTGATTGTGGTCTTGACCATTACCATGGCTGTTGGAGCTCAGGTGATGGTGATGAAAAATGTCATTGTCAGAAAGCTCGACTCGTTGGAAGCCCTTGGAGGTGTCAATGATATTTGTTCTGACAAAACTGGTACTTTGACTCAGGGAAAGATGATTGCCAAGAAGGTATGGATTCCAAACATTGGAACTTACTCTGTTGAAAACTCGAATGAAGCCTTCAATCCCACCGTTGGAGACATCACCTTTGCTGATCGCAGTCCTTACTACGTTAAAGAGACCGATGAAGAAATTGACTTCACTCCAAACGTACCTGAAATGCCCAGGAATTACCGCAATTGGCTCTACACTGCTTCCTTGGCCAACATTGCTACCGTGAATCAATCCAAAGATGAAGAAAGTGGAGAACTTGTGTGGAAAGCTCATGGAGATGCCACAGAAATCGCCATTCAAGTTTACGCTTCTAGAGCCAACTTTGGCAGAGAACAACTCGCTGAAAACTACGAGCACCTTGCCGAATTTCCTTTCGATTCTTCTATCAAAAGAATGTCGGCGGTTTACAAACAAAACGACACTCAGACCACCAGAGTTTACACCAAAGGTGCTGTAGAAAGAGTGTTGGCTTGTTGTACCCACTGGTTGGGCCATAGTGATGAATCTGACAAGAACGATTTTGATAACCAAAAACCTGTTGAGTTGACAAAATCCGATATTGAGTTTATTGAGGAAAACATGAATGCTTTGTCTTCTCAAGGATTGCGAGTATTGGCATTTGCAGTCAATGATATCACTGGAGAAAACGTTGATCTTTCTGAAAGAGAAAATGTTGAAAAGAATTTGACGTTCCAAGGTTTGATTGGAATTTATGATCCTCCACGTACCGAAACTGCCCACTCGGTCAAATTGTGTCATAAGGCAGGTGTCAATGTTCATATGTTGACAGGTGATCATCCAGGAACTGCCAAGGCCATTGCACAAGAAGTTGGTATTATTCCACGTAACTTGTACCACTACAGTGAAGAAGTGGTTAAAGCCATGTGTATGACTGCAAGTGAATTCGATGCTCTTAGTGATGCGGATATCGACAACTTGCCAGTTCTTCCATTGGTTATTGCTCGTTGTGCTCCTCAAACCAAGGTTAGAATGATAGAAGCTCTTCACAGAAGAGAAAAGTTTGTTGCAATGACAGGTGACGGTGTCAATGATTCTCCGTCATTAAAAAAGGCTGATGTTGGAATCGCCATGGGACTTAACGGATCAGATGTCGCTAAGGATGCTTCTGATATTGTTTTGACCGATGACAATTTTGCTTCCATCTTGAATGCTATTGAGGAGGGCAGAAGAATGTCTGCAAACATTCAGAAATTTGTTTTGCAATTGTTGGCGGAAAACGTTGCACAAGCGTTTTATTTGATGATCGGTTTGGCCTTTATGGACAAATCTGGATATTCCGTCTTTCCGTTGTCTCCCGTCGAAGTGTTGTGGATTTTGGTGGTCACTTCTTGTTTCCCAGCCATGGGTTTGGGTCAAGAAAAGGCATCGGAAGATATTCTTGACCAGCCTCCAAACAACACAATTTTCACATACGAGGTGATTGGCGATATGGTGGCCTATGGATTCTGGATGTCGTGTTGCTGTCTTCTTTGTTTCGTTGTTATCGTGTTTGGCAAGGGTGATGGATACTTGGGAGAGAATTGTAATTCCACCAGTGCCGACAAGCATGTCTGTGAGTTGGTCTTTAAGGGAAGATCTGCTTCGTTTGCTAACATGACTTGGTGTGCTTTGATTTTGGCTTGGGAATGTATCCATCCAGTCAACTCGCTCTTTTACATGAGACAAGATACCGACAACCCATGGTGGAAACAAACGGCTATTGACTTGTGGGATAACCAGTTTTTATTCTGGTCTATCATTGGAGGTTTTGTGTCGGTGTTCCCAGTTGTCTACATTCCTGTCATTAACGACAAGGTGTTCTTGCATGGTCCCATTGGATACGAATGGGGTGTGGCCATAGGTTGTTCCGTTTTGTTCCTCTTGGGAGCTGAAGGTTGGAAGTGGATTAAACGGATCTACAAGCGCAAGAAGGCCAAGAAGGCCAAGAACCCTGAACATGACTTGGAAAGAAACGACCCATTCCAGAAGTATGCTTCTTTCTCCAGATCGAACACCATGGACAAGACCGATTACGTTGTGTAATAATAGATGCTATTGATAAGTTATTTCTACTACTATTTCTGCTACTGTATCTGTTTCTATTCTAGTCTAATTATATCAGTCTCTCTCGTCTATTTTTAATCAGTGTCTCTCACCGTAACGCTTGCTCCTTTACCTCAAATTGGGCACCTAAATGGTCAGTATTGCCAAATATCTGTATCTTTCCGTTTTTTGTCCCCTTGTTGATATCTATAACAGTTACTGATGTGTTATAAGGTACTTTTAGCTTTTCTCGGGTCAAACCCTCACCCAATGAATAGCCTTTTTTATCATGTAAGTAATTGACAAAAGTTGTAATTACACCTCCGTGGGTGCAAACAGCTACATTCAAGCATTGCTGCTGCTTGAGTATCAAGTTCCATTCCTGTTCTACCCGGCTGATAAACTGTTCGGGTTGTTCTCCCATATTTCGGAAATTATCTCCATACTTCTCTCTAGCATCTTTCAAATACATGCCTTGAACTTCACCCATGTCTCGTTCTCTCAAGTTGCTGGTAATCTTTGGTTCAACTTCGTGGTGGGAAAGAAACGGCTTGATAGTGTTCTGACACCGAATCAAGTCTGAAGAAACCAAATAATCAATCTTGATGTTTTCGAAAGTGTTCGCAACTAACTGTGCTTGTTCTCTACCAGTATCGTTGATATCGATGTCTAGGTGACCCTGAAGGATTTTCTGCACGTTGTGGTCTGTCTGGCCATGTCTGACTATGAACACCCGGAGCACCTCGGGGTTTATATTTTCTGCAATTTGCACTGTCATTATCTTGAAAAAAGATAAAAGATTTGGTGAGAAAAGATAAGGATGCATAATAATTTACGATGACTTTTTAATTTTCTAGCCAGCCCGAGTCCTCAATGCCTTGAGTACCTCCGATTTTATCTTGTAGCCGTGTTCGTCTGGGTTGGGAAACGATGAATCTTTCACCTCGGCGATATACTGCTTTACACTATCGACAGACTGGTCGTAAATATTCCCATATGATTTCACAAACTTGGCTTTCTTGTGGTCAGGACTCAACATGCCCAACATGTCGGCGTACACCAATACTTGACCAGAGCACTTGGGACCAGCTCCGATCCCGATGGTGGGAATTGAGAGTTTTTCAGTGATGAGCTCAGCTAGCTTATTGGGCATACATTCCAACACAATTGAGAACGCACCCGCTTCTTGTAGAGCTAGACAATCTTCGTAGATGCTCCATGATGACTCGGTACTATTTCCCTGTAATTTATAGCCTCCCAACGCATGATACTTTTGTGGGGTTAATCCGACATGGCCCATAACTGGTATACCGATGTCTACGACACTTTTAATCTTTGCGGCAACGTTACGTCCGCCTTCAATCTTAACCCCTTGGACCCCACCTCGCTTTACCATATCAATTGACGTGGCAATTGCTTGTTCTGTAGACAATTCGCTGGACCCAAATGGCACATCGGCCACTACCATTGCAGTATTATTTCCCCTATTAACTGCCTTGATATGGTACAAAAACTCCTCATACGGTATTTCGTTGGTGTCATTGTACCCAAGCGCCACCATTGCAAGAGAATCACCCACAAGGGTAATATCTGCATTTGCAGCTTCGCAGACCTGAGCACTAATATAGTCATAGGCAGTAACCATTGCTATGGGTTGCTTTGTTTCGTATAGCTGCTTAATATCGGCTAATGTCTTTCTTGTATTGTGCCCATGTGCCGACCTGAGGGTCGAAAACGTCGAAAAATGGCGTATTTTACCCACCCATGTTGCAGCCTTTCGGTACGAAATCATGCTGCAGATTCTCACCTCGGAGAATTTATAAAGTAGTGGTGCACGGGTGGACACTGGCTGGGAACGAGATAGCGAAATCAGAGTCGGTCAGAAATAATGAAAGATCACAAAGATCACTAAGAAAGCAACCAGAACTCAATCTAACAAATTCTGAGCTAGTTTTCCCTCGAAATGAATTCACAGCAATTTACGAATTATCGGCAATACTTTCATTTCTTAGCCGATTTTTCTTCTCGTTTCCGCGCAGTCCGCGCCGTTGGGTTGCAGCTGCACACTATTTAGGCGCACCAGAATGAGAATTGCTTTCCGCAGATTCACCACTTTCTCTCCCATTAGGATGCCTCACATTGACTCGAGTTTTTTATTGAACCACACCTGCTTGAGGATCAAGGATCCAAAGGTTTCGGTTCCATTCTACACCAAGCACTTTGGAATGAGTTTGGTGAAAAAATTGGACAATCCAGATTCTAAATTTACTCTCTACATGATGGCAATTGAGGCTGGAGACAACAAGGGAAAGCCATGGACCGAGCGTGATGGCGTGCTTGAATTGTGCCATAACTATGGTACCGAAAATGATGACAATTTTTCCGTGAACAATGGTAATGGCAGTGAACATCGAGGATTCGGTCACATTTGTTTTTCTGTAGACAACCTTGAGGCCACTGAAAAGGAACTTTTGGACAACGATGTCAAGTTTCAGAAGAAAACGGCCGACGGAAGACAGAAAAACATTGCTTTTGCATTGGATCCAGATGGATACTGGATTGAATTGATTGAAAACGGAACCAACAAGAAACCAGATTGCACTGATAAGTCCACCTACAAGTTCAATCATACCATGGTTCGTGTCAAAGATGCTCAAAAGTCGCTTGAATTCTACACCAAAGTACTTGGTATGGATCTTATCTCAACCTCGGTCCACGAGGGTGCAAAATTCACCTTGTACTTTTTGGCCTACACAAAAGATCCAAACTTCAAGCAAGAACTGGAAGAAAGGTCTCAGCAAGTTCTCAGACAAGGAATCTTGGAACTTACTCACAATTGGGGAACAGAATCCGATGACTCGTTCCAAGGTTACCATAATGGAAACAGCACCGAAAACGGCGCCAAAACTGGTTACGGCCATATTGCCATTACCTGCGATGATGCAGCCAAATTCTGCTCTGAAATTGAGGAGGCATTGGGTGGTAATGACGAACAATGGCAGGTAAAATTCAACCAGGGCAGAATGAAAAATTTGGCATTTATCAGGGACCCCGATAACTACTGGATTGAAATTCTTCCATCCAAGTTTTAGTAGTTCATCTTCTTAGCCGCTTAGCGTAATTTGCACCTTTATAGCTTTTACATCAATACACCATTCACTATATTATTTCCCCTGCAGATTGACTTGCCACCACTATGACCATCAGTAAGTAGACACTTTCATTTTGTAGAAGCATGTTCACTAATACAGTTTCGATCAAAAATTCGGGCAAAGTATATGAGATAGACGTGGATTCGAGCACCTCAGGCTCCCAATTCAAGGAGAAGATTTTCGGAATCACAAACATTCCCGTTGATAGACAAAAAATCTTGATTAAAGGAGGCAAAATCGATGATTCTAAGCCAATAGAAGAGCAGGTTTCGAGCCAGAAACAACCAATTATGGTACTTGGAAACCCTGCTCCGGCTGTGCCTTCAGAGCCTGTTGAAAAGCAAGTTTTTCTCGAAGATTTGAACCCAAATCTGTTGATAAAAGTGTCCAATGAGCCATCAGGATTGGTTAATTTGGGAAATACATGCTACTTAAACTCATCTTTACAAGCGTTGTTTCAAATTGATGATATTGCGAGCAAGGTGGCGAATTACAAGTCTCCAAATGGGATAAACAGCACATCCAACGAATCGTTGACCGCGTCTTTGCGGGCAACATTCGACCAAATGCAGAAAAAGCAGGAAAGGGTGAATCCTATGTTGTTTCTCACGTTGTTTCGTAACGTCTTTCCTCAGTTTGCAGAACAAGATCATGGTTTCTACAAGCAGCAAGATGCTGAGGAAGCCTTCCTGCAACTTTTGACAATTCTAGACCAAACGTTAAAGGTGGGTGACAACTTCCGGTTGTCTTATAAGAAGGAACAGAAATGTTTGGCGCTTCCTGATGAAGCCGCCACGGTAGATTACGAAGATTCGTTGAAATTGAATTGTCATATTGACATCAAAACTAACTTTTTGAGAGATGGCATTTTGAGTGGGTTGAAGGAAACAATCGAAAAATATAACGATACTTTACAGTCTAATACCGAGTACGAGATCTCTCGTACAATCACCAGACTTCCCAAGTATCTCACTGTTCATTTCATGCGATTCTTCTGGAGGAGGGACACGCAGAAGAAATCCAAGATCTTGAGACGAGTTCAGTTCCCTTTCGAACTCGATTTGGCCGAGATGTTGGATTCTTCGATAAAGAATGATAAAGTTGCCGTCCGTGATAAAATCAGGCAAATAGAAAAGGACCAAGACGAGTTAATAAGAGATTTCAAAAAGTCCAAGAAGTCGTCTGGGCTCAATCCTACAGAGCAAGAGGAAGAAGACCAGATGAAGATAGAGTCAATCAAGTCCAAGTTCAGAGATGACCTTTCTTCAGCATTACCAGGAATGTCGCTTGATTCCACAACCGAGAACCCATCATCGGTGTATCAGCTTGGGGCAGTTATCACCCATGCTGGGTCATCGGCGGATTCTGGACATTACCAAGCATATGTAAGAGATCCTAAGGATATTGAAGGCATCAGATGGTGGAAGTTCAATGACGACAAAGTATCTGAGGTGAGTAGAGAAAAGGTGGAGACATTGGCCGGAGGCGGCGAGGCAGACAGTGCATTGATCCTCATATACAAAGGTGTCGGTCTTTAAGTTAACGTAACTATAAATATTGTTAGCCTATGTATTTATACAACCTTGTTCTACAACTCGTTGGCGAGTTTGCGGAATTGCTGCACCTCATCCCAGCAATTTAAACTTCTTCCTTCATTGTCACGTAAACACTTGATCACTTGTTCTCTAGCCGAATTGAATTCATCGCTCGTTTGCACCTTGGCCTTGGAAATGTTGTCTTTCAATCTTTTGGTCAAATCGGCAATTTTGTCATTAGCACCAGATACAGATGTTCCTTCGTATGAGCTCGTTTCTAACGATTCTTCGGTTGTTTCTTTAAATTTTTTCAATGTTTCTCTTTCTAACTTGGCCAATTCTGCCGCTACACGGTCCTGGATGTATTTTTCTGTGTGTTGAGCTCGAGAGTAGTCGGACTGAGTTAGTAGTGAATTGGTTTTGGTGGAAAAAAAAAAGAGAAAAATAAAGGGTATCAACTCCTATGGATATCAATTAGAGTTGTAAAGACCAAAAACTCCATAAAAAGGTTTAAGCTCATTTAAAAGCAACAATAATCCAAGACTGATTTTCGATATTTCAATATTCTTCTCCCTCTCCCTCCAAGCAATTTATACCTACCTGTGTCAGCCCCTCCAACTGCGACAAGAAGGAGGCACTGAAATCAATCGGTGTGGATGGCGTGAACACCTTGGTCTCCGACTTGGATGCACTGTTTCCCATCGTTACTCTAGCACGACGAGACCAAAATCGCACTTTCTACTGGAGAACCGGGGCGTGCGCGTACCGCCGAATTTTCGGGGTAAAACCAAGTGATTTTGCACCGTTTCGTCGTACTATGCCACCCGTCCAACAGTATCAATATGCTCAGCATCAGCCCTCCAATTTCGACAAGTTCAAGATGGGCGCACTTATGGGGTCTACCGTAGGAGTTTGTGTGGGTGTTTTATTCGGAGGATTTTCCATTTTGCAAAATGGCGCTGGTCCAAATGGTGTCATGAGAACGCTAGGACAGTATATAATGGGTTCTGTGGGCACGTTTGGTCTATTTATGTCTATAGGATCGGTGATTCGTTCTGATACGGGGTTCCAGGCATATCAAAGAGCCATGTTGCAGTCACAAAGAACGACATTGAAGGTGGTGAACAGAGATTGAGGAAAAAGTTGCACATAGTAAATAGTAATACAGGAGAAGGGAGGTGGACTGTAAATGACAAATTTGTGGTTTATCATGATTGTGGTGTCTGCAGTTTAGTCTGCGACATGAATAAATATCGTAGCTATTAGCCATCATGGATGGTTTCGGTGCCCAGCTCCAAGTCATACAGATACGTGCGACCTGGATCGGGCGTCTTGTAACAAGGAAACGTTCCCTGCTCTTTAGATAACTTTAACAAAAGATCGCGAGGTTCTAGGATGGGCTCGCTACTTAACTTGAAGGTTCCCCAATGAACTCCCATCATATACTTTGTGGACAACAAGTTGGAGATCTTTAAGCTTTCTGCGGGAGAGATATGTCGCGGTTTCTGGTGCCACAGTGGACAGTATTGCCCGATGGGAAGAAGCCCAAAAAATAGGTTGCCGTACTTTTTGGCAATAGCACTGAAAAGCTCCTCCAGGTAGCCAGTATCACCAGCATGGTAAAATATGGATTCGCCGTTTCTTCGGATCATGAAAGAGCACCAAAGCGATTGGTTGGAGTCAAGAACATACCGTCCTGACCAATGCATAGCAGGAAGACAAACAACCTCATACTCGTCCGGCAACGAACCATCGAAAAATTGATTCAATGAAACTGCGTCCCACCAATCCATTTCTATGACCCGAAATATCCCCTTTCTAGCGAGCTTCTTCTTGAGACCGAGAGGCACAATCCAAGTACTGGTGTTGCCTATATCTGACGCAACCTTCATTTCCAAGTGGTCTGGGTGGTCATGGGACACAAGCACAAAATCCAACGAGTCATTTGTAGCATATTTGATGTCACCAAGGGTCATAGGCGCTTTTGTAAGGCGCTTGGGTCCAAAGTGGGACGAGATAAGATGGTCTCCCAAAATGGGATCAGTCATAATGTTGATTCCAGACATCTGCAAAAGAGAGCAAGATTGCCCAAGCCATGTGAACGTAAAGTTGTTTCTGAAAGACCAGTCTGCACCAGAGGCATTTGCCAACGAATAGTGTAATAATGCCGAGTTCTTACGCAAATATTCAAGATCTGGCTTGAATTGCTCCAACATATCTTCCACCTCCACCGTCGTGCCATTTTTGGGCACTTTATTGTGAAGTTCAACCGCATTTCCATAGAAACTCTCTACGAGTTCCATGCACCGCACCAATATGAACTCAAATGCCGTCATTGGGCGGTATTCCTCAAAAGGATTAACAAACATTCCAGCAACCGTGACCGATTTGAATTTGGAAACGTCATCATTCAAGGTTTTTAGTTGTTGTTTTCGCTTGTAAACGACATATTTCGATCTTGCCTGTAAGCACACCTCAAACGAGGTATAAGAGAGTAAAATTCCCCATCCTATCTTGGACTTCCAAGAGAGTCCAGATAGAAAAGACATGGCAAAAACTGTAAATAAACTGCGATTTGTGATTTCGCGGTGTACAGATGAGAAGAAATTTGGAGTGAGACTTGATCTAAAGAGTGAGTTTTGATCTAAAGAGAGTCTTGAAATAGTATATAGTCAGTGCTTCCTAACCACTCCCGATGCATCAGCCAACTCCAATATGTGTTTCTTATAGGCGTGGATGTCACCTGGGAATTTAGAGACGGTTTCGTTCTCGGCAACCCAGATCTCATTACACACTCGATCAATGATGTTAACGTCGTGTGATACCATGAGAATTCCTCCTTTGAATTCGTTCAAGGCATCTGCCAACGCATCCAAACCTTGAGTATCCAAGTGATTCGAAGGCTCATCCAAAATTAAAATATGAGGTTGTGACAAACACAAGGCTGCAAATGCAACTCTCGATTTCTGACCTCCAGAAAGAAGTTGCATTTTTTGAAGCCCCAACGAGCCGGTAATACCAAACGACCCCAAATGGCGTCTGTACTCTTCGTCTGTTTTCCCAGGGTATGTTTTAGACATCCACGAAACCGCAGAAAGACTAAGATCCATGGCATCAACGTGATGTTGCGCAAAGTAACCTATTCTTAAACGACCATTAGAATTGACGTAACCCAGCAATGGCGTAAGCTGACCCATTAAGAGTTTAAGAAGTGTGGTCTTACCAGTACCGTTACCACCACAAAATGCAATTCTTGAGTTCATTTGAACGTCCAAATTGACGTCTCGTATCAAGATATGAGATGGATCGTAGCCAAAAGTTAAGTCTTGCATCAGCAAAATTGGCGGCGATAAGTTGTCAGGCTCAGGGAACTTGAATGTCACCACCTTGTCGTCTTCTGGAGGCTCGAGAATAGGAAGTTTTTCCAACTTTTTGATTCTGGATTGAGCTTCCAGCGATTTCGCAGCGTTATACCTGAATTTGTCGATAAATTCTTGCAAATGCTTTCTGTAAGCCATTTGATTTTCGTATTCTCTCCTTTGATTCTTGATTCTTTCCTCTCTGGTTGCGTAGAACGAGTCGAAATTCGATCCACGGTAATAGTCCAATCTTTCAGAGTGCTGGTGAATTATATCTGTAGCCACATCGTTGAGGAACGCACGGTCGTGAGACACTACCAACACGGTAGACTTGTACGATTGCAAGTATCTTGCCAAGTAGGTGATAGAAGGAACATCCAACATATTGGAAGGTTCATCCAAAAGAAGAAGGTCGGGTTCGCAGAACAAGGCACGAGCCAACGACAATCTCATTCTCCAACCACCCGAGAACGATTTGGTAGGATTCATTTGAGACTCTTTTGTGAACCCCAACCCGAAAAGTATGGCTGCAGCTTTACTTTCCGCCTTATCTGACTCCATCTCGTACAACTTTTCATTGACATCTTGTAAATGCTTGTCCAAATCTTCTCTTTCATTGTCCAATTTTTTCACCTCGTTGGAATCTTCGTCGAACTCCAGCCTCAATTTCTCTATCTCTGCTATGCGCTCGTTTATCTTGGCCTCCTCTTGTATCAAACTTTTTCTCCAAACATCGGCATCCAACACACTTTGTAAAGCTGGGGTATCATCGCCTCTAATTTCCTGTTCCACATGTAACACAGTTATATGCTTAGGAATGTTGAGTTCACGTCTGGAAAGCGCCCTCAACAACGTCGACTTACCAATACCGTTCTGACCCACTAAACCGTATCTTCTGCCGTGAGCCAACGTGAGAGACGCATTGCTAAGAATTCTCTGACCGTCTCCAACATACAAATCAAACCCGTCAATTTTTATATCTTTGGACTTACCAGCACTAGAGCCGAAATCGAGTGGGTTAATCTCCAAAAAGAACGAATCGTAATCATCTTCCTTCTTTTCATTGAGCAATCTGGAAGCCTCATATTGAACAAACTTGTTGTTCCGCTTAGCCACCTTTTTGGCGATTTTTCTTTCTTGTTTTTCCAATTTCTTCTTGTCCACTCTACTTTCCATCTTTCTTCCTGTGTGCTCAATATCATTGCTAGCATTTAAGAGCGCCAATGAGCTGTTAATGTCTCTCTTCGAACTATTCTGTTTCAACAAATTGATGTCCAAGAGCCGCCTAGAAGTATCACCTGTCAACTCCAACTTGGCCATGTTCTCCTTGAGTTTCTCTGCGATTTGCTGGCTCGTCGATGTCACGAGTTTATCCACCTTATCTTCGAGTCCTCCGGCATTAAGCAAAAGACCTTTTATGAAATTCATTTCTTCGTCAATATTGACTTGTTGTGCAGCCACGCTGTCTTCAGTGGCATTTGTAACATGCTGGATGTATCCTACGGTATAATCCACGACCACGGGATCTACTCCTGGGACTGCTTGTCTAACTTGGAGACCTATGTTTGACATGGTGAGAATAAATTTTCGATGCGAATAACTGAAAATGCGATAGTGAGAGCCAGAAGTGACTATTGACAATTGGGGAACAATTGGTGGACTAATTGTCCCATCTAGGGTGAACCAATTGATGTTGAACCGATTGGTGGACCAATTGGTTTTAGAGGTAGAAATAAAATAAACTACACTTTGTGTCCTATGTCTTCTCTTCTTTCAGTTTCCTTTCGTTCACTAATATTCACTCTATTCTCTATACTCCTACAATACAGCCTTGATCTTCTCCTCCAACTTGTCAGCAGATTTCAACGCTTGCACGTCACTGTTTCCACCAATGTGCTCGCCACCAATGAACACATTTGGCACAGTTCTCTGGCCAGTCAATTCGAAAAGAGCATTCTGAAGCTCACCACCATCAGCAAGCTCGTCCAATTCTATAATGTGGGCCTCCTTGGTAATAGAACCAATGGTTTGCTTTGTTTTGTGGCAGTAAGGACAGTAGGACTGAAATTAGTAATTGAACTGAAAGTAAAATTTTCATAATCTAGAAATCTTAATGGTACTTACCTTCGAAGCAATGAACACTGGGTTCTCTTTGATCAAAGTTTGGATCTTCTGGGTAGCGTTTTGAGATGTCATTCTTGTAGTTGTAAAGTTTCTAGCAAGCAACTTAAACATCACCGAGCTTATAAATCTCACGCTGCCACAGTTCGCAGTCGCACATGCAGGCATTTCGGTTGCAACCTCAGCCACTGAAGAGACTGGTTAATCGAGAGGCTAAAATCAGTTTATTTTTTGATCTTTGCCTTGCTGTACAGTATTCTAAACTTCATATCGCTTGCAATTGGACTTAAATACTACCTCATAACTAAAGGGCGGAAACAACAGCGGCTCCCAATGCTGCAACGCCAGCTATTCCGGCCCAGAATCCAAAGAACGTAGAAGGTCCACCAATTCTGACGTCTCCCTTTCTGCCAAACCACACATTTCCATTATACTTATCCATGGACAACGACACCGCCTTGTCCTTCTTATCATTGAATGGTGGATATCTTACAGACAACACACCCTCGTTCCACAACTTTTGTTCCATGATGGTTCTCTCGTGGGTAAAAGCACGGAATGAGTACCATCCATGGTAGTTCAGGTGACCCGAGTTACCAACACCTCCAAATGGTGCATTGACAAGCGCAACGTGAAGAAGCACATCATTAACCACAGTGGCACCCGATCTGACTCTTCTCAAAATTTGGTCAACGCTTTTGTTGGCCGTTCTGGAAGTACTGCTGCTGGTGAAGATGTACTGGGCCAATGGTGTGTCATGGTTGCCAATAATACCTTCTATGGCATCACCCAAAGACTTGTAGGAAAGGACAGGCAAGATAGGTCCAAAAAGCTCGTTTTTCATCGAACTATCAGTCCAAGACACATTATCGATTATGGTTGGAGCAATGTAGCGCGAAGCATCATCGGTGTCTCCACCAACGACAACTTCACCTTTGGTGGACTTGATGACCTCCTTCAAGTTGTTATAAGCTCTTTGATGGATAATATGGGTGTAGGATGGATCATTCTTATTGACATTGGGGTAAAGTTGCTCCTGTACAACTTTCTTCATTTCAGCGACCAATTTGGCCTTGAGAGATTCATGAACCAAAACATAGTCTACAGCCACACATGTTTGACCGGCGTTTGTGAAACGACCCCATACGATTCTTCTTGCGATAGTGTTCAAGTGCTTATCAGTGATATCAGGGAGCACAATTGCAGGGGACTTACCACCCAATTCAAGGATGACAGGAGTCAAAGTTTCAGCTGCCTTCTTGGCAACGATGGTTCCCACCATGTTGTTACCGGTGTACATGATCTTGTCGTACTTCTGTTCCAACACCTTTGTGGTTTCAGGAATTCCACCATTTACAACGTAAAAGATATCTTTATCCAACGCTTCGGAGAACAATTTGGAGATCAATGCCGAATAATTAGGCGTCAATTCCGAAGGCTTAAACACCACGGCGTTACCAGCAGCAATGGCACCGGCAATTGGCGCGAGGGACAAGAAAAATGGATAGTTGAATGGAGTAATGATCAATATCACTCCCAATGGGATACGCTCAACGTAGATTGGGGTTGATTTCATGGAAAGTGGCACATCGGTGACTTTCTCTGGCTTGATCCACTTGTGCAACAGCGACATCGTATGAAGCAATTCGCTCAAACCAGGAGCGATTTCCAAGTTTTTACTTTCAGAAGCTGCCCGACCAAAGTCCTTCCTCAAGGCATCACAAATTGCGTCTACATTATCCTTGACAGCAAAGTAAAGATTACGCAATTGGTTCAACCGGAATTGAACCAGGGCAAGTTTGTTGGTTTCGGAGTGGAACTGTTTGTGTAACCGGGCCACATTGGGCTCAATTTCGTCCAATGGAGTACTGGTAAGTACCGAGTTTGAAGACGTTGTTGAAAGAGTCTTCTCAACTATATGAAACGAATCAGAGCCCTTGAGCTTTTTGCCTTCTGGAACAGCAACTGCACCGTTTTTAGACTGTTTTGACATAATTGGTGGCGGTTATTTTTGGGGCTGCATCAAACGCTCATTTTATACTATTTCGCACATGCGCGCCTGTGAAATAATAATCCATGGCAAACGAACTCCCCGCACATGCCGATGGCCTCGGATAGTCCAACGGGCGCGGGTGCTGGCGCACGACAGCAGGGTCTCAACTGCACCTAGCATAGCGCGAAGAGGCAATTTTGGTAATGAAAAAATTAGTATGGCGCACGACCTGGGTAACGACAAGCTTTGAACTAATGTCGCAAATTGGGTGCAACTTTTATTCTAAATGCTCTTAGATAGTATCGTAAAGTTTATAATGAAAATGGACGTGAATCGGGTACAATGCTGCCGCTAATTGAGGTATTTCGTACAAAAATTGATTGCAAAAGCAGACTGAACGTTCGCTAAGTCAAAGAATTGAGGAGTTGATGAAAGGCATGGTTCAGTCTTGGTACGTAGATGGGTCCCAAATGGCAAACACTTCATTCGATTCCGGATGGGAAAGAGTCTTCATATCCTCGTCCAGAATGCTAAAGTCAAAAACGTCAAGGTTCTCGATTGCACGTTCCTTCTTCTCGCTCTTAGGCAAGACAACGAATCCTTGTTGTAGTGACCACCGGATCAAAATCTGAGCCGGGCTCTTGTTGTATTTTTCAGCTAGTTCAACCAAGGTCGCATCATGAAGCTTTTTTCCTTGCGTGAGTGGACTGTAGGCCTCCAAAATAATGTTGTTCTCTTTAGCATAGTCGACAATCTTGGTACGCATCAACCATGGATTCAACTCAATCTGATTTACGACTGGCTTTATTCTCAACCCATCCCATTCCAATAATTCCTTCAAATGATGCACTCCATAGTTGGAAACACCAATCAGTTTGATTTGACCATTCTCGACTGCCTCTTGCATTGCCTGCCAAGTTTCCAATCTTTTTTCCCTATTAGATTGGGGCGAGTGGATCAACATCAAATCAATATACTTCAAAGATTTGACTCTTTCCAAACTTCCTTCAATGGCTTTTTTGGCTTTTTCATAACCATGGTTCGAGTCCAAAATCTTTGTAGTATAGTAAACGTCTTCTCTCCTGCGATCTGAACTCTCTTTAAGCCATTTGACAATTCCTTCGCCAACCTCCTGCTCATTTTCATACATTTGCGCAGAGTCCAAGTGCCTATATCCAACACTCAAAGCATTGTAGGCAACCTGTGATGCTACATTTGGTGGAGTCAAGTAAACTCCCATTGCAATCACTGGGATCTTTGCACCATTGTTTAAGGAGTAAGTGGAGTATTTTGTAAGCGAGTTCATCTTTATTTGCTTCTCCTCCAAGAATTGGGGCCTTAAATATTCATATCGTGCACTTAAGTCCTAGAGTCAGTGAATATGTTTGAGAGCAATTTCTCAAATTGAAGGCACTTGGAAGTCTTGGCGACATTTTGCTCTCAACATTACACTGCGATGTATTGCACGTCACAATTTTGAGCGATGGTCTATTGCATGGTGAGTTTTTGTTCTCAAAGTGCAAGTGAATTGAAAGCAAAAAATGGATTATTTGAGGAGTGAGGAGTCACTCGTTCGAATGTAGCACATTCAACGATGTCCACAGAATTGAACAAAAGAGTCGTGACTGAGTACTTCAACGAATATTGGGGAAAGGGCAATGTAGACATTGTCGACAAATTATGTGCTGAAGATTATCTCATTCACTATCCAATGCACGGACCAAGAGTTGGGAGAAACGCTTCGAAGAAAATGTTGTCTGAGTTTAGAGAAGCATTTCCCGACCTTTCATTTGGAAGCTATGGTGTACCTTTGATTGCCGAAGGTGATTATGTTGTTGGACGTTGGATTGGTGGAGGTACACATTCTGGTGTCGCTTTTCACGATCTTGCTGTTGGTGAGTTAGACAAACCTAACACGAGAAAGAAGATATACTTTTCAGGTACTTCCATCTTCAAGCTCAAGGATGGTAAAATAGTATCCGAGATTGGTGAAGAGGGTGCTTTGACGGCTTTGCAACAGTTGGGAATTGTTCCAGGACCCAATCCAGGAAAGGACATCAAGTATGATGAGGGATATCCAACAAATGAATAACTGTAAAACTGAATAAACTGTTTGTAAGACCGAGAATTGAATAAACTTTTATAGCACCAAGAAATGAATAACCTTTTATGAATGTAACACCAAAATGAATCAGAAACTAACTTGAATCAGTGCAATGAAGATTCCCTTGGACAGTTATGCTCTGGTATCAACGCAAGTGCATTTATTCTTCAAACTGGCGTCCAACGCGTGTGGGGTGTGATCACTGACCTATCTGAGAACCTCAGTATCGTGCTTTGTGACTGGTATGTTTTATCAGCTGGGAACTTTCAAGCGCTAGCTCAAGTATTGAAACACCTATAGGTGAAAGATTTCCACTTCATATCGAAATGGCGTGTTCAATCAAAGGTTATTGTTGGTTTGACAGAATTTGCAACCCACTGCACCTCCGCGCCAATTTATACTTCAAAATTCGCATTGGGCAATTGCACCCGTCAAAACGCGCACCCGTGCACCATTCTGCCCCAGATGACATCTGACGTCAGCTGGGTGCGATGTTATCGCCGGTTCCACTTTAATCTATTTCCATTTTATTTCGTTTCGACGCTTGTACTAAAAGTTTTTCGTTAGCCTAGCGCTATATTAGGTGCCATCTGTATGGCTGGCTTGCTATAGGTATCCATTTTGTTACAAAACCAACAAATTTGACCAACTTAAAACCGTCCATTAGTCATCACCATTTCCCAAAACTGCCACTTTCAATGTCTCCAACCACTGTAAACCATCATCCAAGGCCACAACGACTTCCTTCCCTTTCCGTCAAGGTGGATCCCACGTTAAAGCTGTGTCTTTCTTCCACAAACGTTGTTAAGAATACTGCGGAAAGTGCAAGTCACCCTTCATTTGTGGTTGAAAATAATGATTGCAGCCCCAATCTCCATGGTCTCTATTCAGGAGCGTGCTGTGACGAGGATCAGGTGAAGGCACCAACGCCAGTGGTGTTTAGCAGCAAAGATCTGTTGCCTTTGATGTCAAGGTCCGGGTCCATTGTTCTGCCACCGTTAATAAACCAAGAAGCCGCAAACAAAAAACGCCACTTGTTGATAGGTATCACCGGTTGTATCTCCATCCACAAGAATGTGTTTTTGATCATTGAAAAATTGTTCGAGTTGTACGGCCATGAACGGCTTGAAATCCAGGTGGTACTCACCAAATCCGCCGAGTGGTTTTTGACAGAAAAGCTTCACAAATTCGACCAGTTGGGCGTGAAAGTATGGTTCCACAATGACGGTATCAAACAATATTTGACGTCAGACATATATTCCAAGTCCGGTAAGATGAACCCAGCCGCCTTGCCCAATCACACCATGCTTCCATTTGCGCTTCAGCGATGGGCAGACATGTTTTTGCTCGCTCCGCTTTCAGCAAACACTTTGGCAAAAGCCATAAATGGCCTTTCTGACAGCTTGTTGACAGATATCTTGCGTATATGGCACGCACCTGCTCACTCACACAACGACGCCATGTATCCTTGCAGTGACAATACGGTGTTATCAAGTGCATCGCTGTCAGCCAAACCACTTCTCGCAGCCGTGGCTCTCACCAACTCCATGTACTCGCATCCAATTACCAAGCGACAGCTTGTATTGTTGAAGGAAACGTTTCCCAACATATGCATTTTAAAGCCTGTGGAAAAGTGTGTGGATGTCGATGGAAATATTGCTATGGGAGGCATGCGGTCTTGGCGTGAAGTTGTAGACTTTGTCACCAAGGGTCTTGGAGAGCCAGAAGAGGAGGAAGATGGTGAGGAAGACGATACCAACGACGACGACAGGTCGCCCACGTCGAATCTCATATCTATTCATCACCACCGGTCCACACTAAGCAGCAAAGAAATACAGGAGCACGAGCGGTTGGCGTCTCAGAATGCTATATTAAACTCAGGAGTTGGCTTTGAAGTGTCTACTGCATCGTCCATGCTATCTGAACGAGCTTAGATGATAGCTGTAATAGTAAGTGAATTATCTGGAGACTTCTCAGTAGCAATTCAATTTGTACCAGCTATCACTCTTTAAGCATATTTGCTGTCGAGACATTCTCTTCTTCGTAGCAATTGTCACTATTCTCCGGGCCAGTTCGCACTCCCCCGCATTTTCCATCTTCTTTATAAAATGAAAAACTTTGAATTCGACCCAAACGCATACAGCAAAGACGAGTACTTGATTGGTGGAATTGCCACCTATGTTTATAATGCATCACAATTAACTCCATACATCAATCTGATCAACGAAAAGTTCAACAAGCATTCGGGAATTACTGATTCCAAGCAGCTAGAGGAGGTTCCTGTCAAGATTGTATACTTGGTTCACCAGCGTGGGGGAGATTACACTTATACAGAGTCTGCTGCCTACACTGTATTGAAACAGTACTACAAGAAGGCAAGTTCTCTTGATGTTCCGTTGGTTTGTGTGACATTTGACAATCGCAACCACGGCGCCAGACTTGTACAAGAAGTCAAGAACCGAGGATGGAAATCTAACGATACCCATGGGGCGGATTTGGTGTCTATAGTGGAGGGAAATGTCATTGACTTGAAGCTCGTGATGGACTACTTGCCAGCATACTTGAATTTGGAAGCAAAGTTGGCACCGGAATTGAAAAAAGCTCACCAAACTGTCATCAAATATCGTAACGGAGTGTGTGGTTACTCTTTGGGAGGTCACACGGTTATTAGGTACGCTCTCAAGTACCCTGAGTCAATTCAATTTATCAATCCTAACATTGGTTGTGCTGATATGACTTCGTTATTGATTACCAGGTTGCTTCAAGTTGACAAAGAATCTCCAGCTTTTGATAAAAAATGGTTCTATTCCAGCTACGACGAATTGAAACTCACCGAACACCAGTCGTCCGTTCAGTACCCAGAATACTTGCACCGTATCGTGGCTGCTGAAGATGTTTCTATCTTTGAAAACTACCCTTTTTCCCTGGTGAAAATGTTTGCAGCTTTTGGTGCCGATGACCTGTTGGTTCCCGCACGGTTGTCCAAGTTGTGGACCGATATGTATAAGAATTCAAACCCTGCTACTGAAGTTTTTGTTCAGCCGGGGGTGGGACACGATGTTACCCCGGAGATGGTGGACAAGTTTACGAGCTGGTTAGCCAGGAATTATTAAAAAGTGAAAAGAAAATGATGAAAGGTATCAAGTATCTTGAAATAATTTTAGAATTGTAGACTTTCTTAATGTTTAGTTTCGACATCAATGTATTGTATGAGGTACATAAGCGACTTTTGCACCCGTGCGCGGCTCCTGTGCGATTATCGTCTCAACTAAAACAAGTCACCCTCCAATGCTCAAATCACAAATAGCACCCATTCCTAGCTACGAGCTGCAGCCGGTGCACAAGCCGTCTTCTCTGGTCAACTTTATCACCTTTAACCAAGATGGGTCTTGTATTGCAGTGGGTAATAATAAAGGCTATAGCATCTTCACCACCAATCCATTTACAAAATGTTATGATTCGCCACCCGGAGAAGCTATAGGTATAGTGGAAATGCTCTATTCCACGTCATTGGTAGTTGTTGTAGCTTTGGGTGAAGAAACAGGGCTGTCTCCTCGTAAACTAAAAATTATCAATACCAAGAGAGGGTCTACAATTTGTGATTTGGTGTTTCCTTCCACCATATTAAAGGTCAAACTCACTCGCTCCCGGATGATAGTTCTCCTTGAAGAACAAATCTACTTGTATGACATATCCACCATGAAGCTTTTACATACCATTGAAACGTCCCCTAATATGGCTGGTATATGTGCGATTTCTGCTGATCAAGGTTCGACTGACACCTCAAATTCTGCCGACAATTCGGGCTCTATTGGTTCCGGACCAGCTTCTGGTTCAGGTGCTGGCTCTGGCTCGGCTTCAATGACTTCCACCGACTCTACTCCAGATGCCCAATCCCATTCATACCTCGCCTATCCCTCTCCTCCAAAAACAGCAATGCACGATTCGCTTCTTGTGGCTGGAATCAACACCAATGGGGGACTGCACTCCAAGCAGAACAACATCCAGTCGGTCAGTAATGCTCCTAATAGGGTGGGAGATGTGATTATTTTTGACACTGATCTGCTCCAACCTCTATGCGTGATAGAAGCCCATAAATCTGCACTCGCAGCCATTTCTCTTTCTTCCGATGGCCGCTTGCTTGCTACCGCATCCGACAAAGGAACCATAGTAAGGGTTTTTTCCGTTTCAACCGGTGCTAAATTGTACCAGTTTCGCAGAGGTACTTACCCCACCAAAGTGTACCTGGTGGCTTTCAGCCCCGATAACCGGTACGTGGTGACTACTTCCGCTTCTGGAACCGTTCATATATTCAGACTCGGTGAAGATGAGTCGTTGGAATCCAAACACAAGCGCAAGAGAGCTTCAAGACAGCACGAAACTATAGCAGAAGAGACGTCTGCCACTCAAGATCTCGACGACGAAATCGAGGATGACGGCGACGATAGTGACGTGGACGATGTGGAGTCGTTAGAGGTGGTTCCTTCTAAGCAACGAAAGCTTTCCCAGGGTTCGTCTAACTCTTATACCAGTATGAATTCTGGCATTTCTGGAATGAGCGAGGATGGAAAAGAGCCTAAAATCGACCCGATAGTCGACCATGCCAGACTCTCGGTGGCACGAATGATTCGACGGTCGTCTCAAACTCTTGGTCGAAAAGCGGCCCAGAAAATGGGCGACTTTCTCCCCTCCAAGTTTGCATCCATTCTCGAACCCACGAGACATTTTGCCTCGCTCAAAATAGCGTCTGCATCCAAGGACGTCAAGTCGATAGCCGTGCTCGACAGTCAGGTGGTCCATGACATGGTACCGCAAATGTTTCTTCACTCGAAAGATGCAGCACCAGCATCGGCTTTGGATACGCAGCTGATGACGGAAATGGCCCTTTTGCATATTTTTGTCGTTACATCCGACGGATACTTGTACGTCTACGGCTTGGATCCAGAAAGAGGTGGGGATTGCATACTTCTACAACAGCATTCATTTGATATATAGGTTCCCATGGCGATCCAAAAATTCCTGCATAAAATTGTTCAATTCATCTCATCACATTCTGTAAGCTCAAATCATCATGTTGGAACGCAAAAGGCTTACCTCGGGTCTCACGGTCACGTCCAAAGTCTTTGTGAGGTCCCGCAATGGAGGTGCTACCAAGATAGTTCGCGAACACTATCTTCGTGACGATATTCCTTGTTATTCGACGCTTTGTGAAATTTGTCATGAACACTTGAAACCCGATGCCGCAGGTTTGTTGCCCCAATTTGTGCTTTCAAGCACACCCCAGAAGCTCACAAGCGGTGAAATGCACTATGTGGTTGTGGACACCAACATCATGCTTCATGCTGTGGATATGTTGGAAAATACTGCCTGTTTTTACGATGTCATTATTCCCCAAACAGCCTTGGATGAAGTTAAAGCAAGGTCTTTTCCTATCTACCAGCGAATCCGGGCCCTTGTCAAGGGCAGTGACAAGCGGTTTGTGGTATTCCATAACGAGTTTCATGAATCTACCTATATCAACCGAGGAAAGCTGGAGACCATCAACGACAGAAATGATCGTGCCATCAGGAAAACTGCCAAATGGTACCAAGACCACCTTCCCAGTGTAAAGATTATATTTTTGTGCAACGATAAGGATAATAGAACCAAAGCTATTGCCGACGGATTGGAATCATATTCGTTGTCACAATACATTGACTGCTTGCCAAACGCTGACGATTTAAGAGATTTGGTGCCCCAAGAAAATGTATCTTTTTCAGGCGACCGTCCAGAAATAAGTTTCCCTGAGTACTATTCAAACTCTCGAATCATGGGTGGAATCAAGAACGGAACTCTTTACCAGGGTATTATCAACATTTCGCCGTATAACATATTACAAGGTAGCGTGCTGGTACCTGCCTTCAAAAAACCACTTTTAATAATTGGCTCCAAGAACTTGAACAGGGCATTTCACAGCGACTCGGTGATTGTGGAGTTGTTGCCCAAGGATAAATGGCGGGAACCATCGTCAACTATTGTCGAAGAGAGCGCCGTTGCTCAGAATGATAATCCAGACGAAGACGATGATATAAATGGATCAGAGCCTAAGGGGGTCATTTCCGATAACGAACGCCGACTCTTGGCACAAGAAGCTCTTCATGTCACCAGTGAGTCCAAAAAACAGCAGCTGAGACTTCAACCCACCGCAAAAGTGGTGGGAATTTCTCGGAGATCTTGGCGGTACTATGTTGGTCAAGTCGACCCACTGTCTGTTTCTGAGAGCGGGAACGCTTCCAAGACATGTTTTGTTGTTTTGATGGACAAAGTTTTGCCTAAAATCAGAATACGGACGAGAAAAGCTACTGATTTATTGGGTAAGAGAATCGTGGTGGTGGTTGATTCGTGGCCCTCGACTTCAAAACACCCTCAAGGCCACTTTGTCAGAAGCTTGGGTGACGTGGAAAGTGCCGAGGCAGAAACTGAAGCGTTATTATTAGAGCATGATGTGGAATATCGTCCTTTCTCAAAGAATGTGTTGGACTGTCTTCCCAAGGAGGGAGCCAACTGGAAGGTTCCTGAAACTTTGAACATGGCTGATGGACAATTGGCTCAACGGAAAGACCTTCGTGATAAGCTAGTTTGTTCTATCGACCCTCCAGGATGTGTGGATATCGATGATGCACTTCATGCTCGAAAACTTCCAAATGGAAATTATGAAGTTGGTGTACATATTGCCGATGTGACTCACTTTGTGAAACCCAACACTGCTCTTGACCAAGAAGGTGCTTCCAGAGGTACGTCGGTATACTTGGTGGACAAGAGAATTGACATGTTGCCTATGCTTTTGGGAACGAATTTGTGTTCTCTTAAACCATATGTGGATCGATTTGCTTTCTCGGTGATTTGGGAACTTGATCAAAATGCCGAAATTGTCAATGTTGACTACATGAAATCCATAATCAAGTCTAGAGAGGCATTTTCGTATGAGCAAGCCCAGCTTCGAATTGACGATAAATCTCAAAATGATGAACTTACCCAGTCCATGAGAATCTTACTCAAGCTTTCCAAGAAATTGAAACAGAAACGTTTGGATGCTGGTGCCCTAAACTTGGCATCTCCTGAAGTCAAGGTCCATATGGATAGTGAGACCTCAGACCCCGGAGAGGTTGAAATTAAAAAGCTTCTCGAGACAAATTCGTTGGTTGAAGAGTTTATGTTGTTCGCCAATATCTCGGTCGCCAGAAAGATATACGATGCCTATCCACAAACGGCCATGTTACGTCGCCACGCCCCTCCGCCAGCTACAAATTTCGAAGCTTTAAATGAAATGTTGAGAGTCCGTAAGAAGGGTATGTCTATTTCGCTTGAATCGTCGAAAGCTTTAGCCGATTCGCTCGACAGATGTGAAGATCCCAATGACCCATACTTCAACACATTGTTGCGTATAATGTCTACCAGGTGTATGATGGCTGCCGAATACTTTCCTTCCGGTTCTTATGGGTACCCAGAGTTCAGACATTATGGTTTGGCAGTTGATATCTACACCCATTTTACTTCACCAATTAGAAGATACTGCGATGTGGTTGCACACAGACAGTTAGCCGGTGCCATTGGCTACGAAAACTTGGACTTGAGTCATCGGGACAAAACCAAGATGGAACTTATTGTCAAGAATATCAACAGGCGGCACCGCAATGCCCAGTTTGCAGGAAGAGCCAGTATTGAATATTATGTTGGCCAGGTTATGAGAAACAACGAGTCTGTTCATGAAGGATATGTCATCAAGTGTTTCAATAATGGAATTGTTGTCCTTGTGCCCAAGTTTGGCGTCGAGGGACTCATCAAGTTGGACTTGTTGGGAAAGGTCGACAGTGCCGTTTATGACGAAGACAAGTTTGAGTTGACATTTGAGGACCATTCTGGAAAAAAGAGAGTGGTGGGGGTGTTTGATAAAGTGGAGGTAGACGTCAAGTCTGTCAAGGATGAGGTTACGGGAAAGAGAAAGGCACAGTTACTACTTAAGAAGTAGAAGAAAGTGAGGACCAAAAACTAGGGGAGGAATAGTCATAGAGTATGCATAGACTAATGTCAGTAAATTTTTAGCTGCGCTATCTATCAGTACTCTTCAGTACTGTTCGTACTGTTCACACTCTGCAGCTCTGCAGCTCGCTACGGCTCGCTAGCGGCTAATATACTCCACCAACTGCTCTATGGTGATGATTTTGAGATTGTGTTCCTTTGCAAATTTTTGGCAGTCGGGCAATCTCTGCATGAGTCCATCTTCATCTCTTACAAGTTCACAGATTACAGCCGCAGGTTGGAGCTCTGCGAGCTCGGTAAGTTGTACCGCTGCTTCAGTATGGCCTCTTCTCTTTTTGAGTAGTCCTGGCACCGCTCGCAAGGGAAGAATATGGCCTGGCTTTATAAAGTCTTCCGATTTGGATTCAGCATTAGCCAACAGACGAACCGTCAATGCCCTATCGTGAGCAGAAATTCCCGTGGTGGTTCCGTGGGAATAGTCACAGGTGACAGTATAAGCTGTTCCATGACGATCAGTTTGGTCTTTTAACATTGGGTGCAACTCGAGCTTGTCAGCACGTTCAGTAGATAACGGAGCACACACGTATCCAGACAGATGGCGGACCAAAAACGCCATTTTTTCCTGGGTGCAAAGCTCAGCAGCCATGATTAAATCACCTTCATTTTCACGGCTCTCATCGTCCATCACGATCAAAAATTCACCCTGCTTAAATGCCTGAATGGCTTCAGGTATAGGTGTAAACGACATGCTGGATGTGACTACTAGGAGCTGGGGGATGTACGTCACTTATATAAGTAGTATAGTGGCCGGCGGTGGATTCTAAGCCGGTTTGTTTCACGTGAGCTAATGCGGGTCGGACGACTTTGTCAGCTGTGTCATGTATGAATAAGTGCGTAATTATCCGAGCGGCTCGGAAAAAGCTACTGGTTACACTATTTTCTCCATTCTATTAGACCCTTTTTCTATTTAACTCTTTTTTACTTATTACTTTTACTTTCACTTTTACTTTTTTTTCTCTCTTTCATTTTCCTTTTCTTCACTTTTCTCTTATTTCTCGATTTTTCACTTTTTGCAATTTTCACATTTTGCATTTTCACATCTCATGTTTCCATCCACATTGTCCCACACAGCCCAATACCCCAATGGCCCCACTATAGACTACATTCTTACAGAACTAGAAGACAAAGTCATACTCCACATACGAATAGACAGCACTATGGATTCAACATTTGAAATACCAGTGTCCACCTCCGACACCATGCGATTGGCCAGTGGTACTCTGGGTGAAGATACTTTGATAGAACCCAAAGCTCATTATAGGCAACCATGCAAACTTTAAAATACAGATAGTAGCGGGCCAAATAGCCAAGTTGATGTTGCAAAGTAGTAATCCAAAAGACACATTCTTATCGATAGGATCAAGATGGTTCGGCAAAGGAGATGAAGCCGAATCGGATGACTTTGACAAACTAATGTTTGTGGTGGAGAATCTCGGCATACTATTGAAAAAGAGACCAGAAAATTTATAGTATTATTTGCGTATAGTATCTACTTCTTCTATTTCTTGGCTGGCCGTTCTTTCACTGGCACCTTTCTTTCCTTGGTTCCCCACACAAGCTTGTGGGGTTTCATAAACTGGTCAGTTTCCTCCTCGGTGATGGCAGCCCGTCTTGCCTGGTACGCAGCCACAAAGTCTTGGATCACAGAAATACACTCTTGCTTCATTTCTCCCGACAAAACCTCTCCCTTTCTATAACCATCGGCCAACTTTTGCAACTTTTCGTCGTCATAACTGAAAAACGAAAGGTATTGGAATGCCACGTCGATATCCGGGTCCCCACCCACCTCACGGTGTTCCTCTATCGTGGCTTTTCCACCAGAAAACGCATACTTGTTGATCTTCTTTTTGATCTGGTTCGGAGTGTCGCCCATGAAAATCGACGTGGTGGTGTCGGAAGCCGACATCTTGGTGGATGCTCCTTGCAAGGCTGGAAAGAACTTGGCGTGGATCAAACTTGGCTTGGTAAACTTGAGTTTATCGGCAACATCTCTGCACACTCTAAAGTATGGGTCTTGATCAATGGCACATGGAATTAAGCATGGTGTCTTAGCAGGCAAGCCCAAAACGTCAGGAAATGACGAAGGGAACGCAGTGGCAATCTGGACACTGGCAAAGTGAAGTTTTCCAATACAATCGGAATCTTGAAATCCAAATACTGCCTTGGCTGTAGAGGTGGTAATTTGTCTTGAAGTACGGACCACATTTTCGTAGAATGGTCCGTTCATATACTCCAAGTCTGAAAAGATAAATGTGTTCTCTGGCTTGAACCCAACTGCTATGATATCCTTGGCGTTTGTGCGGGCAAAACCCTTGACATCTTCAATGGTTAATTTGGGTTTGAACAAAAACTTTTCATCATCTGTCAATTCAATGACCAAGGGAACATCGAAAACCTCCTGTAACCATCTGGTGAATTCAAAAGGGACCATATGACCCAAATGAATGGAATCTGACGAAGGTCCTCTTCCCGTGTACAAGAAAAAAGGCTCGCCGTGCTCATAGAGAGACAAGATTTTTTCGAGGTCTCTTTCGGAAAAAAACACACCTCTCTTCAAGAATGGGTGTGGTTCAGCCCCGGTAACTGCCTTGAATCTTTCCAACGTCTCGGTGGTAATTTTACGAGTTCCAAACTGGTTTATCAATTTGTCGTAATCGATGCCTTGGGTTTCACCATCCACCACAGCACCTTCTACTTCCCAAGGTGTGATTTTCTGTTCAGTCTTGGCATTCTTAGCATCTTCCACCGACAACCCGGCGGTCTTTTCTTCCAAAGACATGGTTAGTCAAGGTAATTGGTGAAGTAATGAGTGGGTTGAGTCACGATGCAGGCGAGAGATGCGCGAAAGGCATATAGAGAAAGGAAGTGAATAGCATTATAAAAATCAATAAAGTTGAAAAGATGGAATTCTTATAGTTGAAAAGATCAATTAAGTAATATCTTGGTCGTCTACTCTCTCGTTTGTTTTATTACCTATACATGCCGATTAAAAGTGGAGCTTGGTGAAGAACCACTTGTTCTTACCGGCTTGGTGCTTCTCCTCTAAAGCCTTCTTGACAACCTTCTTGGCCTCCTCTCTTTGCGATGGCTCCTCCAAGGATTCAGATGTGACAACAGACTTGAATGACTCAACATCCAACGAGTATCTGGTTGGCATCAAGTGGTTGTAGTTAACCAACTTGACGAATGGCTTGACCTTGGTTCTCTTAGCGGTCTTCTTAGCACCCAAGTTCTTGGTAACTTTCAATGGATAACGTTCGATACCAACAACAATGGCATGTGGGAATGGGTGGGACTTGGTACCTTCATCGTGAGGCTTGACGATCACCACCTTCTTACCAGCGAAACGACCACGGACGACAATAGCTAAGAGTTAGTATTATATGTTTTGGATTCGCTGCAGATTGACGTTGCTGGGCATGCACTGGACATATGTGAACATAATATCGATGAAATTTCAAGGTTGTCAAAGTGAAAAATTATAGGTGATTGAATTCTCAAAATATGCTTCCATCTTCAGCACCAAGTATCACTACAGCTTGAATATACGTGCTGGCCCCATGTAGAAGTACTTACCAACTTTGCCTGACTTGATGAATTTAGCCATTATATCTGTTCTAGTACTTTTCTCAAGTCGCTTAGAAAAATTTTATGAGGTTCGCGGGTGAAAAAATCAGCGACACAAAACCGCAAGGGCACAGCCCTCGCACGTGAGGATACATACAGGAAAATTGCAACCACGTTGAGCCAAAGGATTATACCCCAACTTGGTTCATTAGTTACTAATTTGATCGTTCCTAATAATAAGACACACTTTCTTGATTTTTATCTTGAAATATTGGAGTATTAGAATCTCATTGACAATATGAGATTAAAGTATTTGACTATCCCAATTACTAGGGCTTTGAGCAGAAGAATTGCACAAGCGACTCGTAGTTCGGTTACTATTCTTGGTACCTTTGGCACTTTACTCGCTCAAGAGTTCAGAAAGCTGCTGAAATGCAAACTCGTCAATAACTTTTGCAACTCACTACCTGTATGCACCAAGCTGAGTTCTCTTATTTATCTATGACCAATTTCGCTTTTACGGTTTATGAACGTTTCGACTGCTTGCCTATTCTATTTCTAGGAAATGGCGTATTGACATCTGCGTCGCACAGCTTATGGATATAAGGTTGCTGCAGCCGGATTAATTTGACTGCGAATTCGGAAAATTAAGCCACACTTGAATCTTGGCACTTCTATTGAACTGGTTACGAGTTTCCAAAAATAGCAAATTTTCTCATTTCAATAGGTTGATTTCATCGAACTGAATTTGAGCCCACGGCCGGTTGTGAGCTACCTGTTGGTTATTCTGGAGTTGACTAAACTCTCCTATATGACGTAGATATGCATGGCCATGTGATGTCTCACCTGTGTGCAGGTTATCTGACGTGAGGCGCGAGCGGCTCTGACAGGTCAAGAGGATAGCGAATATTGCTTGGCGAAAACGAGAAAAGGAAAGAACAATAAACTGTCACTTTAAGCATTTACTATATGAGAATGGGTTGATCGACTGAGGTGATCTTGGATCTTTTTGAGTCCTCTGAGACACTTCCATGCGTCAGTCGGCCGAAAATAGCAACCTTGCTACGCTCGGACGCATCGGTTGCAGCTATGTTGCATCACCGTATAAAGTCATCTGCTAGTGAAAAATCGAGGCGAAACGTGACCGAAAGTTTATTTCTTTCCCCATTCCATTTTCAAAATTAACCCTCTTTAGCTTTACACCATGAGTAAAGAGATCCAGAAGATGGAAAGGGAGATATCCCACATTGAGCAAGACAAACCATTACCCAAAGACCCGTATGAGAGTGATGAAACGGCTAAAAATAACGATTATTTTGTTGAAAAAGGCAAACTTGAGGCCGAAGTAGCACAGAACAAGGAGCAGGATAATCAAGCGTCAAGACCTAAAGCAGTGAAGAGAGGAACCAGCAAACGGTTTCCTGGAGTTTGGCATGAGGACGGAAGACGTGAGTTACGTGAGAAGGACTGTTATGAGGCACTTGGATATTCGTTTCCTTGGTACAAAAAGTGGATGATTTTGTCTATCATTTTCGCAGTCCAAGTATCGATGAACTTCAATACCAGTGTGTATCCAAGTGCCATTCCTTTAATCTCTGAATACTGGGGCATTGGTTTGCAAAAAGTCAGGGTATCCCAAATGATATTCCTTGTTTGTTATGCCTTTGGATGCGAACTTTGGGCTCCTTGGTCCGAGGATTATGGTCGTTGGCCCATCATGCAATTGAGTTTATTTCTTGTGAACATTTGGCAAATCTTGGGTGGTCTTGCTCCAAACTTTGCAACTGTTGTCATTGCAAGAGCCTTAGGTGGTTTCTCGTCTGCTGGTGGTTCCGTTACTTTGGGAATGACGGCCGACATGTGGGAACCTCAAGAACAGGGTTTTGCCGTGGCATTTGTCGTGCTTTCGTCAGTGGGTGGTTCGGCTGTTGGTCCTATCTTTGGAGGATTGATGCAAGACCATCTTCACTGGAGATGGAACTTTTGGATCCAGTTGATCTTTGGAGGAGTGGTTCAAATTGCTCACTTCTTCTTGGTTTCGGAAACGAGATCCAGTGTTATGGTGGATAATGAAGCCAAGAGAAGACGTAAGAGTGGCCAGGATAAGAATGTCTACGGTCCAAGCGAAATTCACGGTCATAATATAAGTTTCAAAGAAGTGCTCAGAATCTGGCGCCGTCCCTTTGAGATGTTCTTGACCGAACCAATCGTGTTGTGTCTTTCCCTTCTTTCTGGTTTCTCTGACGCCTTGATTTTCATCTGTATGGAGTCGTTCACTCTTGTTTACCAGCAGTGGAATTTCTCTGCCACGGCATGTGGTCTTGCGTTTATTCCAGTCATCATTGGCTACTTCATTGCTTATGGTATACATTTGCCAGACGTCTGGAGACAGCAGTATCTAACAGAAACGTACGGCGAAGGATCAAGGTTTGCTGAGAGAAGACTTCTTCTTCTCTTATACATTGCACCTTTAGAAGCCATCGGGTTATTTGGATTTGCCTGGACAAGTATGGGCCCAGATTACAATCCTTGGATTGCACCCATGATCTTCACCTCATTAATTGCAATTGCCAATTACAGTATCTACATGTCGACTATAGATTACATGGTGGCCGCATATGGACCATATTCTGCATCAGCTACAGGCGGTAATGGCTTTGCTCGTGACTTTTTGGCTGGTATTGCAGCCATGTACTCCACGCCTTTGTACAACAATATTGGGCGTAAGAGACACTTACAGTGGGCTAGTACGTTGTTAGGTTGCTTGGCTATGTTGGTTGCAATTCCTATTTACATCTTTTACTGGAAGGGCCCACAAATTAGAGCGAAGAGTAAGTTTGCACAAACTTTGGCAGCTGATAGAAAACTTAAGGACGAAGCTTCTTCTGATGAAGAAGATGACAATGAAGTGAGAGTTTAATAAGCATTGAAATCCATGATGGAATATGATAAATAAATTTATACATTGAAAGAACATATACATTGAGGGAAAAGCTACTTTGATTTGCCTTACCGAAGCATAAATGTATATTGATGCTATTTTTTGCGTGTGCTTCTTGCCAACATCTTTGACGCCAGCTGACCAGCAGGCTTTTGACCTTGGGGTGGTTTGATTCGTATGTATGATTTTGAGCCGTTTTCTTTCGAAAAGCTAGACCTCCTATTATCCGTGGTGGGAGATTGAGCACTATGTGACACAGCTAGTTGAGCTGCATGCAACATACCACTTTCACTATTGGCCGTAGGTGATGAAAGACCAGTAGACATGTCAAGGCCGTTTGTTGAAACTGAGACAGGTGGTGGTTTGCGCTTGGTAGATTTTGAGCGTAACTTTGCTGCCATAAAGCTTTCTTTTTTGTGTTCACCTTCTCCAGATCGCCTTGAAGGTGGAGGTGGAGGAGGAGCTGAATCCGTAGGAGGAGGAGGAGGAGGAGGAGGAGGAGCACGATCCGAAGGAGGTGGAGGAGCTGGTGACGAAGTTTGACGACCTTTATCATTAGCGAAAACAGGAGCATCCATCAACGTAGGAGATTCCTGAGGAGTCCTACGCCCACTCATCAGTCCCAGTGCCAGAGATCTATCCAGAGAAGACTTTTGTCTTTCAAGCTGATTGAGCTTTGACCTAGCTAAAGCGTCAGTCCATTGGCCCACTTCGAACTGTTCAACCTCACAAACGAAAGAGGTGTTAGTTGACATGATGACAAAGGTGCCTGTGCTTGGAATAAGTTTCTGGAGCTTGCTTGCACCGCTGGAGATCAACTCTTTGAAACGAACAAATGGATAGTAGAGTTTAATCTCGCTTATGAGTTTGTAGTTGGCATCGGCATCATTTCTAAAGAAGATAAGAGCCCTGCCATGAGTCGTGACCAACAATGTACAAGTTCGAGACTTCTCTAAAGGGTGGTGTCTCACTGGCTTGGCGGAGGAATCTGCCGAGTCAGATTTATCTCCATGAGACAATAATTTTTTGAAGAGCGATTTGCCAGTTTTCTCAGAAGCACCGCTGCTTTTCCCACTGCTTTCTGTACCTCTAGACGAAGATGTTTCTTCGATTTCGTAGTAAGTAACTATTGCCTCGCTCTCATCTGTTGCATCGATGGGTTCTTCCGTCGAAACAGAGGTGTTTGCTCCGCCTCTTAAGCCGACACCACTATTCACAACCTGAGAAAGAAGACTGCTCCCACGTTGTCTACTTGACATTCCAAGAGGCGAGTCGTGCAAGGAGCCTTTATGCTTTCTTTCGTACACCTCTGTAGCATGCTTGCTGCAAATAACTGGTCCGATTCGAAGGATGCGTTCATCAGGATGATTTAAGTAAGCGTTCCAAGCAACCTCAGCGGCGCTAAGTTTCGTGACTTCCATGACATTTGATTTAGTGGGCTGCTTCGTCAGTCTTGATGACTTACGGCTAGCGGTCGAGGATCGGGAAAATGATTGCCTTGTTTTAATTTGCGGCCGCAAGATGTTTGTTCCCGGGATATAATCCGGCAATGGTGCTTGTCTATTTTGTCTTGGTTTGCCATTAACAGGCTTGGAGCTTCGAGGGCGGTCCGAGATTTCTGAAGTTTCACCGGACTCATCATCGGAATTGGCATCTTTCTTGCCGTAGACGAAAGCCGCAACACTTGCTGCATTCACTCGAGTAGCATCTGCACCAGATTTTGGAGCTGCTGGACTATCACTGGCCACCCTCTTTTGTGTATAAGTCGAAGAAGGTTGTCTCTTTGTGATATGAGGTTGCGAAGATGATTTCGAAATGACAGGAATAGTTGTCATTGACTTGGCGCTCATCTTGTAGGGACCAAGTTCCGGAACTGGGGCCTGCCAGATTGCATCCGGATCATCGAAATTGACAGATTCAAAAAAGTAATGCTTTTGTATAGTGGGAATGGTTGCACGACGTGAAGGTTGAAGCACCAATATCTGCTTGATCAAATCTCTTAAAACCATAGGAAAGCCAGCGCTGAACGCATATTGAAGCTTGGTGATTTTTTGGAATGTCAAGTATTCATTAGTAGCCTTAAATGGCGGCTTTCCCGCAACCATTTGATATACAATGCATCCAAATGCCCAAATATCACCGGGCTTTCCACAATATTTGCTTTCAAGAAGTTCTGGGGACACATATTCAGCCGTTCCCACAAACGACTTTGCTCTAACGTCAAGCGGGTACTCTTCACTTTCGTCATTTTTCTTCTCTAGAAGCCGGGCAGTTCCAAAGTCAGTGATCTGGATCCGGAGTTTATCGTCTAAAAGGATGTTTTCTGGCTTGATATCTCTGTGAATCACACCATTATCATGCATGTACTTGATTGCGGACAAGATCTGGGCTCCAAAATGGCGAACACATTCCTCGTTCAAGGTGTTGTACTTTTTGATCAACGTCAACAACTCTCCGTTGGAAGCATAGTCGAGCACAAAATAGAGCCTAGCTTTGTCTTGGAATGTAAAGTAGAGCGAAATGATACCCATTTGATTACTCAAACGGTTCAACGCATGCTTTTCGATATTGACGTACTTTACCTTCTTTTCCTTGATTATGTGCCGTTTATCGAGAACCTTCACCGCATATTGCTTGTTGCTGTGCTTATCTCTGGCTAAAACCACCTGTGAGTACGAACCCTCTCCGATATGTTCGCCGAATTCGAAATCCTGAACCGTTCGTTTTATGACTCGAACCGAGTTACCTGACAGTACAGTTTTCACTGCAGCACCCCTTTCAGCCCAGTCGTCGTCTTTTTGGGAACTGGCAAATGACCCACTATTAATATTGGGTGTATCGGGATCAACGATGTCACGGAATTGAGCTTCCGTGGAGGGAGTGTCCAACAAAACGTTGAGCGAGGAGTTTGTTTGTGCTCCTCGTGGAGTAAAGTCAAACGACGACGATGAATTGGGGGTCTGGGGTTCACTTTGGACCACTTTGGGCTCGTCACTAAGTTGTAACGACGATAATCGAGAAGAAATGTGCACCGGAGGAATGACATGAGGATGGCCTAGTCGGGTTGGACCAGCGGGTCTGGGTCCGTAAGCGGGAACTGCGTTGGTAATCGAGTCCAAGGTGTCCACACTTCCATTGCTATGAGAATTGGCATTATAAATCTCGTCAAGATCGTTCTGTAAATCTTCCAAAAAGTTGCTGGTGTTGTGTGACGGTTCTGACATGATTTACCAGGTGTGAAATGATGTTTGGTGAAAAATAAATGATGCTATACTTCAAAAATACCCTGGTTCAATTGCGCAACACCATAGCCGTGCCAAAAACTTTGATGTGATGGCGTGTAAGGATAGGGTCAAGAATTCCAAGTTTGGGTTACCGGGTTGCGAGTCCGGCACACAGGCCTCAACCGGGGGAACACCGCCATGACGCCGTCGGTTCTTTGGACCGCATCACGTGACTATCTTCACGCATATCAGGAATCCATCAGGGCAGATCTGGATCTATAAGTGCCATAATTATTCGCAGCCATGGCATTTCCCCGAGATAGTGGCCATGTGGTATCGTATCTTCGTGCGCTATACATGACACATGCTGAAGCTGATATGTCCAATACCATTTTCATGGTTCCTCCTCCTGTCCATGGCGTTAAAGAAGACTTGTTTCACGATATATATCAGCCGGATTCGCCGCCAATTACGTTTAATATGCTGGACCACTTAAACAGAGCTACCAAGAGGCACCAGCAGAAGCCAGGAAGGGGATTGACTGGAAACAAGATCAGAAGACGTAAAAAGGGGCCGAAGAGAGAGAAAGGTAGAAACAAAGGTGGTCCACAAAATGGCAAGAAACCGCCGGTTGAGTCGGAAACGAAGACAGTCGTTGATGTGGAAGATGCTGGATCAGATACAGAAGAAGGTAGCACGGAAAAGGTGAATTCGCTGGATATTTCCGATCCCTCATCAACTGAAAGAAAGAAGAGCAAAACTAGTTCCAAAACCTCCAAGAACATGGCCAGATTTGTCCCACGATTGAGGTTTGTCAATCCGTACCAACAGAAAGGCTCAGAGCATGATCTTGAACTAATTGAAGAGGAGACTCACGATGCACAATCGACTCAACAGCAGCATATTTCAGATGGAGATGAAAATGACGACACAAATACGATAAAAGAGTCTTATTTGGTCCCAGGTGGATTCGAAACAGGCTCAAGTGCCAGCTTGGCATTGCCCGAAAGAAATCGTCAAAGCCCGTCTGAGTTCTCGATTTCTTCCAACGAAGCCCAGAACCTACAAACGAACGATGATGAATCTGACACTACCGAATTAAACGACGATGACACTTTCGATTACGATTATGACGACGAAGACGAAGACGATGAAGAGGACGATGATGACGACGACTTTGACGAAGATGAAGAAGCAGATGATGTCTCGTCCAGCGATTCAGCATTTACTGATATCGAGGCCGATTCCGTTATCGATTCTTCTCTTTTATACCCCTTTGACAATGAAAGCGGTTTTCCATTTGATAACAACAACGTTCTTGAATCCAAGAGATCACGACGGAAGAAACTGCGGATGAACTCATATGAGGAAAATAACGACTCTTCCGGAACAAGCAGAATAAACTCACAGGCTGGTTCTATGAGTGGCACTCTGCCCATCAAGCGGTCCAAATCAGTTCAGTTCAGGGGCCAATTTATCATCGAAAAGGTGGAGCCCCGTCAAACGTCCCAACTCTCTTCGAATTTAAGCTCTTTGATATCTTCCAAGGCAAGTAGCACAGACAGAAACCCTCTTGAATACTTTGGCTTTGTTGGAAATCTGGGCGGAAACATTGTGAAAATCAGTATCTACCTCCCACCTAGTACTTCACCCACCTTTAGTGTGACAGTCAATTCTAGTGTCGCAGTTTCAGATTGCATTGGCTTCATTCTTTTGAATTTGTTTAAGGAAGAGAAGCTTTCCGTTCTTGAGGAAATGCAGTATATGAACCCCAACTTTTGGCGACTCGAACTAGTTGACGAGGATGGAGAAAATTATGGCTCATTTGGAATACTAGACCGTACCAGATTGTTGTCATCTTATAACAACCCAAGCGAGTTGGCTCTTTGCAAGATATCGAACGAAGGGGAATATAAACGCAACGAGCAGCAGTCCCCGCTCCCAATGGAGTTTCTGCTGGCTCTCGAAGAATACAAACGAAATCAGAACTTGCATAGAATTGAGGACCAAACAAGTCCTACAAAGGACAAAGAAGGACTTTTGACAGAAATCAAGATTCTTCGGAGCGTTCAAAGTGTCAAGTTTCCCCAGTATGAAATTTTTACAATTTTTCTCCCAGCTTATTCGACAGTTCAGGATGCTTTAAATGAGTACTGTTCTCTTCATGGGTTGGATCCCTCTCGACATAGTTTACGAGAAATGTTTCTGTCTGGAATGACTAGCAGCCGCCATCCGCAAGCCACCTTGGACAAACACGATCTTACCAGTCCAAGCGCTTGGGAGATGGGTCGGGTACTTTCCAAGTCAGAAGTCATCACCAATACCACAGAAGCTTTTGAGATTGTAACAGAGGATAACAATTTCATATCTGTTGGTAACGAAACGTTTTTGAATGCTGGTATAACCCCTGCTTTATCAACACCGTTACGAGACTCTCCTCAGGCACAGCTTTCCAGCACATTTAAGTCCATGTCGATGGATGAAGGACACACGAAGGAAAACACTGCAACAAAAAGAGCAACACAAGGGCCAGGTGGGAACCAAAAGAAGAACAACGAGAAGGACCTCATGGTCTTGGATGAGATTATTCGTGGTAAAAACCTGGATCTTCCTACTAATCTCAACACAGTTTACTTCAAGTGGAAGGCGTGGAGAAGAAAAGCAACGCTTTTGAACAGACTTGAAAAGTCGCTAATAATCGATGGTGATTACATCCATCTAGCACCTTCAGATGAAGCTGCTTGGAAGGTGAATCCAAACGAAAACTCACTAGTTCCTGGAATGCAACATAGCGGTTCGACGCATTATCACAACTACCTTCATCATTACAATTACAGCAACTATTACAATAAGCTGATGATGAAAACCAGTTCTTTCCATGTCACTCAAATCGTCAAACTCAAGCGTTATCCGAACAAAAGTCCGAACCATTTTAAAATCGTGGTTAACAAGCAACCAGGAAAGACTCCTGTCAAAGAGCGCGACTCCAATCTCAAAAAGAAATACGATCTCGAAGCAAGTAGCCCGTCTGAGTGTGAAGAGATCATCGAGAAGATCAAGTGGGTTTTGCAGGTGTACAACATGAGTAACCTCAATGCCTAAGAAATGGATTTGCAACTATATGTACTGCATGTACGTCCCTGCATTGGGTGCCTTCTCATCGCATCTGTAGGTTTGATAAATATTTAGGGCGGCATGACAGAATTATCTCTGAACTGGAAGCGTCTTAGCACAGCGATTCTGCTGAATACTACAAGAAAGCGAAAAGAAGCCTCTAAAGAACGAAATAAGAACAAATCAATAGCATCTGCACGGATTCACACGAATAAGAAAGTGAGCAAAGACAACATAAATGGTAACGAACTGTCACATTCCAAGCTTTTGAGCAAGAAAACCAGCCCCAAAATCATACAGAAAAAGGTCACTGATATCCTCCAAAAAGCTGCATCTGAAAAACCAGCAAACTCACAAAGTCTGGAATTGGCTGCAAAGCCCACCTCACTAATTGCAAGAGCACTTTGGGATTTTGACCGAGGTATTACAGTGGAAGATATTCACAATGTGGTGTTGAGTAAACAGCCATCAGCTCTGACACCACGCAAAAAAGATATAGGAAAGTATGTTGCACTTGATTGCGAATTTGTTGGTGTTGGACCGGAAGGCACCGAATCTGCATTAGCCAGAGTATCGTTTGTGAACTTTTATGGCCACGTTATCTACGACCGTTTTGTTAGGCCGAGAGAGAAAGTAACCGACTGGAGAACATGGGTCAGTGGTGTTACGGCGCAACATATGACAGATGCCATAAGCTTTGATGAAGCGCAGAAAGAAGCTTCGAAAATACTCGAAACCCGGATCTTAATCGGCCATGCTGTTCACCACGATTTGGATTCGTTGTTTCTCTCGCATCCAAGGTTTCAGATACGAGACACGTCCAAATTTGGCCCTTTTCGTGCCATATCAAATGGTCGAACTCCAAGCTTGAAAAAGTTGATAAAACATTTTTTGAAGATGGATATTCAAGACGGATCCCATTCGTCTGTCGAGGATGCCCAGGCAACCATGCTCCTTTACAGGCTACACAGAGACACTTTCGAAAAGAGCATACGTTCAACTACAGCTAAGTAATCATGAGCATTATATATCTATCAATTTTGGCATAATATACATAACTTAGTCTTCCAATCGTTGTCCTTCGACGTACGAGCAAGCTGCACGATATATCATCTCCTGGATCTTTCGAGCTTGCTCTAAGACCTCGGTTGGAATCAACTCGTCAGGCAGCTCAACCTGTAGCCGCTTAAGCTCGTGGCCATCGATAAAGCGGACTCCTGAATTCATGACAATGGTATTTGAGCGTTTGGCGTAGTCTTCAATGGAGTAGTCTTTTCTTGAAGTCATACTCATAGCTATCTTGGACGCAGAACTCAAAGATTCCACCGAACCATTATTAAGAACTATCGTCTCCAAGGTTCCCTTGATCAAAGGGTAAATCAATAACAAGAGATTGACGTCGTTCTCAACGAGGTAATCGAAAAGATGCAAAAGACGGGTTCTGAACACATTGTCACACGACTCGGTCTTGAAGAAATGACAGGCGGTAATAATTGTAAGATCAGAATCGCTTGTCCGCTCGGAGAAGTAGTCAAGAATTAATTTGGGAATTGACCCTTCTCTGACCCGTATCCTGTCGCTAGTTTCCAAGCCAAGCTCGTTCAGTATGGCTTCAAATTGTGGTTCTGAAACGCTGAGGTATAAGAAGAAAAGATACCGCATAATCAACAGGGTGGAACCAACTGACTCTTTGATTAAGCGACAGTACTCTCGCATGCAAACAATAGACGTATGTCTCAAGTGAGGAAGCTTCAATCCTTGCGATAAAATAGCAAACACATAGGTCTCGTAGTTGAGTTTAGTGACAGTTACCTCTTGTTCTTGCTCAAAAGAACTCAACAAAGGCTCAAGAATAACACGATCAGCAAATATTTTTTCCAAATAATCATGACCATACGGTATAAGCTTTTTCCGTATGGTAACAATAGTTTGAACTGCTGGTTGATAAAATGCAGAATAACTCATCAGCGCAGAACTTAATGATGCCCATATCATAACCGAAGGAAGGTATGATGAAGAAGAAACTCCACTCAAGATGCGTGCTATAGAAGTGGACGTATTGATCAAGTAGTCCAAGGAGAACACAGCATGCTTACTTATCAACTTGAGTATTCTGGTAGCGGTCGAATCGTTTATACCTTTCTTTGAAACAATTCCAACAAGAAGAATGGCTCTGGTTTGAAACGATGAAGCACGCATGAATGCCACATCTATGGCATAAGAACACCATCTTGCGATCCAATTAGTTCTCAGGGCAGGATCACCGAGAGTTTGAACAAGCTCGCTAAGATAATCACAAAGAACCTCAAAGCTTGAAGCCCTATTAAAGATCTGTCCAATTTCAGAATAGGTTCGATTATGTTCACGAGCCATGCCGAATAACATACGGGCTCTTTGACTTGTAAAAAACGTCAATGTGTTGGACACAATTTCCATTTCTCGGGGTGTCACATCGGGTTTCTTCAAGAAAGAGTGTATGGCATTGATAACCAACCGCTGTAAGTCTTCACCCAACTGCAATGTGGGATTGTCAATGAAGAGGGTGCAGAAGAAGATAACGTCTGCCAAGTACATTTCTGCAAGCACGTAAGAATTGAAGAAGAGTGAGCCACAGATCTTAACAAGAACCTTGATCTCAAACACTTTACTCAGCGAAGCTATTTCGGAGTCTGAGCTTCTTGTTTTGGCAATGCAGGATAACAATCTTGAGATGACTTCTCCACAAATTTCCACTGAGGGGGATATGGCGCCAATTATAAACGACCAGTTTGGACCATCGTTCTTGTTGTTGATAGCAAAAGCAACAACTTCGTCTAAAAGAATGTTCAAAATCCGAGTCTCTAAACAAAGTTTTTTCCACACATAATCATTATAGCAAGCGATATTATCTTTATCCATTGCCGAGATTCGGCAGAGATTACGAACAATATCAGCCACTCTCGCTGGCCCCGTGTCGACACTTTCGAGAAAAATGTAGTCTGTGATGTTGTCGATCCAGGGCGAAATATACATCACTGCACTCAATCTGTTCTCCTCTGGAAGCTTTTCATAGTAGTCAAAGAAAGCCTTGAAAAACTTGTATGAGAGAGTTGGCTCTGTCTTTGCCAAATAAGCGGAGGTCGAGACAATGAAATCGGTGGTATCAGACGGAAACGCAATTTCCTTGGCATGATCTCCAGGCATGCGATAGTCTAGATCATAAAAGGTGGACAACGAAGCAAACAACAAGGAGGCAGATTGCCGGACTTCGGTAACTGGCGAGAGTAGTCCGTGAAACACAATATTGTGCAATCGACCAAACCAGTGAAGATTCGAGTCTGCAGAATCAGATTCTGTATCCTCCGAGTAGTTGATTTGCTTCGGCAACCTGGAGGTCGCAAAGTAGATGAAACGTAAAATTTCCAGCCTTTCCAGTGAGACGAACGTTTGCTGACTGCCATCATTGATATAAAAGGTAAACTCATTGGCCTCTCCACTAAAACGTGAGATTTCACATTTCACAAGATTGGAAAGTCTCACCACATCAAGAGGAGTATACCCTTCAGTGGCACTGTATTTCCCTGCAAAAGGCTTTATCTTGTCCTCAACAATCTGTAGCCATTGTCGACCAAGCTTCAAGGTCACTGGGGTAAAAGTCTTTGTTTCTGCATCATAAGCTTTGACCTTCTTGAACGACACACGAGTGTCTCTGGAAATGCCGACAGTCAGGTCACGAAGGCACAAATTATTGACAATTTCTAAAGGGCTTGATTGTGAGTATGTGTAAACCTTGGTTGGGGTTTCGGCATCTTCAATTCGGTGCTTTCTGACAAGTGACAAAATATCGCCTATTCTTCTTCGAGGTATGTTAAAATAAAAGACCTTGGAGCAGTTTTGCATAAGCTGAGGAGGAGCATAGGTCTTCAACAAGAAAACGTATGATTTTGCCAATCCCAGCATCGGTGAGTACTCACTGAAATCAAAAACCAAATAATATTTTGAATCCCAAACGTGACTCGAAGTTTCGAACAATTTGTAGATCAAGAACCGGATGTCATAGTCAACTGTCTTGAGCTGTGAAAGGTTGACCACCACTGCAGGAGTTCCATCATGAAATATCGAGTCATGGACTATTGGTGTGTCCAAAACTACACCTGAATAGTTGATAGACATTTGTCCCATGAATTCGTTGAACTCGTTATTTTGAACATTGTTGGGATCCAACACCTTGAAAGGGGTACTGGTGTGTTTCAAGGAAATGAGCAGCTTTGGCTGGCCAAGACTTTGAAGGACACTGTCAAATACTAGAAAGTTTTGCACTTTGATGTGCAAATTTTCATCAGGAAGCTCAACGTCTTTAATGACATAACGAACCTTGATATCAACAAAGTAAACGTAGAAAAATTTGTGCAAGTAGCGAAGTTCTGTCAATGGCTTTTTGGTGGTCTCCATTTCAAATGGATACTCGTCAAAATGTGTTCCCGACACTTTTCTTAAGAAATCTTGAATCTGGTTGGTTCAAGGATTTCTAATTCGTTCTGGGCGGGTTGGTAAACCCTTGGCTATTTTTCCGAAGCGAACTATTCGCCCATGGTTTGGTCCACACCTTAACGAGCTGCATCAAACTTCTTTTGATTTTAGGGTTGTTGACTTCCATTTTCGAAAAATGTTTCAGGACTGATAATCGCCGGGCAGAAGAACCGCAAAAAGATAAACGACCCCACTGCCACGAGAGCAGATTCTTCAAAGCGAGATTTGACAGATTGGTAGATCGCAGAACATATGAAGAAAAATGATTTGGGAGCTCTGTCAATCGAATTGACGATGGTGTCGACTAATTTTGTGAAATACGTGACAAATACCTCACAATCTTCGTCGTTGTACTCATTTCGCTCGATTTCAAAGCTGACATCGTTCTCAATTATCTCAGTAAGAAATGGCTTCAATGTGGATTCAAGGTATTCAAAGCCATTTTCCTTGGTGAAGTTCAAGAGGAACTTTGTCAAAGTGCTGTTTCTTCGAAAGATATCCGATGATCGCGATACATGTTTTATCTCCTCGTCTAGTAGCACCTGGAAAAGTTTATCCAATTTTTTCGTGTATCCAAATACGCCAAAGAAAGACGACGCAAGCATGTTGTGTTCAGTTGAGGATGCCACTTGTGCAATAGCGCCAGCCAAGGGATATAGTTCACCGATCTGCTCAATCACTTCTTCTGGGAACTCTTCTTTAGAGTTTTGTATTTTGCGTGTGGTCAAAATGTGAGAGAAAACCTCAAGAAAGATAGCTCTGATTTTAGTGTTCTCATGAAAGCCAAGAGGCAAGACAAATTGCATTCCAATATCGGTGTCGTATTGCAAAATGTTGGAAATGCACTTGAGAACATTATCAATAACCTGTTGAACTTTGTACTTGAAGTTGTGGGAGCCGGTGCCGGTATACTTTTGAAGTATCTTGTAGAATAAGGCAAAGTAAGTTGCAAAAGCTAAATCTTTGTGCTTGCTGATGTCTTCGTCCTTTGTCCCGTCTGGAACATCAAGAATGAGTTTATCTAATTGCAAGGATAAGCACTTTGAGCATTCAACGGCAAGATCAGTCATCATGTAAACCGTTTCCGAATCCATTCCGATCACCTCAGTATCTCTTGTTTCATCGAAAAACACAGCTTGTTCCAACCAATCACAAGAATTTTTTGCATAGAAGTTACGAAGCTTGAAAGCACCTCTGTTACCAATTCTGTCATTGGAGACTTCTATTGCAGTACAGAGTTTGCAAAATCTCAACTTCAACCTTAATCTGTCGTTGATGTTCCCGCAGAGGTTGATAAAGTCAACCATAAGCTCACAAATATTAGGTAACATTGCAACGACGACAAATGCACCGTCGTTCTTGATGCCGACCATAGAGGTGATGATCACCACAGCTTGCTCCATGAACATTATACTCTTTTCGTTGATGTATTTTGTATCGGCGTACTCCAAACAAAGATCCATAATCTTCTTGCAAATGAGAAAGTAGCTTGCGGAGTGCGATTCATTGGATAAGGTATCTTTTATAACAACTCTCGTCACCAAATCTTGCGAGCTCAAAAGACTAATGCACCGGTCGATAAACTCATTTACAAGCTCTTGTGGACTTCCATACTGGCTATCTTCCACGGTGAAATCTTCTTGGTAAAAGCACCCACACGTTGAAGATAGAAATCCAGTAATATGGCGGAAAATGGCGTTGTCCTCATTAGTGTTGGATTTCGACTCTATCATAGACTTCCAACGATCAAAGATATTGACCCAAGCCAAGAACAAAGCTCGCGTTGGTTTAGCATTTCTCAAGATATTTCGAAATCTTTTATGCAACGAAACGAAACCCGTGAATACTGAGTCATCGTCAACAAGTTCCTTGAAGGTTGATATGGAGCTTTCTGCGAGACAAGCAGGGTAATGATGGACATTTTCTCGCTCTCCAATGTACCAGCCTAAAAGGCTTTTAGCAATGTTATAGTACTGAATGTCGTGAGCGCAAAGGGCAAGAAAAATCACGTTTTCAAATGCATGAGCTGCAACCGAGCAAACAAGATGCGCAGATGGTTCGTAAACGGAGGTGTTCGTGGGAATAATTTCACTCAATGTTGTACGAGCACGCAAGAAACGGTCCAAGAACAAGAAGCATTGCTTGAAACTGGCGTCTGTTAAGCTGAACGACAACAAGGCATCGCAAACACCCAGGAAAATGGAAAAAACCGTCAAATAATTCACATAGGAGTTGACTGGAGTTTGAGGTCTATTGATACGATTCTGGGAATCAAAGATGGTCATGGCAAGCGCACAGGCTGCGTCAAACATCTTTGTGCTGTGTGCGCTTCTGAACACCATCGCAAACTTGATAGGGCTGGTAGATTCGTCCACAAACCTGCGACTATAAGCAAGGAACAGCTCGTCCATATCTTCAACTTTGGACAAAGAATTGAGATGGCTATCCTTGAAGTACAAATGGGGAGCCGAAGCAAAGACAGTGTATAGATCAGCGAGCACTTCTTCTGTCACGGCTAGCAACTTTTGTTTGCTGGAAGTCTTGCTGTCGGATGAGAAAGTAGACAATACCGGATGAAGCGATGGTGAAGAGCTGTTCTTGACTGAATCCTCCAACGATCGCGAAAGTGAATGGATCAGCAATGCGGGACTATCGGTGCCTGAAGTAGTCGCTTGACGTTTGGTGGTTGCTTGCTTGAACAGTAAATCGCTTGACTTGGAAGATGAATCACTAAGAGATTTGGTCTGCTTAAGAATTTCCGTGGCTGTGAATATCATTCCTTTCAAAGGCGAAGCGAGACGGTTCATGAGACCATTGAATATTTCTTCTGTTGTGTCATACGCCGATAAGCCCTTCACCACCTTGACAAGAATTCGAACATCTTTTATGCTTTCGTTGGTTTCATGGTATCTTTTCACGAGTAGCTCGATGTATTTCAGCGGGTCGATTAAGATTGCTGAGATGAAGAAACTCACAATCAACATATCGAGCTGGATTTCTCGTGCCTCTTCACCGGATTTCATTTTGTCTGCAAACTTCTGCAAGTTTACATGAACAAGTTCCAAGTTGACTGAGCTGAACTTGTATATCGGGTGGTCTGGGTACTCTTTGAGTCTCGCTCCCAACTGGAAGATATTGATGGCCGACTGGAAACTTTCAATATTGGAAGCATTGCCAATATCCTTGAGTATTCCCGATAAAAACTTGAGTCTCTTGTTGAAGGAAACCTTCAATTTGTTGAGTCTCGAGGTGGCCTCAAGTTCTATAAAATCGCTCAAGCATAGCACGGATAGCCAGCTCTTTGCCGTAGCTGCAACCCCGGAATATGAGACCTCGTCAAACACACTGCAAACAAAATCGAACAAGTTTTTAGCCACTGGTTCCCAGCTCGAGCCCGGCTGAACTATCGCCAAGTAGTCTTCCGGTCGCGAAAAACTCTGGTCTTGAATACTCGAAGCGTAGAATACAATGAAGACTTGTCTCCAAGTATTAGACTTGATGTATGGTAATGCTGTGTAGACGAGGGAAGCCCAGGTGACATCGGGGCCCTTTCTATGGAACAAAAACTTGAGCAAAGGGCTATATCGTTGAAGAGAGTTGATGGGTATGAGTTCACCATTTTTGACAAACCGAAGCAACTTTTTTCGAATGTACAACGAATAGTCCTCTGGGTTGGATGCTGCTATGTATTTGAGGGCCAGTTCGATGTAGGCATCGATATGACAAATGCAGGCATGGATGTCTTCGTCGGTGAAATTATTGTCAGTGAAACGTAGTTCGGGAACTTCTGGGTCTGCCAACGAGGAGATGGCACTAGCTCGAATGTCGCTGGAGCCTCGGACGAGGGCTGACACCGTTTTCACGAGCCGTGAGGAAAGGAGACAGGTTAAGGTCTCGAGGATGTACTCCACATAATGAGGATTTAATGGTGGAGGAGGGACGTAGTGTGAGTATAGTTTGTTTCTGGTAATCTGTTTTTCATCGAGAACTGTTAGGTAAGGTGTGGGGTTTATGGAAGCGGTTCCAAATTCCCAGTTGGAAAAGATCACTTCTGAAAGGGTGCGAAGAACAATCAACGTCGACGCCAACGACTTGCCATCACGGTCTCGAAGACGACTGTAATCGGCTTCCTCGTTAATGCTGTTGAGAATGTAGCAAAGCCTCTCAAAAATGTTTTCTATAAAGATGACTTTGGAGTTCTCATCTTTTGTATTTTGGAGCAAAAGGTGTTTTGTGATGAGAAACTGTTGATTGAATTCGACCTCGGCGACAGAGTACCCCGTTCTGTTGGGTAGCACCGAAGCCAACCGCTTCGCTATGGCGCCCACAAGTTCTTTTTCGAACGCCATAGTTGAGTATGAAAGTTGTGGTTTTTATTGGAGTTGTGAAACTATCCCAAGGGTATAATATGATAGCCACGAACCACGTCGTTGTCAAAAACAGCTTCCGGTCGCTGCTTCACTCGTAGGTGAAATTAAATACAAAGTAGTATTGGGCTATACAGTAAAATATGCATTTACCTTTCAGGGCAAAGATGTCGTTGCTTATGTAAGCGCAGTGCGGCGTTCAACGGCATGGCTGCGACAAAGACGAGGTAGTACTGAAAGGAGGTGAGAAGAAGGTGAAGGTAGTACTGAAAAAAAGGTAAAAAGAAGTTTGAAAGAAGTAAGAGAGCTGTAGAAGGGTAACTTTTGTTTTCTATTCTTCATATTTGCAAAATTAAATTTTTCATTTCTACAGAAATCCATTTTGCAAAATAATAGAATTTAGCAAAAAAAGAGAAAGATCTTGAACATAAATGCTTAAATACAACGGTCTACCCTTTTGTGTTTAGGGCCGACCTTTATTACTGTTTCAGGCTGATGCTTCCGATGCTTCCTTAGCCGTACCTCTTCGGCTCATCGTCGGGCCCGAGCTTTCCTGCAGACAGACGGCCAATAGAAACCTGCGCGCAATTCGTCCGAATCTTCATAAACTATAGAATGGGTGCCGCTTATCAGATTTTGGGTAAATCCGTGCCTTCTCACTACTTGTCGTTGGCCACGTTGGGTGCTGTTGTGCTCACGGTTGCCCCCAAGCCATGGGGACCAGCTGCACCCGCGCATCCGCAGATTTCTGCCAGTTCACCGGAGGAGGAAAAGTACGTCAAAGAGTGGTTGGCCAAACATGCCGAGAAGCATTAGATAGATAATGTATTTATACGCGAAGTGGTGTAGAGTGAAAGAAAGGAAAAGTGTGAAAATTTAGAAGAAGTGAAGAAGCGAAGAAGTGAAGAGTGAAGAGTGAAAAATTAGCTCCAAATTGTTTTCATTATTAAAGTGGAATTGACCAACTTGAAGTCTAATATTTGCATTTTTGAATGTATTGGACTCTAATTCTCTTGAAATCTTGATCTCTTCTCGATATTCTTCTTGTTCTATCGTCCATGATCTCTCTCTTCTCTGGTGCTGTTTTTTTCCTGCACACCGCCACTCATAAGTCTCATCGCATCGCTTTTTCTCTTCTCATGTCTGCCATCTACAAAGCTTTGCAGTCGAAAACGACCAAGGAAACTTCAGAAAAGACCAAGCACATCAACAGACAGCGTGTGTTGGTGATCTCGTCGCGTGGTGTCACTTACCGCCACAGACACTTGATCAACGATCTTTTGAGCTTACTTCCCCATGCCAGAAAAGAGCCCAAGTTCGACTCCAAGAAGAACTTGTACCAGTTGAACGAAGTTGCCGAGCTCTACAACTGTAACAATGTGTTCTTTTTCGAGTGCCGAAAGCACCAGGACTTGTACCTTTGGGTATCCAAACCTCCTAATGGACCCACCATGAAATTTCACATCCAAAATATGCACACATTAGACGAACTCAATTTCACGGGAAACTGTCTTAAAGGATCACGTCCGGTGTTGAGTTTCGACAAGTCGTTCCAGGACCACGAACATTATAGTCTCATGAAGGAACTTTTCATCCATTCGTTCGGAGTACCTCCTCATGCGCGCAAATCCAAACCGTTTATCGACCATGTTATGTCATTCTCTATTGTCGACAACAAGGTATGGATACGGAACTACCAGATCACCGAGACCGCCAGCGACAACGAAGAAGAAAAGGAGATGTCACTTGTGGAAATTGGACCCCGTATGGTATTAACGTTGATCACAATTCTCGAGGGCTCGTTCGGCGGTCCTAAAATCTACGAAAACAAGGAATATGTCAGCCCCAACTTTGTGCGGGCGCAGCTCAAGCAGCAAGCAGCCACCCAGGCGCGGGCGCGAGCTGAGGCTGCCAAAGAACGCAAGGTGAAGCGCCGAAACCAGGTGTTGCAAAAGGACCCATTGTCCAACGACAGTTTGTTCAAGAGCTAATGTAGGAGAACAGGAAGTGATCATAGAATTGACATTAACTGCGGTTATTTCGTGTAGGTTAATTTGCAAGTTATATTTGGTGGTATATTTGGGTTATATTTGTCTGCTCAGCCTACCTCATCGTCCTGCCGATAAGATGCGAGGGGAAAATTGACAGAATAACGTTGGATCTTTATAAGGTTTGATCTCTATAAATACTCTTGTTTTCCCACAATTTTTTTCGACTCCTATTAGTTCCCAGAATACAGCGCTACGCTTTTCCATCACATTGCTCAATTATCCTCCAAGTGAGATTCCTCAAACCATAATTTTCTGATTCCCACGCGCACATCGGTGCCTTGTTGTTCATGTATAATCTGGCTCAAAATCACCAGCCGAGGTTCCAGGGCACATCATACGGCGACTCTGGCTCTCAAGCTTCACAGGGAGAGCAACAAGGTCTGAATTCGATGCGTCATGACTTTATTCACTCGTCTTCAAAGCCATACCCCACGGACGACGACGACGACTTTTTATTCCAAAACCCGTCCAATGACCATCCCCAGCTTCCATACTCAACGCTAACATCATCCTCCACCTATGCTGGGCTAACTGGGAAACGGCAGTCGCATAACAATGATTATGAGTTGGATACTCTAAATGATGGAGACTACGCCAATCGTGGCTTAGGTCCTAAAGCTCCACTAATCGCTTCATACACCAACGAATCCGCTGGTTCATTTCCCCACGCACACCCTTACCACTACCAGGAGCCGCCTGAAAGCGATCCTTTTGCAGACGACATCGACTCCAGACCTTTACCGCGAGTACCATTTCAAGACGACCTTTCGTCCAAACCACAACCGGCTCTCCCCGACCAAGAACCAAGCGAAAAAGACCGTATTCGTCGCAACGAAAAGGCTCGGATCCGCCAGTTGCGCAGTAGACCTCGGTTCCATTATAGCAGACTTCCTTACTTCACCATCATAGTGACACTCATCCAGGTGATAGTGTTCATCGTTGAATTGGCCAAGATGTCGCACTTGACAGGGTCAGCATTCCAGACGAAACCATACTTCAATCCAATGTTGGGCCCTTCTACTTACCTCTTGATCAATATGGGAGCCCGGTACGTTCCATGCATGCAATCTTTAAGAGGAATTACCACCGATACCACCATCCAATTTCCTTGTCCCAACTCCACCTCTGTCGATACCAACGTGTGCTCCTTGAGCGAGCTCTGTGGTCTCTCAGGAATACCCATAGAATACAACCGCTATGAACCAGACCAGTGGTACAGAATCATCACCCCAATATTTCTCCATGCCGGTTTTTTGCATATCATCTTCAACCTCTTGCTCCAGGTCACCATGGGGGCATCCATAGAGCGCCAGATCGGAGTCATAAAGTTTGCTATCATATACTTGATGAGTGGAATCGGCGGGTTTGTGTTGGGAGCCAATTTTTCGCCTAATGGAATCGCATCAACGGGCTGCTCAGGAGCGTTGTTCGGAATAGTGGCTACCAACATTATCATGTTCGTTTATTGCGGCCGCAAGAATACCAATCTTTATGGAACAAAACACTATGTTTTGTTCATATTCATCATGCTCACAGAAATCGTCGTTTCTTTCGTATTGGGATTGTTGCCTGGCCTCGACAACTTCAGTCACCTCGGAGGCTTTGCCATGGGATTACTCACCTCAATTCTTCTTCTTCAAGATCCATTTTTCGTATACGTTGATGGCATAATAACGTATTCTGGCCGAGATTCAATTTGGGACGAGTTCGTCAATAACTGGAACCCATTCTACAATTGGGAATCCAAGATCCCTTCCAGAGTCTACATGTGGTTTGGTGTTCGAGCCGTCTGCTTGGTATTGGCTGTTTTGTACATGGCGTTGTTGATTGTCAATTTCTTTGGAAAACCCGAACTCGACAACGACAAAAGTTGTGCTTGGTGCAAGTACTTCAACTGCATACCTGTCAACGGCTGGTGTGATATGGGTGAAATATCAGTCCTGACTGCAAGTACTAGCAGCCAGCAACCTTCCTCAACCTCGTCCACCAACAACACTCCACTACCCACTGAAATAGATGGACCACAAAACCAAAAGAGAAGGCAAAGAAGATACGATTTCGAGGCGAAATCGCCGATAGAAAATAAGAACACTTTTGATACGTTAACTTTGGACTCGTATAAAGGATTTACGAGAGACGAAACAGCATCCAGTGTCTCAGGTTTGGCCCTAGGTGCAATTATTGTACTTGTCACCTTCCACTACTTCAAAAAGTCGTACAGTAAGAAGAACTAAATCAGTACTTCCAGCATAAATAAACTACATATATCTTGCATGTAAACTAAGCTCTATGATTTCTGTAGTCTGCGTTCTTGTATGTTGAAAATCCTGTATACATTCCCTGCGAGAGTTTTTCATTTTTCAGTTGAGACTTGACTTCACCACCATGCTTTCGCTTTCACGAGTATTGGGTCAAAGAGTGTCCGTACACGCTTCCAGGTCACGCCAGTTATCTTATTCACATACGAGATTGTTCATAGGTAATTTTTTCGGCAAAAAGGAAGTCAAGCAACGAGAAGAAATCATCAAAAATCAAGACGATTATGAGGTAGATCCTGAGACCAAAATCGTAATTTTGAAGGAAGAAAACTCACCAGATTATAAACCATTCAACCCAGAAGAAGACATGCCCGACTTTGTCATTGAGCAGTGGAAACATCAAGTGGTCAAGCCCCGGGACATTGAGGCCACTTACGACACCACCAACTTGATACAGACCATTAGCCAAACGTATGAAGAAACATTTCAATCTCCAATCACACAAGAGGAGTTCCATAATGCTAGCTTGTCTGACTTGGAAGCTAGGTTCAAATTCGCCAAGTCGTTGCAACAAAACTTGGGATTTGATATTAGTGATTACACTCTCTCCAAGTCTCACACCGTCGGGGAGCTTTTTAATGCTCTTGAAAAGGTCATAAATACCAGATGGACGAACGAGAGAAACCCCAACGCAATAGTGCTTCGTCCTGAAGACTTTTCGGCTCCAAATGTGTACTTGAATCAACAGCCATCTGAGAGGGCACAAAAGGCAACTTACGATAGAATCGCTGAAGAAGCCAGAAACGCTTCGATTTGAAACCACTGTACATAGTAATCTTCAATCATCTTTTTCGTTGTAAAGTGTAGACTACTACCGCTGTTGCGGCAATCAAGAAGGTGGCAGGGATTATCCATTGGGAGCCCACCATAGTCGTCTTTGTAGGAGTAACTGAATCTACCCAAACATCCACTTTATTTTTCCCTTTTGCTTTGTGCCTCGTGATATATTGCAACAAGTCGGTCTTATTCTGGAGTGAAATCTTATCGCCATCCTCATCTAGATAACTCAATACGATACTTTCTTCCGGGCGATTGGCTCGCTGAGAGATTTCAAACGCCAAATTGTCTATGTCCATGTCATCTTCAAGAGGAAGAATGAAGATCTTGGAGCTTGTTCTAAGCTTAACGACAAAACTTTCAAGTGAGTCTAATATGCTGTCACTTCCCGTCATGGATTGAGTCTGGTTTAAAGACCGAACTCGATTCTTTAACGGAGATGCAGTATGAGAAACTGAATCCGAGGGCTTGATTTCCATCAGAAAAGAGTTCAATTCTCCAGAGTCATTCACCGACCTTCCGGACTCCAGCTCGTCATCAACTGTGGTCCAAAAATTGTTCCACCGAGAACCACCACCTTCGAGTTCGGCTGGGCCCACATTTTGCAACGTTGCATGAATCAAGCTTAAAACATCAACGACCGCAATGATTGAATGAGAACTGTCTTCCACAGGCAAGTTGAGGTAATTACCGTCTAGCATTTGCTTCAATGCTTGTCGAATTGTAGTCGATGTATTGACCACATCAGGATTTGCAGTCATTACTCGGACCACGGAGCATATTTTAGGGTTTAAACCAGCGGCAATAGCACGAAAAGTCACATCTTTTGAGCTGACGATGCCCACCACCTTGCCAGATCCATCTCGTATGAGAATCACCGAGGTGTTGTTAGCTTTCATCATATTGGCGACTTCGTAGACAGTAGCTTTCAAAGATGCAAAAACAGGCCGGGATACATTGCCAACTACAGACTGTATTGTTGGACCATTTACCTGGCTACGGAGCGATTCCAAGTACTCTTCAATATGAGGAGGATTGGATTCCATACCGAGATCATTGTGTAAAACATCCAAAGTGTCAAATAACCTAGCCGAATTAGCATTGAGTCGTTCGAATTTCTTCATCTGCTTCTTGTAGAATGTCACAATGTCAAGGACACCAATGATTTCTGTATTTGAGTCTTCTACCACTGGCATGTGTCTAAACTTGTGCTCAAGCATTTGGTCTAGAGCCTGCGAGGCAGGAGAAGTTGCCGAGCTAGTAAGCGGGTTCGATGTCATTACCTGTCCCACTGTAGCAACGGTTGCATCCAAACCACTTCCAACTACCCTGAATGCCAAATCTTTAGACGTGAATAGCCCCAAGAGTTTTTCGTGGTCGTCTACTATTAGCACACAATTGCACCTCTTCGCCAGCATTAGCTGAGCCACCTCATATATAGTTGTATTTTTCGTACATGTGACGGGCTCCGATGGTTTCAAAGATAAAACAGACCCTGGAAGGCCGCGCCTCGGTATTTTAGGCTTGGTTGGAGTTCTTCTTTTTTTACTAAACTCGTGATCTATGCGACGCCGTATGGCTTCGTCCCGCCGTATTTGTCTTCTTCTAGACTCGCTGACCGAGCTGCTATCCGACACAACAGATGTGAATTCCTTGGACATCTGCGAGAAAGGGTTGTTTCAAGTCTGTCTAAAAGTTTCTAGTTGTCTGCAACAGGTTTCAGTTTACAGATAGACAATGGCCATTGTGCAGGATATATGACTGAAGATATAAACTACGTCATTATCTATCGTAGTGTGTTAGTTTGTTATGATGATCATTTAGCAGTGAAAACAAGCCACCCCACTAATTCTAAAAATTGAGTAATTCGAGATACATGCGCCCTTTTATACTTCGCTTATCGGATATGCCGCGTATGTATGCAGCCGTGGTTGCAAAATGTCGGCAATATAAATACCCCCAAATCGCTCTTTATTCAAGTAATGATTTTTTCTTTCAGCTGCATCTCGAATCTTGCCGACAATTCTTTTGTCAGGTATATTTCTACAATTTTTAAAGATTTTTTGATTAATATGTTGAGAACAGGACCGAATCCTAAACATATAGCTTTTATTATGGATGGCAATCGGCGATTTTCAAAACGCAATCATATGAAGTTGGCCGATGGGCATTCGAAGGGTGCAGAAGTCTTATTTGAAGTGCTCACCACAGCTTACCAACTTGATATTTCTCACGTAACCGTGTACGCTTTTTCCATTGAAAATTTTAATCGTCCACAAGATGAAGTAGATACGCTTTTTGGGCTTCTTCGAGATAAGTTGGCGATTCTTGCCGACAATGAAACGTCATTCGCTCAAGTCAATCATGTCAAGATCAAGATCATTGGAAATAGATCGTACATTCCAGATGATATATTGTCACAGCTTGAGGAGATCGAGAGAAAAACAAACAAACCAGATTCACACAAAGTGTTGAACGTTTGCTTTCCCTATACTTCACGCGATGATATCACAGAGGCAATGCGTAAGGTTGTGTCATCGCTTGTTTCTTCTGATCTCCAGCGCCAGGATCTCAATGAAGATGTACTCCAGCATCAAATGTATATGGATCCAAACACACCTCAATTGGATATCTTAATTCGTACCAGCGGCCATACTCGATTAAGTGACTTCATGCTCTGGCAGTGTACAGCAAACTGCGATATTGAGTTTGTCGAAACCTTATGGCCCGAATTTGGTTTCTTTCAATTCTTTCAAATACTTGTCAAGTGGGGATGGTCCAAAACAGCATTGGCAGGCTGGAATACAGGAAGAGCCAAAGTATACGTGTATGAACTTCCTCCTGCCCCACCCTTGGTTTCAGTGATTGGCAGATGAAATCTCATATGACACCCACTACTTTTTTGACTTCCTTCTTCTTTCGCTCCCTAATTTTTGCTTCCTCGATACGATTAAGGTATCCCATATAAACAACAACTTCCGCAACTAGAACAAGCACCCCGGAAAACAAGCATAAGAGAACTCGCCAACTGTCTTTCATCTTCATTGAACTATCTGTCCAATACCACACAGCATATACAACGCTTCCAACACTTATCAAAACATTTACAATGGTTGTTACTTGGTTCTTCAATTCTTTGCTAGCAGCAGCTGGAGTCAACGTTTCTTGGTCGTGATTATCATACAAGGTAGTGAATTGCTCGGATGGCCTTATGAGTCTCTGATACTCTTCTTCCTTCGCTTTGAGTCGGAGCTTTTCCATGGATGCAAGAAACTCCTTTGTCTTTGGGTGCTGATCATTGCGATCATTCTTATTTGGAATGTATAAGCGGCTATTGGTTGATCGTATGAAAGCTAGAAGAGTATCGTGAGATGATTTCTTGTACAAGGTTCTCAAGTCTGCATCCGAAATATGATCTGTGTGCATAAGGTGTTCAAACTTTTCATTATCTATTCCACATGTTCGGATGTGCTCTCTAAGGGCTGAGCTTATGGTGAAAAGGACCATAGTACCGTCTTAAAATCTGTGCGAGCGTTGGTGCAAGTACAGTATGTGAAATTCCGCGATGTTCCGCTTTTATCGAACGATGGCAACTTCAACGGTGGTCGGAGCCTTAGCGTGCCAGAGAAACTCATTTCTCACATCATTCACTACTACTGTTGTATCATGCGAAGCAAACAAGGCGCCTGAAACTTCAAAAGATAAGCAAAACAAGAACAAGAAAAAAGCCAGTCCGACGGAACCTGTTTATGCTGTGGAATTGAAAGACACGATCCTCTTTCCAGAAGGTGGAGGTCAACCTTACGACACCGGTTCAATAGTCTTGCCGGACTCTACCAAGGTCTCAGTGTCCAAGGTCGTGAGAGAGGGTGTTACTGCTCTCCACATAACTCCAACTCCAATAGAACCAGGTACTAATGTTTCCCTCGAGATTAATTGGGATAGAAGACTTGACCACATGCAGCAGCATACGGGCCAACACTTGCTTTCTGCGGTTTTAGATTCTTATAAAATTGAAACCTTGGGCTGGTCGCTTGGTGAGAAGATAAACTACGTTGAATTGCCTATGAAAGTGAGCGACGAGATTGTGGAGGAAGTGAGTCGCAAAGTCAATGACTATATATTCAAGGCAATCCCGATAGAGGTGGTGACACCAGACCAGCATGGTGGGGAGCTTGATATCTCTCATATTCCCGAAGACTATGATCTTTCAAAGGGAGTAGTCAGAGTGGTCAAAATTGGCGATCTTGATGCAAATCCATGCTGTGGCACCCATCTCACATCGACCTCGCAAATAACTGCTATTTCTTTATTACATCAGACTAATATTCGAGGTGGTAATTCCCGTTTACACTTTTGCTGCGGTCATCGTGTTGCTAAGCTCGCATCAGAGCTGCTGGCCATTTTGAAGAATGCTGGAGCATTATTGTCATGTCAGTCTGATGAGATCACTTCAAAAATTGAGCTTTTGAACTTCAACTACAAGAAGGCAAACTCAACAGTTTCCAATTTGTTGAAAGAGATTGCAGCAAGCGAAGCCAAGAGGATTTACGATCTGTTCAAAGAGGGCTCACAGGTGGAGTATGCATTCAGAGAAGACGAGAACCCCGAATATGTTCCCTTGTTGCAGAAACAGTTGCTTACCTTCATCAACCAAGACAAAAGTCGTGGAATTGACCTTGAAAAAACCAACACTGTCGTATTTATAAATGGGGAGCGAAAGGAGAATACCAAAGGAATGGTTAAAATCATGGGACCGCAGGCCCAGACCATACTGGCGGAGTTGAAATCACGCTTGAGTAACTTGGCTGGTGGAGGCAAGGGTGCTATGTTCCAAGGCAAAATAACGGGACTTGGCAAGATTGAATTAGCTTCAGTGATAGAATATTTGGAGAAGATGAAGGTGAGCAGCTAATATTATCCAGTCTTAAGTCATGTAGACGTGCTCTTACTATATACATACTAACGCTTGACCCAGGTTGGCGACTTTCTAGCCTTGACCTTACCTGGTTTCTTTCTTTCGACCTTTCTGGTGTCTCTGGTCATCAAGCCAGCCTTGTGCAACCGGGACTTGAATAATGGGTTGAAAATTACCAATCCTTTGGCAATACCGTACATTATAGCGTCAATTTGGCCCGTCAATCCTCCACCACTGACCTCGGCAAAAACATTGTACTTGGCTTCCTGGGCAACAACCTGGAATGGGTATGCAATTTTCTTTCTATCAGAAGCTTTAGGGAAATATTCGTTGAGCGATCTTCCATTGACAAGCACCTCACCTTCACCTCTAACCATGGAGACTTTTGCTACCGATCTCTTTCTTCTTCCCACGGTCACAGCGCGTCCAAACTGATCCAAAGTCTTCATTTTCTGTGCAACCTTGGCGACTACACTGGAATTACTGCTGTAATTTGTCAAAGTTTCACTGACTTCCCGCGGCATCAACTCGAGATCTATGCTCCGTAATCTGTGCAAAAGTTGTGTCAACTCCTTGTGGTGGATGGGCTTGAGTCGGGTACCAGCTTGGACTCTCTGGGCGTATTCCTCAAAGGATAAAAACCGGTTGGCTTGCAATTCTTTGTCGTCGATAACTCTGGTGGGTAAGTTGATGTGTTTTCTGATCAAAGCGTTCAATTGGTTTATGTTCTGCTCATGGACGGGGTTACCTCCGTAAAAGGTTTTGAGTGTGGGAACAGTACGTACTCGGCTTAGTTCTGGGCTCCGCAAAGTGGTGGATGATAAAATCGAAGGAATTGGAAGAGTGGTGGAAGTGGACTTTTTAGCATCGCTGGATATTTTCGGACGAGATTCCTGTAATACTATGCTTCTCAGCGAGAAAAAACGACCCGGAAGCCGGCAAAAACGCAGTCTGACGCCGGAACTCATTGTGTGGTTAGAATGGTCAAGTTCGTTTTTGGTGAACAAAATTGAAAAAATTCAGCGGTGCGCGAACGACTTTGTTGCACTGGTACAACGACATATAATACATTATATTAGCTATAGTACATACGCCAACCCTCGTCTATTCCAGAGGACCGGCAGAATTAAGTAGATCGCGTAAATCATTTCTCTCGTGGGGTGGCTCTTCCTTGAGCGATGTGGAATCAGAGTTGAGTAGACTCATGATCGACGGCCGTTGCAGCTTGGAAGTTTCTTTGTTCTCCAGCTTTAAAGCCGGTTCAGGATCGTTGGATAGAAGTGAGCTTATCGTGGGACGCTCATGAACAGGGGGCAGGATTATCCCATTCAAAGTGACCGAAGGACGGGACTCTTGAGCTTGGTGCGATTGGTTCGCAGCTTGATGAGCTTGGTGAGATTGGTGTGGTTGATGAGGTTGGTGAGGTTGGTGAGGTTGGTGAGATTGGTGTGGTTGATGAGATTGGTGTGGTTGATGGGGTTGGTGAGGTTGGTGAGCTTGACCATCCAGTTGACCATCATTTTGGAAATCTTGGGGAGCTGGTGCAATTGGCTGAGAACCTTGCTGACTTTGAAACTGTTTGGCGGAAGTTAATTCTGGCTGAACGAAGCACCCAATTCACTCTTAGTGTCTTTCGTATCTGCACCGGCCACAATCACATTCCAGTTGTTTCTCTCGGCATTACGAATAAAGTAGTTGCGAACCATGGTCGCGGTTTTGGTGGACAAGGTATCAGCAATAGCTATCCAGTTGGTACCGTACATTGACAATAAGCGAGGAAACTCATTGGCCTCAGTAATACTCCAATAACTCGAGATATTCTTTTTCTTGTCTGTTTCATTGGAATTATCGTGCTCGTGAGATTCGGTTTCAATATTTGTTGGTGCTGGTTGCGATGGTTCAATTGCCGACTCTCCAGACTGAACAGCATTTTCCATATCCATTGTTTCAGGTTGCTGACCTTCGTCCTTTTTCTTTTTTCTTTTCTTGATCTGAATAACGGTGGTCTCCTTTTTCTTGGTACCTTCAAAAGTTGGTGCTGCTGCCCGCTTCCGTCTTCCCGTTTCAGTATACATTTCTTCTCCGAAAGTTTCATTTGGAAGTGTGATAGTTTGAGCGTACTCTTCAATGTCTCTCTCCACAGTAGGGGTACCAACAGGAGTTGACGATTGTGATGTATTTCTCGATTTGGGTTTACCTCTGCGAGCAGCCTTCTTGATACTCTTTTTCTTGAACTGAGCTACCAACAGCTTGTAGTTAACTGCCTTCTTTGTCATGTAATAGTGAACCACGCATTCTTCAGGTGTTCGAAGTCCTCCCATGTGTCGAGAAATAGCACCAAAGCGCTTCGGATAAAGACAAAAGGCTTCACAGAAGGCAATGTGTTCGCTTGAATTGAAGTTGTTGTTGAAATCTGTCTTGACTCTAGATGCCCATTCCGTCTTGGACTTGACCATATTGTTGGAGTCCATATACTTCACTAGCGTACGCTCTTCTGGGTCCAATACCATATCAGGTATTGTAGCGGCACCTTTACGCGCTTTAAACAGCGGGTCCTGATTCTGCTGCTTTTCTAGTGATTGCAACACCTCCTGGAACTCTGCTTCTGTGGTCACCAAGTCTCCATGGCGTCTTCCCCGTCGAGAGAGTGCTGCATGGCCAGGAGCACCAAGTTCTTGCTGGTCGTTCTTGGTTCTTGTATCGATGGATTCCAACTCTCTTCTGAAATCGTCGTCTTCTGGGTGCAATATTTGGAGCTGTTCATCCATAAACTTGCGCTTTGCATTGAATTCCTTGAACTTGACTTCGTACAGCTTCCACAACAGAATCTTTTTCTCTTCTGTTTCTTTTATCTTCGATTGTAAGCGATGCACTAATTCGTCACGGTGCAATTTAAAGTAGTGGAAGTTCAAATCGAAAAAGTCAAGTTGACGAAAGTCGACAACGCTTTTCTTCGCAGTTCCCGATTTCTCAAACTCTTTAGAAAGAGCTTCGTACTCGGTCTGTATGCGGTTCAATGGGCCAAACTTCAACTGAGAGGAGGTCTCGCTATTTTGTTGAACTTTGGTATCCAATTGTGGCTCAGAAACGGGAGCAGAAGACACAGAAACTGGCTCAGAAACCGGTTCATGTTGCAGCTTTTGCGATTCCCGTGGCTCATGTGGTACATGTAGTTCTGGCTCCTGTTCCTGTTCCGTCACCTTTGGTTCTTCAGGCTCGTAAGATTCCAGATCTGGTGTGGCAGAAATTTTGCGAGAACGAATGGCTTCGAATGCCTCACGGTGCATTTCCGACATGGCTGAGTCGTCTTCCTTGTCAATCTTCATAGCTTCATTCTCTACACTGGGCTCAGGAGGCTCGTAATCATCAGCTTCGTCATCTGTACTAACGGGTGTCTCGTTATCGCTGTATGTTCGGCTTGGTTCGAGCTCTGCTTTGACATCAGCACGGACATCGTCGTTGTATTCAGGAGATGTCTCGCGGCGCTCCACAGAGTTGGAGGGAGTGTTGGGTCGGGAGTCGCTATCACTGGGAGATTTGGAGCCATTTTCGGTTTTGTCCAAACTGCAGTAGCGGTCTATATGGCGATAATTGTAGGAAGATCCGGGAGCAGAACCAGAGTATGACGAGCCAGAGTAGCCTGAGCGATAGTAGTCGCCTCGGCTATCCATTCTACTTCCGGTGTTCAGGTAGGAACCTCGGATACGAGTGCGAGGACGACCGGAATTGTAGCCACCGCTCCATTTTTTTTCTCCATGATCTGTCAGGTAGCTGTCGTAGCGGTCATTTGCAGAAGCAGTGTTTGGCGGCTTCCTTGGACCATAAACCTGGCCGCCAGAAGAATCTCGTTCTCTTCTAGATGAAAATGCGTTGTACGAGCCGTAGCTGGGATAGTAGGAAGAGTACCCTCGAGAAGGTCCATACAGCCCATAAGCGCCTCTATTTGAAGGAGGACCATTATAGCCCTGTCCTTGGTAACGGGAGCGATGATTGGTGACGTTGGAGGACGAGGACACCGAGTCTCGAAGCGAAGACAGACCGGTAGATGCGGAGCTGGGCCCTTTATAATCTCTCCGGGAACCCGAAGGAGGGTGGAAACTCTTGCGCTTCGCCTTACCGTAGTCATAGTCGCCCCTGTCTGTATACCTCGGCGGCGGGCCTCTGCCAGAGGACATTATATGAACGAGGTGTTTTTGGAGGATATTTTATCAAGCCAGAAAATAGTGCTGGTGGTAAAAATATAACTTTTTGGGGTACTTTGGTGTGCCAGAAAGCTTTAAGTAGCTTGATGGGTCGATTTGAACGTCACAAATTGATATATTTGTTGTGGTCTAAAGGGATGGTTTGTACAAGAAGAAGTTATATTTAAAATTTTTGGGTGCGCGCACCAAATGGCTGGGCGCGTGAGAGAGAGAGCGAGAGTGAGAGGTGGGTATAATTAAACAATATTGTAGGTTTAACTATCCAATCAATATTGTAAGAGTTTATTATTTGTATGTTCTATTAGTTTTTAAGGCAGTTCGCCATGGAGAATGCGGCGAAGCACTCCAATATTCTCAATGCATTTCACAAAGTCTTCATATGTCACATTTGGTTTGATGGTTTTGTTTCCAAAGTCCTGGTTTCCATTTCGGGATAATCCTCGAGACACTATCACGGATACCACCGAGCAAGACTCCAAAGCAGAAATAATATCCAAAAATTCTCCCTTTCGAAGTTTTCCTAGTAACCGCTCAGCGTGCTCACTACAGTGCTTTGTGTAGAAATCGTAGAACCCATTGATGGTGATGTCTCGCGCCAACAGTCCTGCTGTCGATGGGCCATGGTAGTAGTTGAACAAGCAACAAAGAACAGTTTTCTGGTGAAGATTCAAACTCTGCAATTTGCTCATGGAATTGTCTCCAAAAGACCGAGAACAAACCTTGGCGACATGGGTTATCATAACCTTGGGAGCATTATCGTAGGTCAATTGGTCAAATTCCGGTGGTGTGAGCTTTTTCCGTTGCTCCTCTTCAACCATTTCTATACTTTGGTAGAAAATATCGAAAGCTTTACGCAAGTCTCCAGTTATAGCAGCCGCTTTTTTGGAGCAAAGAATGATGGCCGTGGGGTGAACAATAGGAACGGAACCCATGAGAGGTTTCCCAGAAGTAGGTGGAGCATTTTCCTTGTCGCTTTCGTCAACCAAAGTTCTCAACTTCAGCTCCACAATGCTTTTGATGTGATGAGCTGCGTACGGCAGAAACTGCAAAGTGCAAGGCAGCATTCCATTAGCTTTGAGCCGAGGCAAGAACTTGTCTGTCAAGTCGAGAGCATTGGAGATTGCAAGAATGATTAATTTGGCTCGGTAATGATGAGAATGTTGGTGGTAAGCAAGACGGAAAAGTGTAAAGATCACTTGCTGGTCCTTGGTGAGAAGACAGTCGAGTTCATCTAGAACAACCACAAGACTGTCGACGTGAGAAGTATTCAATAAAAGTTGCTGGAGATCATCTGCCGTTTTTCTTTTGTTATGACGGGTGGATTCTTCTTGGCTTAAGCCGCAGTAAATTTCATGGAACACATTTTCCGGACGAGCTATAAGTGTCATACAGTTGATGTGAACCGTGCGTACTCTTTTCTTCTTGTGGACAAAGTTATTAATATCAGAACTCGAGCTTTTCAGAAGATACCTAAGGATCTTGGTCACCTGAGCAGTCTTACCGGTTCCCGGAGGTCCTGAAATGTAGAGGCTGCTTGAGGTTCCAGCCTCGAGATTTTTTGTCACAAAACCAACAATGGACTCGGTCTCACCTTCTCTGCCAACCAAATGAGCATTTTCCGAGTCAGCAACGGCGCTTTTTTGGAAGAGATTCTTGGCCCTTGAATAGACAGATGATTGGCGCAGCAGCACCATTGGAAGATTTTCCAGTGCTCCTGGTTTGACCAGAACTTCCAGCTTTTGTGTATCAAACACCAAGCTTCGTACTCCAGAAGATTTCACATCAAAGTGAATAATTCTATTCTTCTCTGGAGTCACTGGAGGACTTATCAATTGGAAGGTATTCGACACATCTGTTAATCCTGACTTTGTACGTTTCACTGGAAGACACTCTTGAAATGTTCTTTTCCTAGACTCCATCACCATTGAAAGTAAAAGGTAGAAAGAAAGAACACTAGTTCAAAGGTTCATTGCAGAATCGCGATTTCAATTTATCCCAATCGGGACTGGTAATTGGCGTCGCGTCAGTGAACTTTGGAGGTGGACTGGACTTCACACCCATGCACCCACACGCGTCAGAGAGATGACTCCAAGTCTTTCAATGCTTTCGTTAATACCGGGTTTTTCCGGGTCACCATGTATACGTCGGTGGGTTTGACGACCTGGCGCAGAGCGTGTTTTGCAAAAAGTTCAAGATCCTCGCCAAAATTGACAATTTGGTTGTAAGTGAGTTCCACCAAAGTGGCCACGAACGTGGGACTGGCCGCCAATTCTGGACCCATACGAGCCAATTCCGCCTCCACGATCTGGGCGACAGAAAGGTAGACGGCTGCTTTGAGTTGGAGGGGTGTTTCCATAAGAGTGGACGGGGAAGAAAAATGGGGAAAAAAGATGAGAATGCAACTTTGGTAGTCTCAAAATGTGAAAGGTTCTGGTTGTGCCTCAATTCTGCGACACTCACAGCGCACGGAACAATGCGACTCGGCGTTCACAACAAGACTTAATCGAATCTTCTATTCGCGAACGTTGGAAGATTGACTAAATTGCGAACGTTCGAAACTCATAACCAGCACGTGACCCATATGCTATAATCTAGCATGAAAAGGAGATCGAGCCATTTCCGAAAGATAATTTGAAGGCCCGACTTCAGCATTCACTCATACAATCTTTGATTTTTCTTCATCCATTCTCCATCTTCATCCACCTTCATCCATCTCCATCTTCATTCTTCGCTGCCCATTACGTCATCACTGACATTCCCCGACCGATTCCCCACCCCCGAGAACTCCTATTATTCTAAGCGAGGGAATCTGAATTTACGGGCTAGCCCTGAGATCCACAGGCACACAAAAATATACACTAGACTCAGGTGATAGCTGGAAACAACAGAACCAGACTATATTAGCTGTCTTGCTGTCTATCATTAACTCGTGGTGAGTCGACTAGCTACTCATGGCTCATTGAAGTACCCATTGTTGCCAAAGAATAAAGTAAGAAGATCTGGAGAAAAACTTGTTGCTTAATACTAAAGGCGATTCAAGTCTTGTTAGATTTTGAACTATCAAGAAAGAATACTCCAAACAAGACCAAAACGAAAAGTTCAACAACTGCAAAAAAGAACAAATCACTCAAATCAAATTCAGCAAGTTGCTTAAGTTTCCTTCAATTTTGCGTAAGTTTCCTCAAACTTCCTCAATTTCCATTTCCTTAGATTTCCTTAAATTCAACAGTCATGTCCAAAACACGCCGTGGAATATCCTACGTTTTGGGTGAGTCCAACGACGACGAAAACCATATTTTACCCATAAACTCCATACAATACTCTTCGTTTTCCGACAAATTTTATACCGGAGGTCGTGACGGTACGGTCAAGGAATGGTCCACCAACGAGTCTCACGAACCAAAAGAAGACTCTCCTCAGTTTTTTTTCTCAGACACTTTCAAAGATGGCCCTGGGCACGATTCAGAGCTCGACCAAGACTTGAGCGAGAGAATACTCAAACTTGAAACCTCCATATCTGCAAACCCATTATCCTACAACTCTCAAGTCCACCACAATTTCAAAATAACTCATAGTCATAATATCCATTTTGACTGGATTAACGACTTGATATTGATCAACCAAGACCGAAAACTTGTCTCGTGCTCGTCAGACTTGTCCCTAAAACTACTTCATTTGGATAGACTGAATGAAGTCACAAAGTTCGCCAATATTCACACAGACTATGTCAAGAAATTAGCCTATATGAGAGGCTCTAACATGTTGCTAAGTGGTGGATACGACGGGAAAATAGCATTGTGGGACATGAACTCTTTGGCTCCTGTTCTGCAAATCAGCACCGTGCAGTCTTCGGCTTCTATGCCCAGCTCGATATACTCTTTGGCTAGCAGCTCTGCAAATACTTTTTGCAGTGGAGGTCCTAGCAGTATCGTCAATTTGTACGATACTCGTATTCCCAACCATATGGTAAGACGACTTTTGGGTCACCAGGACAACGTGAGATGCCTTCTTATGAACGACAACCAGATTCTCAGTGGCTCATCGGATTCTTCCATAAAACTATGGGATTTGCGTATGTTCAAAGTTTACAAGAATTTTGATATTCATGACGAATCCGTATGGGCAATGAGCACTGCAGAATCTTCTTCTCCCGGCTCATACAACTCGACTGAATCGTCCAACTTTAATGTCTTTTACAGTGCAGACCGATCAGGTACGGTTTTGAAGACAGACTTGTCTTACTTGTCGCAAAATCTAAGTGAAAATGTTCTTCCTGATCAGCAGACTTTCACCACCAACGAAAATGCCGCCGTTGACGAAAAGGTTGGACTAACAGCTATAGTTGCAAAAATTGACTCACCCATCTTGGCTTTATGTGTTGAGACCGTTAAGCAAAATGGAGAACGATCAAATTCTTCACTTCTTGTTTCAACAAACGGTTCTCTTGCCAGATACTACGTTCCTGAAACCGAGCAACTAGCAAAGTACCAATACGTGAGAACTTGTGTGGATCTCATATATAATCGTCACGACGATACCGCCGAGGAACTTGTGGCCGATGATCAAAATGACCTCAATTCCGACTTTTATGATCTTGTGAGCCACCTTTCGGTGGAGACCAACAATCTCGATATTCAGTCTTCTCGATCGGTCGCTAACCCTCGGTCCGTCAATAATGAAGCTGCTACAACAAAGCTAGAAAGTCCTGATATCCGCGAGTACAATACCATGTTTGTTGACCAAAGTGGAGGTCCTTGTACCGACTTTATCAATACATACAACGAGGGACTTTTTAAGGAAAACAGCGTGGTGAATTCGTCTGTGGATACCACTCCGGTTGAAATTCCGCTCAATCCAGTTCCCGCCGAGCGTCTAACCAACATTCCGTTCAATAAAAAGCCATTTGTCGAATACCAAATCACCCCAAAATCCATTGTTGCCAAGAGACTCTTCAATAATAAGAGACAAATGATTGTTCTTTACTTGAATGGAGACATCAAAATATGGGACCTTCTAGTTTGTCAGCCCATTAAGACATTTCCGTACGAGAAAGCTGGCACATCAGGAATGAGCAAAGAAGTTTATGAGCAACGACAACAAGACATGGACGATATTTTCGAAGATCACGACTCCATGGATACATTGAACAATTGGTGCGAGGTGGAAATCAAATCGGGTAAGCTTTTGGTGACCCTCAAAGAAGGCAGTTTCCATCAAACAGAGATTTATTATGATGAATTGATCCAGGCGTATCCATACCTTGCATACAAGCATCATGATAATGACAAGTATGATGATGATCCCAATCTCAAGGTGAGCAATGACGATAGATTTCAAGTTTCACGAATCATCTTGAACTCATTGTTCTATAGCTATGCATTATACGAATGGGGGTTTGATCAGAAATTGAGAGAAGAACTCCGAAACCTCAGAAGAGCCTCTTTGACGCTGACAGAAGAACCTAGTCAAGCCAATGGTTCAAGTACTTCCAAACGGATAAAAATGTTTCGTAAAATATCCTCAAAGACATCTGTTAATCGCCTGACGATTCCGGAATCCGCAAGTGGAACTACTTCGTCCTCAAACAGTATTGACGAGAACATTGATGCCGACCCGGAAGTAGCCAAGTTTATTGGAATCAACGAAGAAACTGGCGATAAAAATGACATTTTGAAAAACTTGTACAATTACGATACCTCGATCATGAAGCTCTTGCAGCTAAACAAGAAGAAATACACCGAAAAGTATCAGACTCAGGGAAAACAGAAACAGCTCGCAGATTCAATTTTGAAGATTTATTCTAATGATCCAAAACACTTGAGCAATACCTATAAAAGCGATGCTAGCGAGAGCTACAAACCACGAATAAATCCCAAGAGATTACCACCCAATCTTTTGATTATCATCTTTGAATACTCACCGGATCTCGGTAACCTTCGAGATGTGCTTAGCTTCCATTTTGAGGACCTACAAAGGTTGAATTACGAACAGGACAACGAAAAACAACAAGCTTTTATCCACGATTTGAGGACACAATTGCCGCGGTGGATCGGTCACCCCATATTGTACGACAAGTTCCCGGCGGTGAACAGCTCCAAAGTGAGTTTCCAGTTGCTTGAAATGGATTACAGTAAGCTCGAACCTCACCAACTTATTGGTGGAAAATCACAGCGAAAAATTAAAAAGCTCCCTATAATGGAGTCACTGATCAAACTAACAGCCCATGAAATGCTCCGGGTAGGAAAAATACTAACCTATCTTACAGACAAGTTTGAAAGTCGCACCGCTGAGATGAAAGACCATCGAGAACCGTCCGAGTGGTTGGCACTAGAATGTCGCGGAAAAGAGCTCCCGGTTGGCATGACGCTTCAGACCATCAAAGCCAAGGTGTGGAAGAGCTCCAGCGACGTTGAGCTTATCTTTAGGCGTAAATTCGATACATAGATTATAGACCCACCTTCATCATGGTAGTGCACCCAGTGCACCAGCGCATTGGTGTTTCGCAAAATTTTCCAATCTGCAAAACATCACCATCATGGAAGAGGCTGACAGATACGTATCGCGGTTATGGAGGTCGTTTAAAACGGTGAAGGAGATGGTCCGAGACAGGGTAAGTACACAGAAGGCTACCAGCAACACAAATAGCTAACTTTAGGGTTATTACATTACACAGGAAGAAATCGACATGTCGTTGGATGAATTCCGGTCCAAGATATGTGACAGTATGGGATTACCCCAGCGGAAAATGATGTGTTTCCAGGCCAATCCTACCGCAGAAGCGCTTGAAAAGTTCCCAGACATGGGCTCTTTGTGGGTGGAATTTTGTGATGAGGCAAGTGTAGGTATCAAGACGATGAGAAACTTTTGTATTCACATAAGCGAGAAGAACTTTAGCACGGGAATATTCATATATCAGAACTCCATTACGCCCAGTGCCAACAAATTGGTACCCACAGTGGCGCCAGCGTCGATTGAAACGTTCCAAGAGAGCGATTTGATCGTCAACATAACCCACCATGATTTGGTGCCCAAGCATATAAAGTTGTCCATCGGCGAGAAAAAAGAGTTGTTGGCCCGGTACAGATTGAAAGAGTCGCAATTGCCCCGTATTCAACGAGAGGACCCGGTGGCACGGTACTTGGGGTTGAAGCGTGGAGAGGTGGTGAAGATAATTAGACGATCAGAAACGTCTGGTAGATATGCGTCGTACCGGATCTGTTTGTAGTGTACTATATTGAATCAAAATTCAGCAAAATTCAGAAGACTGTACGAGAGAGACCTTCCTCTATGAAAGAGGGTTCCTCTGTAATTGATGAGATTTTGGCCTCTATAATTTCTTAATGACGATGACGTCTCTTGAATCTTCCTTTATTAGTTCCTTGGTCCCGTTTATGTTCTTATCCGTGAACACATCACACAGTCACTTCCCGTCCACCACGTACAGTCTGTGGGTATTACGCCTTTGGGTGGAGAAACTTCTACTCCTTGCTCACCCAAGTATACCGGGCCAATGGTGATAATCAAAGAATGAATGAAAGCTTCAGTTTTTTGAAACAGTAAAAGGTCGTTAATAATTTGTGCTCCACCTTCAATCATGACCGAAGAAATGCTCAATTTGTCAAGTTCATCGAAAATCAAGTGCCAGTTTTGCAACCTATTTCGCAGCAATGAAAGACGTATATATTTTCCACCTTGACGACTAACTTCTTTTTCATTTTTGGTGTCGATGTCAACATCATCCCTCACAATAATGTATGGAGCAAGAGCTTTTATATCATCTGTATTTTGGTCCACCAATTGATGCAATTGAGACAGCTTGTAGTCCCATTTACCACTCGGATCCAATACTACTGGCCTTGGACTTTTTCCTGCCTCGTGGCGGCAATTGAGTTTTGGGTCGTCTGCCAAAACAGTTCCGATTCCCACCATGATCGCATCGTGCTTAGAACGTATATAGTGAGTCATGGACTTGGTTTCAGGACCAGAGATTTTGGTTTGAATTCCTGGCGCTGCCGCGATACGCGAGTCGAGCAGTTGAGCGTAGGTCAAGGTGACGAAGGGTTTTTTGTGTGGAGTGCTGTTCTGGGGTAGATATGGGTCTATGCATTGAAGCAAGGAGGAGGGAGGTGGCTCCATTGGATTGATTTGAATGGGTGCGAAGTGCGAATTGGTGCGATCTGAAATTCGAATAAATACTGTGCGAATACTTGAGCGAATACTTGCAAACAGATTCATTAACCTTATCAATGATACCGTATATTTAGCCTAGGATGCAAGTTTCGACCTAACGGCGTCATTCTTGGCATTTTCAATTTCGTCCATCGCAGCCCTATCTCGCTCAAGACGTCTCCGCTCACGAAGCTGCCATTCTATATACTCTTTTTCTGGATCGATATCGTCAGTATCGTCTACTTGCACCACTTGTTCGCGGGTGATTTTTTGCTGGAATTCTGCCTTCTTAAGTACTTGTGATTTTGCCTGTTGCAGCCGGCTGCCAAATGTCTCTGGTTTCCCCGCATGGCTGCGTTTCACGTAAACCGGTCGGGCCACCATAGATGAGCCCTCGGAACTGGAGGTGGAACCACTGGATTCCGACCCTGAGTCTGCATCCGACTCGGAACTACTGCAGTGCGTGGCGTCGTGGGTTTGTTCCGTCGTGCCCATACTTACGCATGCCAACAAATTAAATTGGTGGTTTTTGGGATTCACAATGAGCGCGACATTTTGGTTGTTGATTTTTTGAACCGCGGGTCGCGATGATTTCTCAACCATCTACTCTCTTTCAATTTTAATGTCACTTTTGCCCACTTTAGACACGCCATTCGGCATCAAATTGTGGCCTCTTTTTGACCAGGCTGTTGCCGCGGCAACCCAGGGCTCATTTGTTCCTTCGAAATTTGAATTTATACGCGGCGAAACCATTTTGAGCACATTTCCTCCAGTTGCCGGAGCCATTGCTGGCTACTATTTGGTGATTTTCGGGGGTAATTATTTATTCAAGAAGTTTGGAATCAAGGGTTTTGTGCTCAATGGGCTTTTTCAACTTCATAATTTGATTTTGACATCGTTGTCGTTGACGTTGTTGGTTTTGATGGCTGAACAATTAATCCCCATTATTGGACATCACGGACTTTTCTATGCCATTTGCCACCCTAACGCTTGGACTCAGCAGCTTGAATGCTTGTACTTTCTCAATTATTTGACCAAATTCACCGAGTTTATTGACACGGTTTTCTTGGTGGTCAAGCAAAAAAGATTGACATTTTTGCACACCTACCACCACGGAGCCACCGCGTTGTTGTGTTTCACTCAGTTGATTGGAAAGACTCCTATCTCGTGGGTACCAATCACCCTCAACTTGGGAGTTCACGTGGTGATGTATTGGTACTACTTTTTGGCAGCTCGTGGAATTCGCGTTTGGTGGAAAGAATGGGTTACACGGTTCCAAATCATCCAGTTTGTTTTGGACTTGGGTTTCGTTTACTTTGCCACCTACCAGAAGCTCGTGCACACTTATTTGCCTAAGGGACAAAAATTCTTGCCCACTTGTGGTGATTGTGCTGGTTCCATGTTGGCAGCGTATTCTGGATGCGCCATCTTATCTTCGTATTTGGTGTTGTTTATTGCGTTCTACATCGATGTCTACCGTAAGAAGGACTCGAGAAGATCCAAGAGAGTCAAGTCGGTGTCGGGAGGCTACGCCGCCCAGGTCAACACCTATGTCTACACCACCGGAAGAGACTCTCCTACCCCACAGCCAGAAGCCAATCTCAAGTCCAGAAAGGCTTAAGGATGTGTAGTTTATTTGATATCGTTAAACCAAGGTATGCCCTCCGCTGCACCTTTTCTCTGGATAGCCAATGCACTGGCTTTTGTAGCAAACGAAACAGCATCTTGTAGTGAAGATTTCTGTGCCAATTGCAGAACTATGCCTCCGAAAAACGTGTCTCCTGCGCCCGTTGTATCGACAATATTTTCCACTTTTGATGCTGGTGTGAAGCTGGCCCCTTCTTTAGTGGAATAGCAACATCCCTGGCCGCCCATGGTAATTATGGCACTGCTACAGTTGGACTGGTGCAATTTTCTCTGCAACGCACTGGCCAACTTTTTCATATTATCCACACTTTCTTCCGTTTTTTCGTTCAAATTGAGGGTCCTGGCAATATCAGCGGCTTCCCCTTCGTTAACAATGAGCAAATCTATTTGTTTCATGATCTCTGGGTCGGCAATTTCTTCTTTAAATGGGGAAGGATTATAGGCAATATTCACTCTGGGTTTATTGGCCTTCAACCACGAAATGGTCTTGAAAGTGTCTGGATATTCGTTTTGGAGAATCACATAGTCGCCATCTTCCGTCTCGGAAAATATCGACTGGTACTCTTCTTCGGTTGGCTTCAATTCACCATTTGCACCCGCTGTAATCAAGATGCGATTCTCTCCATTTGTCTCAACAAGAATGACAGCAACGCCCGAACTTATTCCTTTGATCTCTTTCACGTAGTCTACATTGACGTTGGAATCGACCAAGGCTTGCTTGGGTTCCTTGCCAAACGAATCTTCACCGATATTTCCAACCATTCTGATGTTCGTGGTGGAATTCGGCGCCGATAGACGAGAGGCCGCCAACGCCTCGTTGAGACCTTTTCCTCCTAGGTGATTTTCAAACGAAATGGCTTGGTACGTCTCGCCCGGACCCGGAACCTTGTTGGTGTAGGTGACGAGGTCGTAGTTTAGGGACCCTACTACTGTGATGGAAGGCATGGAGAGTCGCAGTGAAATTTGGATTTGTAGGTGTGGTGCATATAGGAGAGAGAGAGCGAGGGTGAATAAATCGAGTAAGAGAAGTGAGAGTGAAATAAAGACGAATCAAGTAAGTATGCTTTTGAACAGAAATTAACAGTGAAGGTCAGAAACGAAGTACGATACCTCTCCTTTACTAAAAAGTGGATAGAGTGTAAATTAGCGTACTTCAACATGTAAATGAAAATACTTCTAAGTTTAATGAGAATTCTCTACTTGTAAAATGAGTATACTTCTCCAGATAAATTTATGACATTTATATATATTGTCATAAATTCTCTAAGACCTTCCCGCTTGCTGTCTCTTCAACTTCAACTTCTCGGCATAGGTCATGGGCTTGGCCTCTGCTGGAGCGGCTGGGGTAATCGCAGCCTTTCTCGATGCTACTTCGGCCTCGACGTTTTGACGTCTCTTCAACATTTCGGCATCTTTTTCTCTTTGGAGACGAATTTCCTCCTTCAATTTGGCCAATTCCTCTTCTTTCTGTCTGCGACGAGCCTCTTCCTGTTCGGCTTGAATTTGCTCTCTCTTTCTCTGGGCAAGTTCTTCAATACGTTCTCTCTTGATTTGTTCAATTCTCTCTTGCTTTGCTCTTTCAAGTTGTGCCTTCGCTTCCGCTTGCAATTGCTTGAGCTTATCTTTGTTCTTCGCATTGATCTCACTCTTAAACTCAGAATAATCTGGAACAAGACGAGTGAACCGCTCCTTCAAAGCGTGGGCTTCTTCGAAATCCTTCTTGGCCTTGGCTATTTTATTGGCCTTGACAAGTTCGTAGTTTTTGGCTTCCTGTTCAATCTGGGCTTCGGCATCCTTCTCCAAGTACTGGAGCTCGTATCTGCGGAAAGCACGCTCGGTATGGTCGGTTTTCTTGCTCAACGCACGCAACTTTTCTTCCAAGTTCTTCTTGTCTTTGTTCAATTGCTCAATTTGCATGATTCTCAACTTGTCGGTATCAAGGTTTTCCAAGTTGTCCAAGTCAATTTTGATGATTCCCTTGGCGTTGATTTCCTCGGCAATCTTTCTCTTTTCCCGCTCTCTGATCAAGTGCTTTTCTCTCTCCAATTTCTCCAAACTTCTTCTTTCCTGCTCTGCAAGCATTCTCTCCTGCTCGGCCTTTTGTTCGGCGCTCAACCGTTCCAGCTTCAACCTGGCGGCTTCTTCGTCTTGCTTCCGCTTGGCCACATCGATCACACGCTTTCTCTCATCCATAACCTTCACTCTGTTGGCAATTTCTTCCTGCTCTTCCGAGATTCCAGCCACAGCACGTTTCACGGCGGCTTCACGACTGGCTTCAAGACGACGAGCATTTTCGGGATCAATGGTGTCGACGGTCTTGGACAAAGTGTAGGCGAATTTTTGCAATTGCGATCTGACCAATTCAGCTGGCGAGATTTGCAATCTACTGGTCAAGGAATCGCTCAAAGAATCTTCAAATGGACTGGATTTGAACGTCACCACACCCGACTCATGGTCAATTGTCAAAGCTAAATGACCCTCTTTCGTGGCTATAGCAATCAAATTTTCCACTTCCAAAGCTGACAATGTGTACTCGGTGCCTTCAAAGATACCCAAGGATACCAAAAAGTCCAACTTGACAGTTTCATAAACCTGGGAAACTTGCTGGAAAATGCGCACCAGGACAACCTCAGTCAAGGTTTTGATGTAATGCTTGTAATCCTTGTCTGCTTCGATTTCCTTGAACAAAGCAGCAATTTCCTTCTTGATGGTCAAAGGATGGAAGTTGTTTTCGCCCAAAACATCGAACAATTTCTTGACACAAGGATCCACAAAACTGAGAATTTGACGACTGACAATCAGCTTCAACAAACTGTCGCGAGTAGGTACATGGCTCAAATTAAGAAGCGACGACAACTTGGCGTTTTTGGCCCGATGGTCGTCCACCACCGTCTCGTTGCTGTTCAGACTGCGCTGGGGAATCGACAAGGTGGAAAGGACGAGAATAGAAGCGTAATGGCTCAATTCGTCGTCGGTAGCGTTGGGAGACTGCGAGTACAAATTGAAAAACTTGTTCCAGGCAGCGGCGTGGAAAAGCCCGTTGTCGCTCACGGCGAAGATTCTTGCCAAGTTCTCGTAGTAGTTGGCCATCATGACTGGCTTGGGTGTTTTCTTAGAAGCGGTGATCAAAGTGTGAACATCGTCCACCGATCTGAAAGATTCCTGCCATAATTCCAATTTGACCGAGATGTTCAATTGCGAAAATCTCTGGTCGAGGTACCGCTGGATGGTCTCCGAGTCCGACAAGTCGATGGCATTGGTGGTGCCGGCGGTCTTGGGCTGGGTGGTGACGGTTTGGATGTGTGCTCTCAACAACTCACACAATCTTCTAAACTCCGCTTTACGGTTGAAACGGAAACAAAACTGGAACGCCTGGTTGACGATGGTGGAGTACGTGACCTCGGTTTTGGAGTTGTTTCGTAAAATATCCAAAACAGCACGGAAAGCTTCCCACAAAAATCTCAACCATGGAGTCACCAATTCTCTTTCGGTTCTATCGGCCGTATCGGTGTTGGACACAGCAGACATCAAGATACTTTCAGGGGTTTGCGAGGTTTCGAGATCCTCGTCCTCGTCTTGGTCAATTTTAATATCAGCCTTTGCCTGAGCGTCGTTCAATTTTTTTTCAGCCAAATCAACAAACCGTTTAACGACAACTTGAACAGACTCCAATCCGTTTTCTGACATTTGAACGTTCTTCTTGTACTGGTGCAACGCATCCTTGGCAAGCTTTCCCTTTCTCAAATCAACGGCAAGCTCCATAAGAAGTAAGGCAATGGGCTCAAGATCCTCAACTTGAAGGTAACGAATTCTCTTGGAAGTGATAAATTCGTACAAGGTTTCCAAAGCAGCCTCGCGCTTGTCGACGGCGATCAAGTCTTCTGCCCTCTTGAGGACATTTTCCGGCCGGAAATTGTGGTTTCTATGTGGCGGAGGCATAGTTGACGTGAAGAAGATTTGTGGAAAAAAGCGATGAAAAATTGGTGCGTGCAGGAAAAAAGTAGAGGAAGAAACTTCGATTATTGAGCTAAATGAAAGTAATGTATTTTAGGCTAGAACGGCGGAAACTTGGCTTCCATCTCCCCAACGCTCTTCTGAAGCTGGTCTTTGCTAAGTAAAATCAAACTCAATTGCGGATCGAGTCCGTACTCGGTGAACACTCTTCGAGAGTCGGTTTCTTGTGATACATGTGTGTAGGGGTAGTAGCCATGGTGGATGGAATTGGCTTCGAGTACGAGGTCTTCGTAGTGGAAATAATCCATTTCTTTGGTTGTATCTGCACCAGCCTTCTTTTTTTTGGTGGTTTTTGCATCTTCTTGTTCTTTGGCTGCAACCATCTCGTAAACTTTGGACACTACAAGGAAGTAGTCGAACTCATATTTTTCATGGGCGTCCTCAGCGCTCTCCATTTCCTCGTGCAACATCTTGTACATGGGGGGAACAACTTCCACGGGCATATTGATGAGTCTTTCACTGACGATAAGTGCAACTTTATTCTTTTTGTCGCCTAGTAATTTTCGAAGTAAAACATTGAATTTAGGCTGGTTGTTGGTCTTGTCCAAGACATATGCCACGAGTTTTTTCACGGTGGAGTTTTCCAAATTGTTCGAGATGTTAATCACAGAAAGAAGTGCAAATGGATCGCTTTCTTTACCATCAGTTTTTATACATGTACCCACGGAATTGTCCTTCAAGATCAAGTCTGCCAACGACGAGAGGTCAAACTCCACAGAATCATCGCCAAACAACTGTCTCAAGAGGTTTTTCGTGGCGTGGAAATCGACGTCTGGATTCAAGTCGAAGAAATCAAAGTCTACATTCACGGTTTCTTCCTCGATTTCTTCCTGTTCGATCTCCGGCTCCGAGTCCGTGGAGCTGACGTCGATATCGGAGTCGTCCTGTTTTCTTTTCATCAAAAATACGGTAAAGAGATGAGGTTAATTAACTTCGCGTTGAGATTGATTTTCGCAGCACTTTCGATTCAGCTCATCTCAGTGAGTCCATCGCATTTCATGGATGCGTTAGCGGGATATAGTTCGAGCTCTGACGACACCAGTGTGCCATTGCTACCTGAAGTAAACCAGAGACTCGAATTGGCGCCGAAAACTAAGCTGCATCAAAATTTTGAACAACCTCAATTTCACCAGGGTGGTACCTTTGCAAACAGGGTGGAGAGAGAATACTACGATAATGCTACTTTGACGAGCCAAAAATCATACAAGAGGTCGGGAGAGCAGAAGCGAGCCGCCAAGCGACTCAAAAAGGAAAGAAAGAAAAAAACATCCAAAGACGACTCGGAGTTTCTCGGGCCTTGGGCCGGGTATGAAAGTGACAATGAAGCACAACAGTACGAAAGTTTTGGAGAAGAAGATGAAGAAAAGATAACAGAAGGAAAAGAAGATTTGGAGCTGGACTCAGATATGCCAACTACTCAGCATTTTGTGGACTTGTATTTAACTCCACCAGAAGACGTTGAAATTGATTTTTCCAAAAAACCAGGTAGCCAAGTGTTTCAGGTTCCTACACGGGTAGCCACCAAGCTCGATGGACATTCGAAGGGAGTCACAAAATTGAGATTATTTCCCAATTCTGGGCACCTTCTCTTGTCGTGTGGTAACGATTCGGAGATCAAATTGTGGGACATGTACCATGAAAATAATCTTCTAAGAGCATACTACGGACACTCACAGGCGGTCAAAGACATTTGTTTTACGAGCTCAGGCCAAAAATTTATAAGTTGTGGTTTTGACAAAAGAGTAATTGTGTGGAATACGAAAAGTGGTGCGATTGAAAAATCCATGGTTCTCGAAGCCATACCCAATTGTCTACTACTCAACCCTAATAACGAGCACGAGTTGTTGGTGGCACTCTCCAATAGCAAAATCCACCATTTTGACTTGAGCTCAGAAAGCTATAAAGACCCTATCCAAACTTATGATCACCACCAAAGTTCCGTGAATTTTCTCATGACAGTCGACTCCAACAAACGGTTTTTGTCCACCTCTGACGACAAATCTGTTCGAATATGGGACTGGCAAATCAATATTCCCATCAAGATCATCTCGGAGCCGGATCTGCACTCCATACCTCGAGGAATTGTTAGTCGTAATTTTGGTGAGATCGCACTTCAAAGTATGGCTTCGTCCATCGATGTGGTTCAAGGACACGGGAAGTTTCGTACCACAGCCAAGAAGTTCAGAGGACATAGCGTATCGGGATACGCCGTGGATATCAATTTTTCTGCTGACGGAAGAGTAATTATGAGTGGCGATAGTCGGGGGTTGGGAGTGTTCTGGGACTGGAACTCAGGCAAACTCATCAAGAAATTGAAGGTAAGTACCAAGGTGATTAGTTGCATAGAGCCACACCCGCAAGAGCCATCCACGGTGGTAATGGCTGGGCTGACGGGTGAGATATATATATGTAAGTGACGAGTCTATATTATGATGAAAATCAATGGTTCATATGACATCTCATGGCCGGGGAGACTGGATTTCTGAATGGTTCATTGGAATCATCTAGTGTTTATCTGTAGTTGAATGAATCTTGATCTTCAGTTGATTCTGTAGCTTGGTGTGATTGGATAGAATCAGCTTGATATAACTTTGACCCAGATCTTAAGAATCTTGTAGTATAAATTTGATTCTTCAGTATACTCGTTAGTATGATTTTTAGTAATGTATCAAATATGATCTTCTGACTCACCAGTAAAGTCTGATTCAAAAATTTTGTGGTTCATTTGACCGGTCCAGTTTATCATAGGCAGTTATAACGTGGTTATTTCATCTGATCTAAAATGGGTTTTGACACATTTGGAAAGACATTTTGTGCTTCAGAACCACATATCTTTAGCTGTAAATATAGACATTGACTTAAGCATTTGTGAGCAATCTGGACGGATCATTATCCCAGTTTGATCCAAACTTTAATCCAAAATGACAACTGTAATGGTTGAACTCCTGTTATACCACCACACATCTTTCCTTTTTATGGTCCTCTTTATTCTTTTTGCGCCGATGGAACCCTTTGTGAGGTTTCTTTTCGTCTTTACTTTCCACTTTTTTACTCATTTCCACCTTTTTTTCGTCAATTTGTGGAGCCAACTTTGCCTCTGTCTTCAGCATCTTTCCATTAGGAATTGTTGCATTAGTTGCCGTGCTCCATTGGCTGTTTCGGCGAATTTGGGGACCCATGCTGACGCTGTACTCGCGGTTACGGCTCTTGGAAACTGTGGGCAATTCTTTATAATACAGTTTGTTCTCGTCGGTGACGTACCAGAAATACTTGCTGCGAATATCGACAAACCGGCTGTCGAGAGGAGTGATATCTGGAATTGGAATGCTAGCGACACTAGCCACGGTGCTTGTTTTGCGAAGAGAACTCGACTCGTTCAAATTATCAGTACTAACAATGGGAGAAAGGGTCTCGTTCCAGTACTTATTTCGGGCTCCTTGCTGGACAATGAACGGCTTGGTGGTGCTACTTCCCCTGGTTCTGATGCTGGAATTGGCACTTTCGAGTACCTCGTCGTTGGAAACCAACCGATAAAACAAAATATACGGCCATTCTTTGTCAAAAACTTCTTTAAATGTTTTTTGAACCACACGGCCCTTTTTCGCCATATCGTCATATAGCATCCATGGCGCCGAATGGGCTTCTTCACATGAAATATCGCTCAGATCTTTACGGATTGCCGACACAAAATGACCAGACGAAATGGAAGTGCCGCGGTGACAAACGGCGCTTTCCAAGATGAGCTTGTATTCTCCAGGAATATCGGCGTTTTCTTCGTCGGCCACAAATTCTGGAAGATTTATGACGGGAGGAACGATTATGCGGCGCAGAGACCTTTTGGCTGTTGAAGACACGGAGCTGAACGAGTACCGCTTGAGACAAATTGGCAATATGGGTCGGCGATCCACAAACTCTCGTGAATTTTTCGCAAGACTAATATCGTTTTTTTCAGAAACAATATTGTCGTCGGTGTAAAATGGCATGAGCCGGAGAAACATCCATGCCGACAAATTGACCTCCTTAGGTTTGCCCTTGTCCAGGTCTTCCAACGACCAAATAGAGAGGGTAGAAGATCGGGTTCGCACCGAGATTCTCGTCGTGCTAACTTTGCTATCCGAACGTTTCCGGGCAAGATTAACATCTGAGGACGAAGCCCGGCGCTCACGCACTCCTCCTATGTCCTCTATCAAGTCCTGAGACGGTTTTTCGCGGACAATTGTTGAGTTTTCGTCGACGGTGGGCACCACATCAACGGACCCGGATTTGGGCTGGGGAGGGCTTTTTAAGAGAATATTTTCGAGTGTTGCTCGACGCTCTAGTTCCCGCTTGACGCTGATGGAGTTGTTGAAGTAGTGCTCGAGGCATTCCTCTAGGAGAATGTCGTCGGTGCCTTCTTCTGGTAGACTGACGAAAAGAATGCGTTCTTTTGAGATCTTCAAGTCGTCTTCCTCGCTGAACTTTCCGCCGTGCTGGATCTCGATTTTAAACGTGAGCAACGGCATGGCAAGGGTTTCTGTCAAAAACTCAAACATTGCAGCTGAGTCCTGCTGTTTGTGAGACATGGCTTCTTCAAAACCGAGCGCCAGAAGCACCTCGCAAATCCTCATAGTGATGTCCCTGGTGATAAGGTTTCCAGACCGGAGAAGATTCACATAGAGACGAAGAAGCGCCGAAAGCCTTGTTACCATGGCATTGGGGTGCTGGTTGGAAATGAACAAAATGGGCTCGAAACTCTCGAGATTCGCAAACATGGCAAAGAGCAACGCGTCCAAATAACACATGACATTTTCCCAATTTTCGGCTCCCACATAGTTGATGAGCCCGCCTATCCGGTCCTGGTTCTGGTTGGTCAAAAAGAACCCGTCTCGACTGACCTGGAAGAATCTGATCAAAAAAAATGTCCGTGTAACATCGCCAAAAGTGAACGGAGACTTGAGCAAAGCCACTATCTGGGTGGTAGGCGGTATGGGAAGCTTCAATGCCTCAAAATACTTGATTATAGTGGCCACAGCAGGCGAGGAAGATGTGTATTTTTTGGGGCTGACAGGAGCAAAATCTCCGGACGATTGTAGTGTTGATGAATTCAAGCTGTCGAGATAGGAGCGCCAGAACGACTCGTCAAATGGCTCGTGGACATGGGTTGTGGGGATTTCGTGGTTGTTTCGGTCCCCCATTAGGGAAGGCGGTGGGGCTGGAGATAGTGAAGGTGAGTTGATTCGCGAAAGCGAAAAGCGAAAATGCGAAAGATACGAAATGAAAAAATGTGAGATACGAATTGAGAAAGTGTGGCAGAATAAATATAGCATCATATGAATTGGCTATGGGTCATAGAATTTTGTCATGAGATCTAAGATCTGAAGGTGATGAAGATGACATAAAGAGGATGCTCAATAAGCTTTTCGTTTTACCATTTTTCGCGGTATCGCTCCGCTCACCGCTCACCGCTATGCCTGTAACTCTCGCATCTTGGCCAAGCACAGGTCGAGCCGCAGATCCAACGTTCCGTCCATGTAATCCTTCCGCGTTTGTGCATCGAGCTTGGTTTCCAACTGGGCCAACGACTCATAGTTTTCTCGAAAGTAACGCATTTGTAATCGGGCAAATGCTTCGAATGAAGGATCGAAAAACGGAATGCGGAGATTGGTGAACCGAGGAAGTTCATGCTTGAGCTCTTCATTGAGCTTCTCATACACTTCACGAGAACCATCGAGTTGCTGTTCCGTGTCCTTGAGTTTCTCTTCTTCGTCGGGACGGTCTATTAGTTTCTGGACTTTGGCTCGCAATGCATCGTAATCCAACCTCTTGTGTTCCCGCTTCTTGATAGCCTCGTCAATCTCTATGTAGTACAGGTTGAACCGCGCCACAGGGTTCAACACTGTCTGGTGATACGGCGTCTCCAATGCTTTGGCTACTTCGTCGTGGGTCTTTTCCAAAGCTGTATAATATTCCTGCGCCAACGACGTGGGTTTTTCTCCTTGCTGCTGTCCATAAAATGAGCTCAATGCCTTAGCGACGCTTAGCTGGGCACTTTCAAGCCGTCGAAGTGTGTCCAAATAGTACTTTAATTCCGAGTGGAGTTTGCGACTGTGCGATTGCATGGTGCGGTACCGTTTTTCCTCAAACTCAAACTCGGTATCTACCGTGACATCCACCTGGCCAGCCTTCACCAACACCTGCGTGCCTGCTCTATTGATAGCTTTTTTCACCCCGGTCCATGACATGGCGGGTATGATCGGAAGAAGTCACAATCAGCCGAGCGCGAACTACACAAACCGGCACACCCAGACCCCAGACCCAGACCTTGTGTAACGGTGAGATCAGACGTATGCAAAGCGCTTAAACCACCAGACCCAACCAACTCACAAATGAACCAACAATTAGACTCATGAACCGCCTATGTATCGGCTGGCGAGTGCATTATCTGGGTGACAAACTTGCCCAGATATCGTGTTATACATGCAACTGTAAGAACCTCGTTTCGAATGGAAGTGGTCATTAAATGGTTGAGAATAACGTGGTTTGGAATCGCCAGATAGTCGTTTGAACTCGAGGCATAATACGAGCTGTCGGCGCGACGAAGTGCTGGTCGATGCGAACTTGATCCTCCCAACGACGACGACCCTATCCCTGTAGATGAACTTAGGTGGGCTGCGCTAATTGCAGCCTCAGCGGGAGACGTAGGAATCGAAGTATTGGATTGGTGAGGATTCAGTAATTTGTTCAACAACACATTGTTGAGGTGCGCTGGTAACTGGGGTGGCTCAGGCAATTCGTAGGAAGGTCCCTTTTTCTTGAAATATTCGTAGTTGACAAACATCGCTGGAATTTCACTGGAGTACTCGATAGGCTTCTTCTTTTCAGCAAGAAGCGACGACGACGACGTCAGTCCATGGAAAGGAGTATAAGCTCCTGGATCAGATATTCCCGGAGGACTCTTGAATCCCTGATGTCCATCGACATTGCGATTATCTCCCTGTGACCGTGGATCATGATGTGCGTTGGAATCTTCATCCATATACTCAACATGACTGATTTCCGTACCACTTTCCTGCTTGCTGACGCTCGTCAAAAAACTTGTAGATTTTCTATTGATACGATCAACCTCGTACCTTCCTGCCTGGTACACGTCATTAGTAGGCTGCGCTATGATGTTGGCGTCGTAGTTTGTAGATGCCTCTGTACGCTGTGGCAAGTTCTGTGAATGATTAAAAAGATGGCCAGCATCGAGTACTTCAAACCAGTTGAAGAAAATTCCCTCTTGGTCAGTGGCAGTTGGAAGCTGGTCGCTAATGCGATACTCGTTATTAATGACATATAACAACTTGTGCACTCCCAAGGGAAGCTTTATTGTAACGGTATACTCATTGTCAAAAGTTTTCGACTTTTTGAGTCGGATCATGTCTCTCCAATTGGAAAACGAACCAATGATTGCAATTTTCTGAATGTTTTCCTTGGTCGAGTTGACCCACTTGATCTCCACAGGAATCAATTGCCTGACCTGCGACGAACTGCTGCTCTTGCTATTGGTCAAGTCTTCCCGAGGCAGCCGTCCTCCTGTTTCATTCGATTGTCCCGGCGCATTTGGCGGAAGAATCTTGGTGAAATCCACCTTACTCCAATCGGGTGTAGGCGTCTCTGTTTCCAGTTCCGTGACTCCGTTGTGGTTGTTGGTGGGCACGTCAGTCAGAGAGATAGACATATCTTCCATTTCCGCATCACTGTTGCTATCTTCATCAGGGATGATGTTCCTGTTGAGCTCGGCAACATCCGTCTCTATAAGTCCGGCATTCAATTCGTTGTACTCATCTTCAATCAACCCGTTGGAAAATTCATTCTTCGGTAATGTATCGTCGGTATTGGAGCCAGAAGAGCTGGTAATGGGCCGAATGGGACTGTTCTGCTTCTCTTGCTTTTTTTTCACTTCATGCAAAATCAAATCACTAAAGTCTTCGTCCAACGAATGGTTGGCAGCATTCACCGCTGACTTTCGTATGCTTGCCCCACCATGCCTTATACCGGCTGTCGATTTTCTCGTACTGGAGGTATTGTTACCCATGATAGTAGCAGACTCACCTCACCAAATTAATTGCAACTTGCTGGGACTAATCGATAGTAGCTCGTGAGAAGCTAGCTTATATCCAAGTACGATGATAGAACTAACAGAAATTCTATACGTAGCTAGATAGGTATGCGAAATAATATCGGTGTGGATCGTCGCTACATCAATCTGCTGGTCGTGTGGCGGCACATGTGCTGCATCATTGCGTCCCAAACACAAAGTTGGGTATAGAAAAGCAACATTACGTCATCTGACCTGGCCTATGCTTTTGAAAACCTACCACATTAGGCGCTATGCCTTCTGATCCAGGAATGGTATTAGATGGGTTGCATACCAGCCGCGTACAGGTCTAATGTGTGGTTGGCTCGCAACGAGATACGCTTAGGAGTCGAATCATTTCTTCCGGACCCACCTCCGTATTAACCCCAGGGTCTGGGGTGCATGAAGTATAATATTTCCTCCGTGATCTATGTCTTCTTTCCCTGCGTAATCTTCCCTGGGTTGCTCTGTACATACCTCTTTTGATAATGATTTCCAATTGTTTTTTTGAAAATTCAGGGTACCATGGTTGTAAAGCTCTCATCAATGTGGCAATCTTTGCTTCCTTGTCAGCCGTACTAAATGTACGCACCCAACTCAGGTGGTCCAAGCTGACATTGCAAAGCTTTTCAAAAATGTGGAGAATATTTTCCTCGAGCTCCATAGTTAAGCGAATATGGTAGTTTTCCAAATTCAAGTGGCAGGAAAGCTCAGCTATATTTAATCGACATGGATACTTGGTAGCAGATGATAAAACCTTGGGTTTCCGCACCATTGGTTTACTGCCACTGTCTTGATTCTTATATTGTGGCATTCCCTTCATGGTTTTCAATGCGATTAATTTACGAGGACAAGCGCCCTGTGTGACGATCATGCGGTAAGCGAGCAAGTTGACGCAAAATGTGAATTTGCAGTATTTGGCGTCAACATCGGTACTGATCAGCACGAATTGACTTTCTGGATCCTCAATTTCAAAAGGCTCATTTATGAATGTTTGCCGGGCACAGACCACCCATTGTGACCCGAGGGGAAGCATTCCTTGCCGAAAAAGATCTTCATCTATTTTGTAAGGATGAAATGCTCTTGAATCGGCATCAACATTGAGGATATCAGAAGGTTTTAATGCAGCTGACACGAAAAATTCCTCATTTGGAGTAATTGGAGATACAGGGGTATGATCTTCCGAATGCTCGTAATCGCTAGAATTGGCGGAATTGGAGTCCCCGAAAAATAAATCAATCATATTTGGGAAAAGAAAAGAGGACTCCACCTCTATTTATAATCCAAGGAACACGTTGCGTGACCAATTGTATGAACTTCCGGCCTCTTGCATCCGCTTACAGCCAAGAAGTGGGGTCTAAGCGCATCACCTGCATCAATCACCCCTTCAACCATGTGCATAAGCGGATAAATACGATGTATCCAGGTTCTATTGAGACCCGACTTGCATACGGAGATATGCAAGTGATTGAGGCGTCGTTTGCAGCCATTCCTAAAGTGGCTAATTACACGGGTTAATGGGCGCAAAGCAGTGAAGAGCTACGCAATAGTGCAGCAGACATTCGGTCATTCCGGTCATTTGGTTCTTGGGCTCGATAGTATTATTTGGTTGTGGCTCAACCGGTCACTTGGTGATGTATCATCTTTGACCCCGCTAGCATGCAAATCAATTTTCGAATTCAATTTTGATACTATGATTGAAAGGATGCATGCTGGACTCCATGAATAGTTTATATATTTGTCAACGTTGTTTTTTTCCTTATCAATACCACAAATAGTTGCTCCTCAGCCACACCCTCCGATAAGAAATGAGATGCTGCACTTTGTGCGGCGCGATGCCCCTCTGGCTCCTTTGCATGAGATGCACGGTCGGCGTGAATACGAGGCCAGAACGTGGCGATGCATCAACTGGCATACGGAGCTAAAGTGGCGCACGAGGTCAAGTGGCGCACGCGATGATGATGCATGAGGTCAAGGAACAGACTATAAAAAGAGAGAATAAGAGAGAAAAAGAGACAGGTTTTGATTCGCATGCAATTTTGAATTGTAGGCAAATTTCATTCATATTGATGAGATAACAAATGATACATAACCGGCCATACAGATATACGTGAAATAAGAACTATTGTTCATTGAGACAAGTGAAGTGATGACGTGAACTGGCTTATAGTATCTAAGCAGATCGGCATGCGAGTCTTATTGGTTGCAATGGTTGCAAATACGGTGCACTTATTTTTGCAAATTGCTCGCAATAAATGTGGTTGCAGAATTTGTTTACAAGCAGGCAAAAAAGGTCACGACTATCTTACATCCATACAAGAAACAATAGAAACAATCGAATCGAAGAATTAGGACGCAACAGAATCCATTAAGAACTATCCAAAATATTGACAAGAAACTAATGGTCTATTTATACTGGCTATGAAGTTGCCCTCAATTTTAACTCCTTCACCTCCAGCTCCACTATATGGATGGCATCACTAGAAGACTCAATCTCAAGATACTCAAGTCCCTCAGTACCAGGAATGAAAAATGTGTTGGTCAAGGTCGCGATACCATCGTTCAAAAAGACCTCAATCAAATTTCCATCAATCACTCCAAACATTTTATAAACAGGCAAATCATTTTGGTGTTTCCAAGGTTCGACATAAGCCGAAGTTTTGTCGGTGAAGAAAGGATTCTCTTTTAATCCGCTAGTATTTCCACGATCCACGAAAAATTGACCAGCTGTGGGATCAAATCCTGCCCTAATGGACTCACCATTTTGACCAGAAATCACCTGTAGTTGACCAGTTTGGTTCTTCAGCAGATCAACACTAAAAGTGATATCAAACAGAAAAGTACCGGTGGAATTCTTGTGGATTTTTACGGCTTGTTCATCTTGACCAGTAATATTCCGTTTTGAAATTTTATTTGCAGCCACCACACTTTCGCCAAAAATTGGTTTTTGAAGTAACGACAAAACCTTGGTTTCCGGGTTCATGTTTCGAGATGCTAATGTCATTTGACGTGCCAATGTCATGGAACTTCTCCACTCTTTTGTAGGTGCAAGATTTGCATACTGCCAATTGGAAGCCCATGCCAAGCCAACAACACCCAGTTCTTTGGGAGCATTATCAAATGTTTGAAAAGCATAGAAATCCTTGCCGTAATCCATAAGTCTGGCTTGGGAGTCGTCTGGTACAAACTCAAATCCGTCAAATGAGCCAATGAAATACTGGTTGGACGAACCACCCAAAGGCAGCCCTGGGTTGATTGCAATGAACATAACCCATTTCAGCTCATCAGTCCCTTCAACAGGAACCTCAATGAGTCCAGGACACTCATATTGAAACCCAAAGAGTCCTCCAGTAAAATTGGAGTGCAAGCTCCAGTTCGTCAAGTCGATCGAGCCATAAATTTGAATCTTAAATTGCTGACTCAAAGCTATCACCATGATCCACTGGTTAGTTGGCTCGTGCCAGAACACTTTGGGGTCTCTAAAGTTGATGTTATCAACATCCAAAACCGGATTATGTTCATACTTTTCAAAAGTGTACCCTCCATCAAGCGAGTACGCAACATGTTGAGTTTGAGAACCTTCGGTATTGTACGTATAAATTGCTACCACTCTTTGTCTGGGGTCAATTGAGTCGTTGAAAAAACCAGAAGTGTTATTATGGTCAACCACAATGTTTCCAGAAAAGATTCCATCTTCGTCACGATCGGGTCCAATAGTCGCACCATAATCCTTCCAGGTCGACAAGTCTTTGGAAGTTGCATGGCCCCAGTACAAAGGTGTTCCCCATACTGTGTCGTTGGGATTGTACTGGTAGTACAAGTGCCAGAGTTCATTTTTGGAATCGTAGAATTGTCCATTCGGATCATTCATCCAGCCGTGGCTTGGCGTGAATGCCATCAAGGGTCTACTTGATTCCACGTTCATAACGAAGGTGAGGAAAATTAAGGCAAGAAAAGCTCTCATGGCCTCAAAGTATAGTAAGATAATTTTGCATTTTCCGGGTTTTTATATTATTCCGAAGCGTTGGAGAAACTCGCAAATTCGACGATTATTCCGAATACTCCGCATTTATGACCCATTGTTCCAGAATGTGGGGCAATTATGTCGGCTGCGGTTGCTAATTTTAAGAAAAAAAACCCGAAAACAAAGGGGTTGCGGCTCGTCTCGTTGACCTCGTATGCGTCATTTCTTGGCTGCGTTATACGGTTGGGGAAATTGCATTCGTTATAGGGGTTTCTGTTTACTAAGCACAAAACTATCAACTACAACCGAAGGAGGTACATTCCGCTGTATGTTCTGGTTTCACCAGCAAATTTTACTAAGCACTTTGGCTGCAAATCCACTAGAATACGGATCAATTGGCTTTCCTTGTTCATGGTTTTTCCGGCTAAGCCATGTGTGCTTCGATGATGTTTTCCACCACCATAGGAACGTCCGCCTTCAAGTAGCGTGCGTTCATCAACACCTGCAAGAGTTTTTTCACGCCTAAACGAAGCGGCGGCTCGTCGGAAGAAGCACTTTCTTCAAGCTGTTGCACTATTTGGTGTCTAGCGGTATCGGACATGAATCCTATTTTTTCCATGATTTTCATGAGTTCGTCTGTTTGCGTCACTTGGTTGACAGCAATGGTGTTTGTGAAACAGTCCACCAAGTTCATGTGTTTCAACACAGAATACTGGGAAGTGGTACCAATAATCAACAATCTTCGGCCATTGGGAGGTTGTTTTGTGAGACTCACCATGAGGGTCTGGAGAATGTCGTTGGAAAACCGAGGTCCAATAGGCACGTAGTTGATCAAGGTCTCGATCTTGTCGATGACAAGAATGTTCAACGGCGACTTGTAGACATCACGGAACGTAGAATCAATGGTAGCGATTTTCATGGGCTCCAGCATTCCCACGAGACTTTCGGCCGAAAGCATCTTAATGAAAGGGAACTCCGATTGCAATGCCAATGTCAGAGCAATCGCTGTTTTTCCCGATCCTGGGGCACCGTGGAAGAGAATGGAAATGAGTCTTTCGGTTTCCGATGACTTGACTTCATCAATGAATGCTCTTCCCTTGTCGAAAATAGCCCCGATATGCAGAGAAAACGGAATGATTCCATGAGGAGCATTTTTGGCAAGATCTTCTTCGTTGACTCCGAACGCAGGACGAACCTCGTTGAGCGCATTCAAAAAGTCGTTTCTTGTAAGCTGCATTTTCTCGATATTGGTATCAACCTGAGCCACAGAACCAGTCTTAGTGTGCTTGTTGATTGCAAACGAAGTGGCCGAGTTGCAAAGGCCTTCGAGTTCAGCACCGGTGAAATTTTTCGTGAGCGAAGCGAGTTCTTCGAGATCCACATCTGGAGCCAACAAGTTGTTTTCTCTCATTTTTGCTGTGTGAATCGCAAGAATATCTCTTCTTCCCTTTTCGTCAGGCAACGAAATCTCAATCTGGATCTCAAACCGACCGGGACGAAGCAACGCATTATCGATCAAATCCAACCGGTTTGTCATTCCAATGATCAAAATGTTGTTCAACTGGTCCACACCGTCCATCTTGGCCAACAACTGGTTGACTACGTTGTCTCCGACGCCGGTTCCATCAGATTTGGCCAGACCACGCTGCTTGAACACCGAATCGAGCTCGTCGAAAATGATGATGTGGAGCTGGGAGTTTTCGCCCTTTTGCTTGTATTCCTGTTCGGCGTCCTTGAAGAGATTACGAATGTTTTCCTCCGAGGCACCCACGTACTTGGAGAGCATTTCCGGTCCGTTGACCACCTTTGGTTCTTTCACATTCAACATTTTTCCAATCTGACGAGCAATCAACGTCTTACCGGTTCCTGGCGGCCCGTAAAGCAACAAACCCTTAACATGGCGCAACGCCAATTTTTCTACGAGATCCGGCGAGATTATTCTACTGGCAAAAGCACGACGGAAAATCTGTGAGAATTCCTGCTCCAATCCTCCAATGCCCATGGTTTCAAGCTTAAAGTCCGGGTTGATGATCGGGTTAGCTCTGGGCCTGTTTCTGCCGCTTCCCGAGATATTAATCACCGATCCCTCACGCGGCGCAAAAAACGCTTTTGTCTGTTGAATCAAAATTCCCTTGGCATCAAACCGGGTTTCCATATGAACGTCGGCCAGAAGCTGGTCAAGGTCTATCACCTGCACGCCCGTGACCACGAGCTGGAGCACATTGCCCTCGAAATCCATCACAATTGGCTGCGATGGTTGCAACACCTGATTCTCATAAGTGGCCAAAAACCTCGCCACGAGCTGGTCATGCTTGATGGGCCGATCATGGGCCTTGGACCGCGACTTGAAGTCCACAGAGATCTCGGCTGCTCCCAAATAGGCCGCGTGTTGGTTATTTTGAAAAATATTGAACGAACCAACTCGCACCACTTGATCCAACGACCACCGGCCCCACAGCCTCATATGACCTGCCAACCCAATTGTGCCCGGAACCGTGCTCTCGTCCTTGTAAATCGAATAGACAAACTGACCGTCCATCAAAATTGGCGTATCATTGGGAATTTCCGGAAAATCCAGTGGCAGAACCGCAACTCGGTTGCCCAAAGCGCAACTTGTCATGGCCGTTTGAGGACAATTTGCCACCTTAAGTTCCTTGCGGAACTGCCTAGTAGGCGGCGGTTGCTGGTGCGGGCGGTTGTGTGAAATCGTGGGACTTCCAGACGAACCGCCAGTAACTTTGTGAAAACCAAACTTTTCCATAAAGATAGGTGTTCGCAGTGAAATAAGAATACAAGACAGGATAATCCATATGCCGGAGGCCCAGACACCAGAGGCGACACGCTTATTTCGATTAGAAAGCGAGTGTACTGCACAATGGTGTACTCACACATCACTACACCCACTCGTGGCTCATAAATCGGTTGCAAATTCGCATTTGTACTTGATTTCATCTTGATCATGACAACGCCACAAGTGCAAGGAATGACTCCCCCGCAAGCGGAAGAGCTGAATCCACTCCAATTTGAAGGAATGACTCCACAACAAATGGAAGAAAGGATTAGACAACTTGAGAGAGAATTGAGCCAAGTGAGAGAAACGCCACAAGGAAATGACTCGACACAAGGGGAAGTGATTCGTCAACAAAGTGAAATGATTGCACGACTTAATGAAATGACTCGAAGACAAGGGGAAATGATTACACGGCTTAATGAAACGACTCGTCAACAAGGAGAAGTGATTGCACGACTTAATGAAGAGACTCGTCAACAAGCGGAAATGATTGCACGACTTAATGAAGCGAATAGTCAACAAAGGGAAGTGATTACACCTCGAATTGCAACTAGGCCCCGGATTCTGGAAACCTGGATGCGAGCACGTGAATTTGCTGTAGCTTTCCTTTGTCTACTGAGACTCGTGTTCTCCACGGATGCCGAGATTAATATTTCGATTTATCTCTGGATCGGTTTTGCATTGGTTTATGTGTGGCTTATCAAAAATCGGATACTTTCCGTATACGCTTCCTATCAGCATAAAGCGCCATTGAAGTACAGCTTATCTTCTGCTTCCGCTTGCTTTGGGACATGTCTTCTCGCTTTCTATTTCTACCGCCAATCGCAGAATCTAACCATATCACAAATTCTTCATTTATGTGTGTTAGCAATTAACGGCAGCATGTTGGAAACAGTTCTGCATCATAATTTACTTGTGAATGGAGTGACCAGAGATGGCTTGAAACTCTGGACCACAGTTCATTAAAAATCTAATATCGAACACTTGCTATCCTTAGCTATCATATTGTTGGATTATAAGCTGATTGCGTTATCCTTCACCGTTGGTGTGGTGTTGTTTGAAATCCACTACCACTATATTGGTGATACAGTGTCTTTCTACAAGGTATGCGATCCCTAATCAACATTTTCCTAGACTTGTTCGATTTGATTTTCAGATTTTATACTAGTTATCTAGCTAGTAATCTAAACGTTTTGCTTAAAGAGAATGAAGAAAACGGAAAGTATAAGAAATTGGTAGAAAAGATAGCAGAATCAGTTGCGCGAAATTCATTTTCAGGTCCTTTGATCTGCGGAAGCTTCGAATTTTTTCACGGCTCTAGTTTTGGCAGATTATTTGTTCGTTTACTTATAAATTAAGCTTCGCAGCTCACCTCTAATTAGTTCACATATGGTAGAAAAAATGACCGAACAACCTATGGGCGAAAAAATGACCGAACAACCTATGGGCGAAAAAAAGACTGAACAACCTATCGGGGAAATAGAAACTGGGGCCGAGATTCTGCAGAAAGAAAGACACATAATAAGGGAATGTTTGATTATCCTTGTATACCTCCTTTATCTAGCCTCGTGTTTTATGGCACTTAATTACGAAGAGTTCACCAAAAAAAATGATGAGAAAGAGGCTCCTCGCGGTTATCTCTGGATCAGTTCTCTAGTTTGTGTTGTGATCGGTACTGCCTTTTGGACCGATATCATAATCGCTTCCATTCGATATAAGGTTGTAATTGGAGGACGAGCGGTGAATGGATATTTGCTTATGTTGGCGTCTTTAACATTAGGTTCTTTGAGTTACACTGGCTACCACTAAGCAGAGTAATACAACTGCAAGTTCGCTTTTTGTTATTCACCAATGATAGAGCTCATAAGTGAAATTGAATATGATAGTCTTTGGTCTTTGTATTTACGTACTGGTACTCTTAAAGCTTTAAGTCTGCGAGCTATGTGATTACTCTTCACGCATTATGTGCCATTTGATGTAGGCGAACCTCCAGCATAGAAGCAGCACGGTCACGTGACCATTTTGGACAAGCGTATTTAGGCTACTCATCTGCTCAAATGTACTCAGAAACCACCGTATTACAATCTATAAGACATATCATAGTCATGGAACATCAAAGGACGGTGACCACATCGCTTTCTTACTTGGTTGCAAATTCCGCCGTGCAGCTCTCAAGCCTCACGATACGCGGCTGCATATATACGAAGGTGGATTTTACCGAGCCAAATTGTACATGTAACACCAAATGATCTACTATTTCGCTCATGACATGACATTCTTACAGTGTAGTATAATCACCTAATTGCTCTTGATTAGTTGAACCACATGCGATCGATGAAAGTAGTTTTTGAGACATCATATTCTGGTTTTCATATTTCAGGTCAATTGCACGAATAGTGCAGGGAATGTCCCTTCGAAGCATGCAATGAAATGCAAAGCCATACAGTCCAAGACACGGCCTACTTATGAAGACTTCTTGTCGCACTCAAGACTCTTCAAATACAAGATTCCACAGAATACAAGACAGGATAATCTATATGCCGGGGGCCCAGACACCAGAGGCGACACGCTTATTTCGATTAGAAAGCGAGTGTACTGCACAGTGGTGTACTCACACATCACTACACCCACTCGTGGCTCATAAATCGGTTGCAAATTCGCATTTGTACTTGATTTCATCTTGATCATGCCAACACCACAAGTGCAAGAAATGACTCCTCCACAAGCGGATGTAGTGCAAGATTTGATTACGCAACTCAGAGGAATGCCTCGTCAACAAAGGGAATGGGTTTGGAGTGAGGTGACTAGACGACAAAGAGAAACCAGAGCAACTGCGCCCGGAACTATTTCCGAAACTCTGGATAGGAGAAGCAAGAATTATGAAATGTATGCAGTGCTCTTGGTGATTTTTATAATCCTTTTGGTATACGTGATCGTTGCTGTCGTCAAAGATTTTACAAGTGAGGATTACTTCTTGCATTTTTTGGTAGTCGTTGCGGTGATAGTGGGTCTCGACGAGTTGAATACTTTCCTCTGGAACTGTCAAGTTTTTTCAATATGGGAGATACTCGGCGTATTCATTCGTACTTTATGCCTTGCGGCGTCAGGTTTTTTCGCTGCCCATTACTACTCCCAATCAACAGAATCCAACTAAATCTGGAATATCTGATTGTTCGAATTATTAACCATATTAGGAGCTGACGGTAAATAATTCTACGGTTTGAAGTTTCTGCTTATTCGGCCTAAAATTGACTGGAAATGAGTTTGGTTCACCAATCATTTCCTCGCTAAAATGTGGGTATTGAACATTGCTCTTCTCGCTTAAATATGCTCCTAATTAATAAATGTTCTACCCACGTACTGTTAACCACAACAGAACAAAGAATTGTAAGCTTCTCGAATCATTGTAACACGAGCTACAAGCACCTACTTTAATAGTCATTAGTTGAATTAGCAGCCAGTTCCTTACACCCAGACACCAGATCAGTGGGGGCCACTGTGGCCGCGCTTAGTATTACCATTCTCGGCTAGACCGATATCGGCTTATGTCAGCAGCGCCACAGTTTGCCTGTGATTTGTCACTTAGTCGGTTTGTTGAATTCCGACCACCAAGTACCGACCATTCAATGCAATACCCATGCAAATGCGACTTCGGAGCGACTCGATTAGTTATCGCGCAATTTATGTGCCACAAATTTGCGGTCCAGATTTCGGATCGCAATCCGAAATTAGTAATTAATCGGACCGTCTAGAACCGCGGATGCAAAACCGCGCAGGTATATAAAGACCCGTGGCGCCACTGTTTTTCGCTATCGATTTAATCATGGTCGCTTTAATTCAAAAACCCGCTCCATCCTTCAAGAAAACCGCTGTTGTTGACGGTGTGTTCGAGGAAATCTCCTTGGAACAATACAAGGGTAAATGGGTGCTTTTGGCATTCATTCCTTTGGCTTTCACCTTTGTGTGTCCAACTGAAATTATTGCCTACTCTGAGGCTATTAAAAAGTTCCAAGATAAGGACACCGAAGTTTTGTTTGCTTCCACCGATTCCGAGTACTCATTGTTGGCTTGGACTAACGTGGCTAGAAAGGATGGTGGTTTAGGACCAATTAACATTCCTTTGCTTGCTGACACCAACCACACTTTGTCGAGAGACTATGGTGTGTTGTTGGAAGAAGAGGGTGTTGCTCTCAGAGGTATCTTTTTGATTGACCCCAAGGGTACCTTGAGACAAATCACCATCAATGATTTGCCAGTTGGTAGATCTGTTGAGGAATCGTTGAGATTGGTTGAGGCATTCCAATTCACCGAAAAGTACGGTGAGGTTTGTCCTGCCAACTGGCAACCAGGCTCGGAGACCATCAAGCCTGGTGTTGACAGTGCCAAGGAGTACTTTGGTAAGGTGAACAAGTAATTAGATATAGATTGATAGACACATTTTGCACCCGCACTGTAGCGCGAAAATAAATAAACTTGAACAAAAGCCCCTAAGATGTCGGACATTTATTTCTATAAGTATGTGGTAAATCTGCAGGTGTTCTTTAAAACAGCTCATTCATATGCGCTTGTCAATTTAAGACCTCTCGTACCAGGACATGTTCTCGTATGTCCAATTCGGCCGGAAATCATTCGGTTTGCTGACCTTACCCCCGAGGAGGCCCAGGATTACATGTCGGCGTTGCAAACCGTCCACAAATTCATCATCCATGCATACAAAGCGGATTCGCTAAACATTGCCATTCAAGATGGACCGGAACTGGGTCAATCGATCCCCCATCTCCATACGCATCTTATCCCCCGGTATGGCACCGACGGGTTTGGTGACTCAATTTACCGGAAATTAGAGAAAACCGACCTTGAAGCTGTGTATGACGACTTTTATAAACGCAAAGCGGCATTCCAAACCGGGGGTGACTTTGTTGTTGAGGCCGACTATGCCCGCCAAGACCGGACCCCCGAAATCATGGCGGCCGAAGCGGCAAAATTGCGCGAGCAAATCGACCAGTGGTCCACCGGAAGTAGAGAATAGACTAGACCGGATATCTATATATGCCTAGATTAAGATATGAAGTATGAAGTCGATTGTATTGGTCCTGTATATAGTCACATCTTCATCACTTCCGACTTCATTTCGACTTCACTTCGACTTCATCTCGATTTAATGCCGGATCCCCTCGACGAGATCCAGTGGAAGAGTCCGGAATGGATCCAGCAATTCGGACTCCATACCGGAAATGTGCTTGACTATTTCTCGGAATCGCCATTTTACGACCGGACTTCGAATAACCAGGTACTTCGAATGCAGTTTCAATTTCAAGCACCACCGGCCAACATTCATCCCCAACGATACATTCAAGATAAACTCACCGAGATGACCGGAATTGAGTTTGTTATAGCGTACATGCGAGAACCGGATTTCTGGGTTATTCGGAAACAAAATAGAACCGGTCCTGAATCCACCATCACCGAACAAGATTTTTATATTATTGGTGCCAATGTTTATCAAGCACCCAAAGTTTACGATTTACTTTCATCGCGACTTTTATCGAGTGTTTTATCGATAAAAACTCTGGTCGGATTATTGAACCAAATGAGCAAATACAGCATTTCCGACGGTGGTCATGTGTACCCCTCGGTAAATGATGTAGAAAGGACTCGGAATTCAACCCATCCAACTACATCAGTAGCTGCAACCGGGAATGGTGCCGGCGCCACTCCCATGAAAACACCATCAGTTCCGGCCAGTGTACCTGGTACAGTTCCGGCCACAGTACCTGGAACAATTCCGGGCACTGGATTATTGTCGCTGGCGCAAAATGAAATCTTTGGCATGAATCCCGAGGTGTCGGTGTCTGCATTCAGCCTGTTACTTGCAGGGGCAGTTTCCGGAAACGACAGTATATATTTGGACGACGTTCCCACATCAGGAAAAGGGAGCACCATTAACCAGATGAATGTGAGGGAGAGATAAAGATATAGAACAAGTAGAAGAAAACGAATACTATTGTATTAATCAATTACTAAGGAGCAAAGACCAATTGATCGAATTGATAAGTTTACAACTCATCCTTTTCGTTTTCCTTCTCAGTTTCCTTTTCGTTTTCAGTTTCTGGTTCCACCGTTTCTGCGCTCGACTTGGCAATCTTGAGCGTCTTCACTGGCCGGTCGCCACGGCTGGTCTTGACTTTTTCCATATAATCAACCACATCAAATCCATCAAGAACCTCACCAAAAACAACGTGTTTTCCGTCCAACCACGAAGTCTTTTCGGTGGTGATAAAAAATTGTGACCCATTGGTGTCACGGCCGGCATTTGCCATCGATAACCGGTACTTGCGGTCATGCTTCAATTGAAAGTTTTCATCGGGGAATTTTCCTCCGTAAATCGATTTGCCGCCATATCCCTGACCGGTCTCAAAATCGCCACCCTGGAGCATAAACTGAGGAATAATACGGTGGAAAATGGAATCAACATATCCAAAAGAAGAGTCGGAAGAGGCAGCTAATTCACGAAAGTTTTTGACGGTTTTGGGGACAACAGTTCCAAAAAGTCCGATGGTAATTGTTCCAATTGGCTTGTCATCTTCGACAATTTCAAAATAAACTTTGTCTGTTATAGGTGGGTTTTCAGGTGGAGGGGATTTTGCCTGAACATTGGCAAAAAGGACCCAGATGATACTGATTAAAACGGCAATGAAAGTGACAGAACGCATGAGGAGTGGGCGACGGAGGATACAGGAAACGAGAATCAAGTGTACTGCAGGTAATGACTCGGAACGGTTGATGTGCAGGAATGGAGCTGACACTCAACCACTTCAGCTACTCTACCCACTGAATCCTGTCACTCCACAATCACTCACTGAACTCTGTCTTCACAGTCACATCATCTACACTTTTTCTTCTTCTCACCTTCACTTCCAATTCTGTGCTTTTTCTTCTATGGTCTATGTACATCAGAACGTCCGTTCTCCCTTTCTTTCCGCCTCGAGCTCGTCGCTGGCATGGCGCTCCTTCGCCTCCAACCGCTCCAAAGCTTTCCGCTTGGCTATGACTGTGCGGGCCTTTCGTTCTCCTCCATTCTTCTTCTTTCCTCGTTTATGTTCACGCAAAGGTTCCAAATCATTAACAAATTTGTGTTTCCACCGAAGCATATATTTTCTCGTGGACACGTCGATGCCCATCTCCTTCATATCTTTGGAACTCGTGGCTAAAAACTTATCCAAATTGCCTTCAAATGAGTCCAAATGTTCATTGCAATTGCGACCTATAAGCTTGAAAAATGTCTCGAGATCATGGACATTTTCCTTTGTTCTCGTGGACGTGTTTGTCCTGAACACGGGCGCTGAGTATGTAAACGTCCTCACCAAAAGAGGCGCTCGGATAACGGGAGTGAAACAGGACCGGAGTACGGGAAACATAAAGAGTTAGACCAATTTTTCGCTCAATTGAAAGATAGTGCACCCAAACACCAGAATGAAGAGAGGAACAATTAGACATACAGATGAGTACTAGAACACGAAAACACAATTTTCTGAATTCGAACCACGATCTAAATTAACACTCCATTGAATTTTCTCGAGAAAGTTACGGCAAATTTCAAGATTTCCATCCACAGTGATTACAATGATTTTGAAATGAAAGATGCAAAATCCAGCGGTTTCTTTCCTCAGATTCCTCTTTGACAAGTGATTCTGCAACGTTCAATTATCACAAGAATTCAGGTTTAATTTGCTTTGGTGACAATACTGCCAATACTCTTTGTCTACACCTTCTCCTCACCTCTACATTCAGGCTATCTACTCTACAACAAACCCTTGTTCTTGAACTCCTCCAACAAAGAATTACCCAATCTGGCTGGCGATCTTTCCACAACAACTCCAGCGCTCTCCAAAGCGGCAATCTTGGACTTGGCATCACCCTTTCCACCAGAAATAATGGCACCAGCATGTCCCATTCTTCTACCTGGAGGAGCACTAACACCAGCAATAAACGAAACAACTGGCTTTGGTCCATCTGGTCTGGTCAAGTTGTGCTGTTTCAAAAATTCACTGGCTTCTTCCTCGGCAGTTCCACCGATTTCTCCAATCAAAATAATACCCTCGGTTTCCTTGTCTTCCAAGAAAAGTGTCAATGCATCAATGAAATTGGTACCTGGGAATGGATCTCCTCCCATTCCAATCACCAATGATTGACCCAATCCGACTCCAGTTGTCTGGGCCACAGCCTCGTAAGTCAAAGTACCAGATCTTGAAATAACTCCAACTTTACCCCGCTGGTGAATGTGCGATGGCATAATACCAATCTTACACTGGTCGGGCGCAATCAATCCCGGGCAATTGGGTCCCACCAACCGCGTTTTCGATTGCGTCTTAAGCATCTGCGCAATACGAACCATGTCGTGCTGCGGAATACCCTCGGTAATGGCAACAGCCAATTCAATTTCGGCCTCGATGGCCTCCTCAATCGCGGCGGCTGCAATTGATGGCGGCACAAAAATAGCAGTGGCGTTGGCGCCGGTTTCCTTAATGGCGTCGCTCACATTGGCAAACACGGGTCTGTCCAAGTGAGTGGATCCAGCCTTCTTGGGGTTGGTTCCTCCAACAATTTTGGTTCCATAGGCAATCGCTTGCTCGGCATGGAAAGTTCCCTGACGTCCAGTGAAACCTTGGTAAATCACCTTGGTGTCCAGGTTGACCTTAAGGTTCTTTATGGTCGACGCATAGTTGCGGAGGGGAGCAGATGTCGAAAGGCTACGAATTGACTTCATAATGACAAGTGTATTTTGGAATTCTGGCATTTTTCGGACGGGGCGTGTCCGCGCGAATCCCGGGCACGGTGGTCCCGGGAGGGGAACAAAGTTCCGAGGTCGCGCGGCACCCTGGTTGCAAAACCATGGTGCAGATAGATGCGTTCTGATTGCGTTCTGGTTGCAAATGTCGGACTCTCTTTCTATATGAGAAAGCCGTCTGCTCCACATCGCAAAACCATGGTTGCATGCTGTTGCAGATGGGTGCATAATGGCTGCAAAATGTCGGACTCCCTCTCTATATAAGAACGCCGTCTGTCAGCATTCAGCAAATTCATCGAACGGTTTTTAAAGGAGCCTCCGGTTCACCGCCGGTAAACCGTCGGTAAACCTAGTAGTTGAACAAACTCTTGTAGTACAAGCACCGACTCTCAAGCAAGTCCCAATCCTCCTGAGATACCCACATCTCGTTCACAACCTTGAGCCGAGCATACACACTGCTTCCCTTCCATGTGAGCACCTGAGGATCGATCTCTCGCGGCGGTGGAAGAACATTCACTTGATTCACTGATCCTCGATCACACATGGCATCCACAGTATCAAGATCGATTTCAATTTGAGTGGCTGCGTCTATTTCATCCAATTCTGCGTCGTCAAGCTCGATATCCTCGAGCGCCTGCTCGGCATTGGTTCGTTTCTTCTCCTTATATTCGTCGATGAGTTGTTTGCGATGTCCCTCGATTTTTTTCCGTTCACCGGCAACATAATCCATGATTTCATCCATGCTGCTTGACGACAAAAACTTGGGCCTCCATATATTGATTCGGTCCGATAATACGAGGTCATAGCCCGATATTGTGGCCAATCCTCCTCCTACAATCAAAAGATTGTCGTAAAATTTTTTGGTTTTGGCAAAATCGGTAGCGATACCAGCATTGGTGATTGACTCGATGATGGCTTTTTCGAGTGGTTGCTCCACCAAATACGACAGGTTTTCGATTGTGGATGTCTTGGTGGGTTTCGGCTTTGAGTATGGATTGCCCTGCTTGATTCTCAGCCGCTCGTCGCCAAGCTGGACCAACAATTGGTCGTCGGCCAAATCGGCATAGGCAATGTTATTTATCATGTTTTCTTGTGCCTTGGAATAAGGGTTGTTCGTCTTGCCAGAATACTGGTCCACTGAAGGAGCAAAGAGCCGCTTTCTGTCTTTCGATAATGGATCCAACTGAAATGCTTTGGGGTAGAAAAGCGCCAATGGGGCGAGCATCACCTCATCAAACACCTTGAATTGATACTTTTGTGTGGACTCAAAGGGCTTCCGCTTATAGAAATGGTAGAGCTGCACGGCTATATCGGCGTCTTGGAAGGTGGCATAATCGTTTTTCAATTGCTGGGCCAATTCATAGTCGTCGTTGCGACTACTGAGGTCTAGTCCTCGGTAGGGGAAATTGCTTTGAAGAAGCATTTTTGTCAATGCCTGCGTAACGTGATCACCTCCATAATTCAAAATGATTCGAGAATCGTTGATCACCAATCCTTCATCAACACATGTCACGGTGGTAGTTTGGGCTCCTACGTCCACGACACAGGCAGACGATGCACCGGCTCCAAACGTAGCCAGAACGGCTTCTTGAAGAATAGCAACTTTTCCAAAACCAACCAATCTCAAAAGAAGCGAGAGCCACGTTTCAACGTACATCTTGTCGTACAAATCTGGAATAACAAAAATAGCCTTCAATGACTTGAGTGGCTCCTTCACTTCAAGCTGCTCTAACCCATACATTATAAGCTCATAAAGATCACCCAAGAGCTGCTGTGGAGATGTATAAGCGGGACTCAGGTCGTTGAACTGGCCGTTGCAGATTGGATAGCGGATGGAGTAGCGAGTGAACTTGGGGCCTATAGGAAGTTTTAGGGCCTCGTCTCCAACGTATACTTTCTTGAGGGTGTTGGGATTGCTGACATCGATCCACTCTTTCTTATATGGGTCGTTATGGTCAGGGATCTCCTCGGGTTCTTGGCGACGGTTGAAGTTGGCTGCCAGTTCGCGAGAATTAGGAAGAATCCGGCGCTTATAGTACTTCATTCTAGCCTTGAAGTCCTTGGTGAGGGTATCCAAAAGCTCGTTGAATTCGTCGCCAAACAGAATGGTGCCATCTTCGGACTCGGTCCGCTTGGGTTGGGGTTCGTGAGTCGCGGGTGGATCTGAAGGCACCGCTATTACCATCGGCACCGTGATCGGGAACGCATCGGTGGCACGTCCAATACGAAGATTGGCAGACCCAGGTTGTATGACTATGGTGTCGTAGCCCTGTTTGGCCTTATCTTCGCTGACATCGTTATCGTCATCTTCGTCGTCTTCGTCATCGTCGTCATTCTCCAAAGCCACCGAGGCTGCTGCCGCTGCCTCAGCTTCCGCCTCAGCCTTGGCCTTGGCCTCTTCCTGGGCTTTCTTCTTCATTTCCGCCTCGATGTCGCCCAAATTGTAGTCGTCGAACGACTGCACCGCATCGTCTTTTTTGATGGTTTTCTCGATGTTTTTCATCTTTTGCTGGAGCACCTTCTCCATCCGCCAGTTGCGCACAAACAGGATCTGCTCATCTTTCTTCAAGTAGTCGGTGAAGTAGTTCTTTTGGTTGATCAATGGAATCGATCGGATGGTGGTCAACCTGAACTTGTTCTCCTTTTCAAACCGACCAATGCCAGCTTTCTTAAGGCTTTGCGCAATCGTGGCTGCAGCCTTCCTTCGGCCTTCCTTCCGTCGCTGGAGCACTTCTGCTGAGGTTTTTTTCGGCACTTTTTTGCGTTTTTTGTCAGGGCTGTCATCGTTGGCGTCTTGTTCAGGCGGCTCGGACGACCGCGGAAGGTCCAAAACGTCGTTGGGCTCCAGTTTCGGTTCTATGGGTTCCAGAAACGGTTCCATAGGCTCCAGTCTGGGCTCGGCGGGATTGTCCATATTGGGGTCCATGGGTTCCGTTAACGTGAGAGGTGAGAAATTCGCGAACATTGATACAGGTAGACAGGAAATTTATTGACAGGGTACTTTGGTACTTTATCGATAGGTTTATTATGTATCAGTAGTCCAACGGCTTCTTCGCCGGTTTCTTCTTCTCCTTCTTATGCTTGGCCATGGCCATGATATCGGACTTTGTCCGCGACTCGTTGTCGAAATCCCACAACTTTTTTTTCCACTCTGCGAGAGTACTGTGCATTTCAAAGAGTCTCGAAAGGTCCTTTTTGTCGCCATTGTTGCGCTTCGGGTGTGTCTTGAGCGTGCTGTACAACCGCTCGTACTCCTGGTACTTTGCCCGGAACTTGATAGCGAGATTGGCGTAATACTGGGTTCTTTTCGTTGCTCGGTCGTCGTCGTCTCCGGAATCGTCAATTGACGACGGCGATGTGCATTCGGTATCGCTTTTTTTGCGTTTTCTGCGCTCGTCGTCGTCCGAAGACGACACATCCGACCTCCGTTTAAGCGGCGAGGCGCTCACGGGTCGATTGGGGCTCTTGGATGTGAGAAGTCCTCCGCCCAAAGCGAGCTTTTTCGGGACGATTTCTCCCTCTTGCGGCTGGTCGCAAATCTTGCGGCGTAAAGGGTGGGTTTCCAGAAACCCGAGCCGTGTCAATGCGTTGTGGGTGTTTTTCAACACAAATTGGCGCTCGTCGTCGGAATAATTCCACTGCCACGGCCGTAATTCCTTGTAGGCTCGATCTTTGAGCACGAAATGATCATGGGCCTTCACCGCATTGTATGCAAACACATCTCCACCGGTAAACACGTCGGCGGGGTTGTATGGCTGGGTATAGTTGGCGATGAACCCGTCTACCACCTTGGCGGGGGCTCGCAATTGTCGCTCCAATTCGTCTCTGGTGGCCGGTCCGAGCGCCAAAAACGCCATGAGGGTTGCGATGATGTCGGACGAGCTGTTGGACCCGCTGGCGTCTGCCAGAATCACGTAGGGGGCGTAATTTTTCGGGCGTTGCTGACGGACTGCTGGCAGCGCCGATGCAGGTCGTTGTGGAAGTGTTGGCGATGGAAGTACCGTGGTTTGAGGCCGACGAATGTGGTCTCTGATGAGTTTTTTATCGGTTATTACCGTCAATTTCGACGTAACACTGCCCAAAAAATGATTTTTGTCGTAAATCTCCATGGGCGAATTTTCCAGTTGTGAAGAACAGGGGTACTCCTGTGTTGGCGAAAGCCGTATGGACACCTGACCATCGCGGACGACAAGCTTGGGACTCGATTTGGCGGTTTTGACACTTTTTATAAAGTCAGAATTTAGCCGGAAAGCGACAGTCACACCGCCTGAAGACGGGACCAAGGTGTACGAGTTCATAAGCTGTGAAGGTTTGCAAAGTCTATTCAAAGTCTGTGATGATTAGCGGAATGAAACGTTCTAGCAAAAGACGTTGAGTAGCCAACAATTTTGTGGAAAACTTATTAATGGGAAGAAATAAAAAAAATGGTGTACACCTCCTGACTAAATCATTCCAGCCTTTCCTAATCAGGATCCGATCAATGTGCGCAACGGTGCGGCAGGCTGCGGGGGACGACGGGCAAAGTCCTGATACGAGGGGTTTTTGTGCGCGACCCGGCGGAGATTATAGAAGTGGTAACGGAGTTTAAGGTGAAAAAGTGGACTACAGGATATAAGTGGATTGACAGGAAAGACCTGTCTTATCGGGTGGTCCGCGCTCATAATTTGCAACAGGCAACGGAAAAAAGAAGAGTAGAAAGGAAGTTAAAAGAGAGTAGAAAGGGACAGAGACAAAGGTATAAGAATATTTTAATGGTATTAGAATGGTATTAATGGTATATGTGGTATATATGTTGGTCTCTTCGCATCTTTTCACCAATTTTCCTGTTCTTTTTTTTTCATTTTCTCGTCTCGTTTCTACTCTCATTCTACCCACTACCAATGCTTTACGCTTGTATACGTTAACTTCTTACATGATACACTTCCTCCTTACGTCTCTCTTTCCTTTCCTTTCTTTCCCTCTCTTCAGAACCCTCAAAAACTCCCTCCACGTGGACCACGATTCCATCTCCACATCGTAGATATATGCCATCGAATGGCGCAACGAGCTCTGTAAATACTGCGGATGGGTGTCGTAGAACAACATTACAAGACCCCATGTCGCCACAGCAAAGTATTTCCACAGACTGTTGTAAATTCCATGTTTGAGCTTCTTTTGCTGGTGGTCGGTGAGGTCTCGGAATGCTACTTTATCGGCACCAATAGTGAACGTTGGTTGGGCACAATGAAGGTATTTGTCCAACGCTATCTTTCCCGACGCCAATAACACTCTGGAAAAGCAATATAACGTGATTTGGTGGGTTATTCCCGGATGAAAATATGGAAAGTGTTGAGAATAAACGATCCATGCTCCAAAACTTCCAGCTAAAAATTTCACCAACCCCTTGGATCCCCCCAATACTTGGTCATGCAGCAACACCTTCACCGCCAACTGGTAAATCGTGGCAAAAGCCGCCAAAACTTCTGCGTGAGATTTGGTGGCTTGAAGAACCTGAGTCAAACGTGGTTTTAATGGTCCCAGACGGTACAAGAGATTGATGACCAAAGCATGTGAGAACCGGAGCTTTCCGCCGTACACAACACCGTTTCTGGCGGACCGAAGCGCCTCCAAAAGTGGCCGATATAATGGATTGTCTAAAACCGTCATGGACAAATAAATAATAACAGACGACTACTTTCTTGAAAAGTTTATTTTACAGCCTGAAACTTGGCTTGGAGCTTCTTCACAGTGTCTGCTTTGCTATACTTTTTCCTCGACGTCCTCAAGTCCGTCAAAGCTGTTTTGAACCGGTGGTCTTTCAACTTTAGTATACGTGAATCCTCAGAAATCAAATTGTGGGGGACGGCTTGTCTGCAGTACCGAGAATCGCAATTAAGCCGAGTTATGTGCAGGAGCGATTCTTCGATCAAGCATAGCTTGCTGTGTTTGCTGGTGTGGTTTTCTGTCTGGTAGATAACAGCCTACGGCACAATTTTCAGAAACACCGGATTTTAGTTTTTTTGGTTGGCGGGTGGTTGTGATGGTACCACGGTTACGCAGTCCGTGGGCACGTGCGTAACTTCCAGACCACTCTATTCTGTTGCCGTATACAGGATGCCGTCCCGTGATACACAAATTTTTTTTTCAGCCAAATTTACCATTCAGACCCACTTGCCAATCTCCAGTCGATTTTTCTGCGCCTTTTTTTGCAGATATTTGTACTTTTGAATAGTGGCATCGTTACCCTATCTATTCTTCATCCCAACCGTGAAGTCACAACACTTCATTTTTGCATTTTCAACGTTCTTCCGTCTGGCTTTCACCGTCGTTTGAAATACACGACAACGTTTTTTTCCAATTGACGCCTGATCCTACCGTATTTAAGGTTGCTTGCGTCTCCAGTATAATCAAAACCCTGGTTTTTTGACTGACCTCAAATTTTTGGTCATCTAAACTTTTGCTCAACCACCTTGTCGGTCGCCACCATGTCAGTTTCTTACGCCAATATTGCCGCCACCGGTTCCAATTCCGAATCACAGACATCCACGCCGGTGTCGGAGGTGGCTTCCTTGGAAGTAAATGACACGGAAGTGCAAACTTCACCAAACAACTCGGAAACCACCACGGTTCCAATCGAACAACCCACTCAAGAAAAACCAAAAAAGACGTTGGCCCCTGCTCCTGTTCCCACAAAATCGGTATGGGGAAGTACCGTGAGTCCTCATAATATTTCTGTGGATGAGAACAAGTGGCCAACTCCAGATAAGGTCAAATTGGAACAAGAAACCGCATCGAAACCACTGCAAAAATTTATCAAACCGGTCACCAACAAGTGGGTTCCTATCAACGCCAAGGTCACTCTTGCCAGTCCTCGGCCTGGTTCTCAAAAGCCACGCAACCGCAAGAAGCGTCAAGGTCAAAATCAAACCCTGGCTTCTGCTCATACTGTGGTTCCTCATTCTCCACCTCTGACTGAATCTCTGTCTCCATCCACCCAATCGCCTTCTAGCCAGGCTACGCAATCTTCGCAATCTCCCAAGGTCTCGGAAGACGAAAAAAGCAACGGCCAGCAAAAAAACTTTCGACGTTTTAACGGCAATGGAAGCCCTCAATTCAAACCTCGTTTTGGAAGTCCTCAACAACCACCGCAATTTTTCCCCCAGGGTCAGGGGCAAAACGGCTTCTATCATCCTCAGCCTTACCAAAACTTTCAAGGGTATCCTCGTGGCCAATACAGGGCTCCTAGAAATGGTGCACCAATCATTAATGGAGGATTTGTTCCCGCACCATTTGCTAATGGTATGATGGGGTACCCCCACACGCAAATTCCTCCACCAATCTCTCCCAAACAGGACCCACTGGAAGCTTTGACCCAGCAAATCGACTACTACTTTTCCTTGGAAAATTTGATCAAAGACATCTTCTTAAGAAAGCATATGCATGAACAAGACGGTTGGGTACCTTTGTCATTGATCTTGAACTTTAAGCGGGTCAAAATCATTCTTAATGGCATCCAAAATAGCTCGGATCTGCCTAATGTCGATCAAGATGCCGTTGTGTTGGCTTCACTTGATCATTGCAAAAATTTGGATATCGACTACGTGAACGGTAAGACCAAGGAAACTGCCACTGTAGCCGATATCAACCTTCGTGTCAAGGATAACTACAAGCAGTGGTTGCTTCCTGAAGCCTAGGAAGTAATTCCAGCGGCCTAATTAACCCAAAAAAAGAACCAGTAATAGAAATTGTTTTACTATTCTACCTAGAATAGCTTCGTCATATATATAGCTTAGCACTCCACTATGGAAATAGACACCATTAACCATCCAGATCGGTGCTCCGCGGACCTAGCTGGGCAATCTCAATGTCGCTTTCGCTAGCCAGTTGCTTCTCTTTAATTTGGCTGAAAACCTCCAAATTCTTGACGATTTTTTCATCAGCAACTTCAGAGTCGAGAGCATTGAGGTACTCCCGAGGGATAATTAACGGCCAAACCCATTCGGCACAAATGGCAAAAAACATTAATACTCCAGGAAATCCCACGGCGCCTTTTGTCAAGGTGATTCCAAACTCGAAACCAAACGCTATTAGTTGCAAAATCAAGTAGATGTAGAAATACTTTTTGCTTGGAGTTTTGTCAATTTGGGCGGAAAACTTCCGGGCAATTGGGATCGTTTTCGATGTAATCGTGGTCCATGAAAAGGTAGCGAATTCGGTTGGTGATAATATTGCCGTGAAGGCCAGTAATACCCATGATGAAAAAAAGACCCGAAAGAACTGCCTGAGGAATAAGTCCTAATACCACCAAGAACGGTCGAGACATCATTGCAAACGTCATAATACCCTGAACTGTGTTGGTTATGCGCTGCTCAACCACCGACAATGCCTTTCCAGTACGGTGATCGTGAACCACTAGAGATTCGGTATGGAGAGGAGCCTGTGGAATTAACCCATTCGGAGCAGGAAATCCCAAAAATTCCAGCGATTCCAGTGGTGAGTCCCAATAATGCAAAGTCCCAGTGAAACGCCGACGGTTTTTTGAGGGGGTATTCCTTCAGTTGTGCCATCAATGACGAAACATTGTGGTCAAAGTAGAAGAGAAACGTGAGCAAAATAGCAAATGGAACAGCAAGAAACACATCTCCCACGCTGATATTTTCCAGGGGCCAGAAATGAATAAACCAGCCGTGGGGTCTTGCTTCTCCCGATAAAGTTGGAGCAAAAGATTTTGGTAATGGGTAATCTTGCGAGTTCTGTTTTCTCCAAAAATCCACCAAAGTGAATAAATCCGGTGAAAAAAATCACAGAAGCCGGAACCCCGTAGTCCACAAAAATCTTGCGCACAACTGGGTTAAAGTAGTGGAGCTGAGACCCGAATATGTGGCTTCCAACTCCACAGGCTACCATCAAAAGGGCAATCATTACCGAAGCGTAACCCGATGCCCAATCGACATGATGGAATTGACCATTAAGAAGCTGGATAGCCTTTTGAATATACACCACGCAGATGAAGAACCCAAACACATCGCACGAGTACAGACTGATGATTTTGAGGAAAGAAACCGAGTTGGTGAATGCAAGAATGAAGTGGAAAATCATCGACCATAAGTATATCCAGCACATAAATGGAAAATAAGGGGTTCCCTCGCGGTCCAATGAGCTCGTACACGTGTATAGCTAAAGATGGAGATGGGTCCGGTAACTCCAACTATACACAAAGGTTGACCGGGAGAAAAGACCAAATGCGACTCCCAGCAAAGCGCCAGACTCATCAACACTTCATTCACCCCATACGAGTTTTCTGTCTTGTCAAACATGTCCCTGCGCAAACGCGATGGCGGGAAGAAGGTTTGTAAAGAATATGTAGGTTGTAGAAGGAACCACACGGTAATTCCAGGCATCAGTGAAATCGGACTTGTAGTATGGTAGTCGAGTTCTGACATCGTTGAGGACTCCGTAACCCAACATATTTGAAGCTGCGGAGCCACAGAAGGCTAGGTACCCAATTTCGGGCGGGCATTAACAAAAGAAAATTGTTTTTGAAGGGGAGAAACTATTAGCAAATAAGTGGGTTAAGTGAGAATTGACTGCTAAATCTCGGCACTCTAACTCCTGATTAGATGGTGCGGCGATTGATTTTAGACCACGAGGTGGAAAATTTACGAGGTTTCTTTTACCGGTAATTTACGAGTATATGGGACTTAAGGGAGTGATTCTACCTAGAATAGCTTCGTCATATATATAGCTTAGCACTCCACTATGGAAATAGACACCATTAACCATCCAGATCGGTGCTCCGCGGACCTAGCTGGGCAATCTCAATGTCGCTTTCGCTAGCCAGTTGCTTCTCTTTAATTTGGCTGAAAACCTCCAAATTCTTGACGATTTTTTTCATCAGCAACTTCAGAGTCGAGAGCATTGAGGTACTCCCGAGGGATAATTAACGGCCAAACCCATTCGGCACAAATGGCAAAAAACATTAATACTCCAGGAAATCCCACGGCGCCTTTTGTCAAGGTGATTCCAAACTCGAAACCAAACGCTATTAGTTGCAAAATCAAGTAGATGTAGAAATACTTTTTGCTTGGAGTTTTGTCAATTTGGCGGAAAACTTCCGGGCAATTGGGATCGTTTTCGATGTAATCGTGGTCCATGAAAAGGTAGCGAATTCGGTTGGTGATAATATTGCCGTGAAGGCCAGTAATACCCATGATGAAAAAAAAGACCCGAAAGAACTGCCTGAGGAATAAGTCCTAATACCACCAAAGAACGGTCGAGACATCATTTGCAAACGTCATAATACCCTGGAACTGTGTTGGTTATGCGCTGCTTCAACCACCGACAATGCCTTTTCCAGTACGGTGATCGTGAACCACTAGAGATTCGGTATGGAGAGGAGCCTGTGGAATTAACCCATTCGGAGGCAGGAAATTCCCAAAATTCCAGCGATTCCAGTGGTGAGTCCCAATAATGCAAAGTCCCAGTGAAACGCCGACGGTTTTTTGAGGGGGTATTCCTTCAGTTGTGCCATCAATGACGAAACATTGTGGTCAAAGCTAGAAGAGAAACGTGAGCAAAATAGCAAATGGAACAGCAAGAAACACATCTCCCACGCTGATATTTTTCCAGGGGCCAGAAATGAATAAACCAGGCCGTGGGGTCTTGCTTCCTTCCCGATAAAGTTGGAGCAAAAGATTTGGGTAATGGGTAATCTTGCGAGTTCTGTTTTCTCCAAAAATCCACCAAAGTGAATAAATCCGGTGAAATTAAAATCACAGAAGCCGGAACCCCGTAGTCCACAAAAATCTTGCGCACAACTGGGTTAAAGTAGTGGAGCTGAGACCCGAATATGTGGCTTCCAACTCCACAGGCTACCATCAAAAGGGCAATCATTACCGAAGCGTAACCCGATGCCAAATCGACATGATGGAATTGACCATTAAGAAGCTGGATAGCCTTTTGAATATACACCACGCAGATGAAGAACCCAAACACATCGCACGAGTACAGACTGATGATTTTGAGGAAAGAAACCGAGTTGGTGAATGCAAGAATGAAGTGGAAAATCATCGACCATAAGTATATCCAGCACATAAATGGAAAATAAGGGGTTCCTCGCGGTCCAATGAGCTCGTACACGGTATAGCTAAAGATGGAGATGGGTCCGGTAACTCCAACTATACACAAAGGTTGACCGGAGAAAAGACCAAATGCGACTCCAGCAAACGCCAGACTCATCAACACTTCATTCACCCCATACGAGTTTTCTGTCTTGTCAAACATGTCCTGCGCAAACGCGATGGCGGGAAGAAGGTTTGTAAAGAATATGTAGGTTGTAGAAGGAACCACACGGTAATTCCAGGCATCAGTGAAATCGGACTTGTAGTATGGTAGTCGAGTTCTGACATCGTTGAGGACTCCGTAACCAACATATTTGAAGCTGCGGAGCCACAGAAGGCTAGGTACCCAATTTCGGGCGGGCATTAACAAAAGAAAATTGTTTTTGAAGGGGAGAAACTATTAGCAAATAAGGTGGGTTAAGTGAGAATTGACTGCTAAATCCGGCACCTAACTCCGATTAGATGGTGCGGCGATTGATTTTAGACCACGAGGTGGAAAATTTACGAGGTTCTTTTACCGGTAATTTACGAGTATATGGGACTTAAGGGAGTTATTCTACCTAGAATAGCTTCGTCATATATATAGCTTAGCACTCCACTATGGAAATAGACACCATTAACCATCCAGATCGGTGCTCCGCGGACCTAGCTGGGCAATCTCAATGTCGCTTTCGCTAGCCAGTTGCTTCTCTTTAATTTGGCTGAAAACCTCCAAATTCTTGACGATTTTTTCATCAGCAACTTCAGAGTCGAGAGCATTGAGGTACTCCCGAGGGATAATTAACGGCCAAACCCATTCGGCACAAATGGCAAAAAACATTAATACTCCAGGAAATCCCACGGCGCCTTTTGTCAAGGTGATTCCAAACTCGAAACCAAACGCTATTAGTTGCAAAATCAAGTAGATGTAGAAATACTTTTTGCTTGGAGTTTTGTCAATTTGGCGGAAAACTTCCGGGCAATTGGGATCGTTTTCGATGTAATCGTGGTCCATGAAAAGGTAGCGAATTCGGTTGGTGATAATATTGCCGTGAAGGCCAGTAATACCCATGATGAAAAAAAGACCCGAAAGAACTGCCTGAGGAATAAGTCCTAATACCACCAAGAACGGTCGAGACATCATTGCAAACGTCATAATACCCTGAACTGTGTTGGTTATGCGCTGCTCAACCACCGACAATGCCTTTCCAGTACGGTGATCGTGAACCACTAGAGATTCGGTATGGAGAGGAGCCTGTGGAATTAACCCATTCGGAGCAGGAAATCCCAAAATTCCAGCGATTCCAGTGGTGAGTCCCAATAATGCAAAGTCCCAGTGAAACGCCGACGGTTTTTTGAGGGGGTATTCCTTCAGTTGTGCCATCAATGACGAAACATTGTGGTCAAAGTAGAAGAGAAACGTGAGCAAAATAGCAAATGGAACAGCAAGAAACACATCTCCCACGCTGATATTTTCCAGGGGCCAGAAATGAATAAACCAGCCGTGGGGTCTTGCTTCTCCCGATAAAGTTGGAGCAAAAGATTTGGTAATGGGTAATCTTGCGAGTTCTGTTTTCTCCAAAAATCCACCAAAGTGAATAAATCCTGGTGAAAAAAATCACAGAAGCCGGAACCCCGTAGTCCACAAAAATCTTGCGCACAACTGGGTTAAAGTAGTGGAGCTGAGACCCGAATATGTGGCTTCCAACTCCACAGGCTACCATCAAAAGGGCAATCATTACCGAAGCGTAACCCGATGCCAAATCGACATGATGGAATTGACCATTAAGAAGCTGGATAGCCTTTTGAATATACACCACGCAGATGAAGAACCCAAACACATCGCACGAGTACAGACTGATGATTTTGAGGAAAGAAACCGAGTTGGTGAATGCAAGAATGAAGTGGAAAATCATCGACCATAAGTATATCCAGCACATAAATGGAAAATAAGGGGTTCCTCGCGGTCCAATGAGCTCGTACACGGTATAGCTAAAGATGGAGATGGGTCCGGTAACTCCAACTATACACAAAGGTTGACCGGAGAAAAGACCAAATGCGACTCCAGCAAACGCCAGACTCATCAACACTTCATTCACCCCATACGAGTTTTCTGTCTTGTCAAACATGTCCTGCGCAAACGCGATGGCGGGAAGAAGGTTTGTAAAGAATATGTAGGTTGTAGAAGGAACCACACGGTAATTCCAGGCATCAGTGAAATCGGACTTGTAGTATGGTAGTCGAGTTCTGACATCGTTGAGGACTCCGTAACCAACATATTTGAAGCTGCGGAGCCACAGAAGGCTAGGTACCCAATTTCGGGCGGGCATTAACAAAAGAAAATTGTTTTTGAAGGGGAGAAACTATTAGCAAATAAGTGGGTTAAGTGAGAATTGACTGCTAAATCCGGCACCTAACTCCGATTAGATGGTGCGGCGATTGATTTTAGACCACGAGGTGGAAAATTTACGAGGTTCTTTTACCGGTAATTTACGAGTATATGGGACTTAAGGGAGTGATCTACCTAATGCTGCAAAGTTCATGTTGGTGGTTCATATAGGCGCAGGAAATCATCTGAGGTCGCGTGACTCCGAGTACAAAAAAATATTGCAAAATGCACTTCGTTCAAAATCATACAATGCGGCTGCAATTGCCCTAGAAGAGCCCTCGCTCACCAACACGGGTTGTGGGTCCAGCCTTAACATGGATGGCAAAGTAGAGTGTGACGCGAGCATTATTCGGGCAAATATTAACGAAAACAAAATTGAAGTCAGAGTCGCTGCTCACAATATTCAACATAAAACACCAACATTGGCACTTTTGAATGGTTTGGATGCTCTCACAAGAGAATATAGTGCCAGGTACGGACTCTGGGGACTCTCAGCTCCTGTGGTTTTTGATTATGGTGCCATTGCATTGAGATTTGGGTCGAAAACTCACTCTCAAAATGAGTTGGTTGACGGCCTGAAAAGGAAGGTGTTTGAGTTGTACAGGGAACGAATGGAGAAGAAAGGCGAAGACACTAAAGTCCGGAAAAATCTTCAGGAAAATGTTCAGGATTCTGTTCAGGATTCTGTTCAGGTTCCCGTTCAGTCCGTTCAAGACACAGTTGGGCTTATTCACTTAACCGAAGAAATCCTTACTGTCCTGTCTTCATCTGGTGGAAACTTTTTCAAATTACCAGGACGAATTGGTTGTGCTGGTATTGTAGGAGCCGCAACAGCTGTGAGATTTTTTGGTCTGTGGTGCATTAGTTGTCTTTGCAGTGGAAACGGAGATGATATTATACAAATGAACTTGGCAGCTACAATAGCTGGTCGCTTTGAAGATCCTGATACTTTTGGATTTCTGCTTGTTTCATATATTAAAGAAGCAGCAATTTCGTTACCATTACAGGCACAAGATATCCATGGAGATAATATCATTTATGTGGGAGTATTGTGTGTGCTACGCAACATATCCACAGGAGAAACCAGATTGGCTTACTGTCATAGTACAGAGTCATTTTACTTTGGGTATATGAAAGATAAACCACATACGGTACTTAGTCGCAGCCGTGCGGGAGTGTTTGTGCAAGGCGAGTACAGAATATAAAAGCAGATCTACGAAGATAATGAAAAATAATGAAGAATAATGAGGAATAATGAAGAAATATGAAGAAGTTGAAGTAAGAAAGAAGTTGCAAATTTGTCGTTGGAGAATTATGAGTGTTCGTAAAATTGGCTACAATCGTAGAAAGGTATATCAGTAGCAAGACAGAATCTAGTTCATTTAATGGAAAAGACCAAACTCATCTATTGAACACTTCCTTCTTTTTTTTCTTCTCTACACCATCCAATTACATTGTAATTTATTCCTATTAACGGGAGGTAGCGTGCACCTTTTGGAAAGCACCCTTGGCTTGTTGCTTGGAAAACTTGGACTGAGCTCCGGCAGCAGCAGACTTGGCCTTCTCAGCCTTTCTACTGGCCTTAGCAGCCTTCTTGGCTTCCTTGTCCTTAGCCAACTTGAGGTCTCTGGCATGCTTTCTGTCTTGAGGTTTTTGCGATCTTCTCTCCTTAATCAAATCCAATGAAGCTCCGACAATGGCTCTTTGGTGCTTGACGGTTCTTCTGTTCTTTCTCTTGGTGGTTTCCTCAGAAATACCCTTCTTGTGTTGTCTTCTGTACAATACAGTCCAAGCAATTCTTCTTGGGTTCTTTCTTTGGTGGAATAAAGAGGCAGATTTCGATGACGAGAATCTGAACACCTTGGAGTCACCTCTGACAAACAAGGTACCTCTACCTGGGTAGATCTTGTTACCGGAAAACGAATCGATTTCAACCTTCATTTGTTCTTTCAGTAAAAATTTTACCCGACTTGAACCAAATTTTCAGCGAGCACCAAAGTGACACAAAAACTCGGGGTTGTGTTAGGTAAGCGCCCACCAACTATCCAGGGTTATACCCTGCACGTGCGTGATTCCGCTCCTGCGTGAGCACCACTAAACATTTCTCTGAAAATTTCGCATACCTCATTGCAACGACCGGAGTGAATAACACAGAGATGGTAAGTAGTTGAAAAAATGGAGGCTTTTGGCTTATACTAATGCAGGCCCCTAAATCTAAGAACCAAGAAAACATCAACGCCAAGTTGGGTTTGGTGATCAAATCCGGTAAATACACCTTGGGTTACAAGTCGGTTGTCAAGTCCTTGAGAACCGGAAAGGCCAAGTTGGTTATCATTGCTGGAAACACCCCAGTGTTGAGAAAGTCGGAATTGGAGTACTACGCCATGTTGTCTAAGACTCAAGTGTACTACTTCCAAGGTGGTAACAACGAATTGGGTACCGTTTGTGGTAAGTTGTTCAGAGTCGGTACCATGTCCATTTTGGATGCTGGTGACTCCGACATCTTGTCCTCCATCAACTAGTGTGTATTAATAGATATTATAGTTGGAAGGTGTAGTCTACCAACTCCTTGCGGAGTTGGTAGCTCTGGTCGTTTAGTCACTTGTTCATTCACTCTTCCCTTCACTCCTCACTCCCTCCTCACAAACTCTTGCGTGAGCTGTTGCTCCAACTTTTCAATCGCTTCCTCCTCGTTGCGTATCAACTCGTCTATATCGATCTCATCGCTGGTGTTCTGCTGCTCCAAAGTCCCACTATTATATGCCTTCAACCGTCGCCTTTGCTCGTCAATTGTGGCTCGATACTGCCGCATTCCCGTACTGAGCTCCTCGTACTCTCGGCTATACTCGCTGATTTTCTCCATCACGTCGTTCTCATCCAAATGTGGATATTTTTCAACCAACTCCACCACCATTGAGCACAACCTGTCCACTGGTGCATCTTCTCCACACGCGGAAAAAATCCACCTTTCTGTCTGTGAGTTGTGCTCGGGCTCACTCCCTGTCTCGGGGTACGACGACACATCTGGAACTCTTACTGCGGTTCTTTTACCTTCATTGGTGGTTTTGATCTGAGTATATTCGTTGAAACTTTTGTCCACAAACAACGACTTTCCATCCTTTCTCTCTGGGAGAACCTCCATGAGTGCTGCTTCCGAATCGTCGTCGTTGACATCATTTGAGCTGCTAAAAACGGGATTTTTGCGATGTATTTTGTACAACGCGTATTCTTCAGGTGCCGAATCTTTTAGTAAACGTGTAATTGGAGCACCACGATTAAATGCATTTGTAAATATGCCTGTGCGCTTGAACTGGAGCAGGTTTAGGGACTCGCACAGGCCTCTTGTGCGTTCCAAAAAGTAGTCTAATGAAGGCATAAGTTGTGTAAACAGAGCAGTCGCGATAAGTGTCGGTGTGCGGGTGCGCACAAATTATTGATTCATTCAATTCGCATTAATTATATTCGCATCTCATTCATTTTCTGTCTCATCTGCTTATGAACTTGGACACCTACATCAAAAACAGAGACCACTACCTTGCCCTTGGTCTCGAAGGCTCCGCCAACAAGTTGGGAGCGGGTATCATAAAGCATAATCGTGGTCCTTTGACCGACAAAAATCGAGCTAAAGTTCTCTCCAATGTCAGAGACACTTATATTACTCCTCCTGGTGAAGGGTTTCTCCCACGAGACACGGCCCGCCACCACCGCAATTGGGTGGTCAGAGTCATCAAACAAGCCCTTAAGGAAGCTCAGGTTAACGGTGAGGACTTGGATTGCATTTGTTTCACCCAAGGTCCAGGAATGGGTGCTCCTCTTCAAAGTGTGGTCATCGCTGCCAGAACGCTTTCCCAGCTTTGGCAGGTACCTTTGGTGGGAGTCAACCATTGTGTGGGCCACATAGAAATGGGAAGAGAAATAACTGGTGCGCAAAACCCCGTGGTGTTGTATGTCAGTGGAGGCAACACCCAGGTCATTGCATACTCAAAACAGCGGTATAGAATATTTGGCGAAACGTTGGACATCGCCATAGGTAATTGTTTGGACCGGTTTGCTCGGACGCTCAAGATTTCTAACGATCCAGCACCTGGTTACAATATTGAACAAATGGCGAAAAAGGGTACTCATTTGGTACCGCTTCCATACACAGTGAAGGGCATGGACTTGTCTATGTCAGGAATCTTGGCTCACATCGACTTAATCGCCAAAGATCTTTTTTCAAACAACAAAAATAAAAAACTCGTTGACGAAGAAACTGGCGAACCCATCACCGCCGAAGACTTGTGTTTCTCGCTTCAAGAAACCTTGTTCTCTATGCTTGTGGAAATCACCGAGAGAGCCATGGCACACGTTCAGAGCAATCAGGTGTTGATAGTGGGTGGTGTGGGGTCCAATGAACGATTACAGGAGATGATGAAATTGATGGTTTCCGACCGAAAAAACGGGTCGGTTTTTGCTACTGACGAGCGGTTTTGCATAGACAATGGCATTATGATTGCCCATGCGGGTCTTTTGGGCTACAGAATGGGACAGAAAAATGAATTGAAAGATACGGTGTGTACTCAGCGGTTCCGCACCGACGATGTGTTTGTCAGTTGGCGAGATGATTAATCGTCGATTTGTGGTCACGAAGTGACCACAAATGACATAAAGACGCTGACAATAACTCATAAAAACGCTTTTATGACGGAATGGGTACCATAAGTCATCATGAACCATAAGATCATCAACCATAAAATCATCAACCATAAAATTATCATTGCTTTTCAAATTATCATTGACCATAAAATCACCATCGAACATGATTTTTATTGACGATAAGGTGATTGTCGACCCTACCGATAACCCAAAGCAACCATTGACCAGATTTGCATTCAGTGCCTAGCACTTATAAATACTCAATTGAGACCAGTAATGAAACTTTACAACCCTTGCCTTGCTCATGGCACCGCCCACGGTTATTGACCCGACGGCACCGCCAATATCAATCGGTTTTCAAAGACATCCATGACTTTCTACTTGTGGGTGCCAGATACGAACTGGACATCTTGGCTTAAAAAAGACACTATTGCTGGTTTCAACGGTCCCTCACGTAGTGTAGAGTTGCTTGTAGTCAATTGGCATCCCCGTAGAAGACTGGCTAATTTTCTGACTTTGGTTCCGTCCCATTTGGAAGCACTTTTCTTGTAGTCGTGATTAACTGCGCTAATAGCAGATACACTATTTTCAAATATTACCTGTGCTTTATCGTACCGCTCGTTTGGGTCTCGAGGTACCATCAGCACCGAAGTAACAGGACCAAAAATTGACATAATTTCAGCTACAACCTCTGAAGTGAAAAGTCCATCGAGTTCTGGTTTTCTTTTCCATGAAACTATGCAAGGTTCAGCCACCAGTTTCTCATCCCAAATTGATACTCTCGGTCCATCGAGCTGGCTCGAGGATACATAGCCCGGAGCACTCTTTCGTACTCTTTTTTCAAGTTCTTGTCTTTTTTTCAAACCCTCTTCACGTAATTTTTCAGTATTTTGTGGGGTAGACAGATGCGGTTTTCGGTGCTGTTCTTCAGCGAATGCAAGTTTTTCACGGAAAGCTTTTATTTGTTCCGAAGCTTCGTTTGTGTTTCTTTCCTTGGTTAGCCGCGCTCTTCGTATCCTGTCGTATTCCAGCCGTAAAGTGTTGTTATTCAAAATTTCATAAATGTGAGAAAGGGTGTGAAATTTCTCTGCGGCCTGTGGCGATGGGTCTTTGTCCGGATGGAACTCTAGGGCCTTTCTACGGTACTGTGAACGTATCTCAGACCCTGTGGCATCGCTGGAGACCCCGAGAAACTCATAGATATCGACTTGCCCCGAGGCAATGGCAGATAAGATATCCATGATTTTCGCGATGAGAAATTTTTGTCAATACATTTATGCCTAATCTACAACTTTTATCTAAGCCTTAATAGTTCTCAAGCCGTGGTTGGATCTAAAGATGGCATCTCCCTCGGCGTAACCTCTTCCCAATCCGAAACCAACACCCAACCAAACGGGGAAAGCTCTTCTTCTAAAAAAGAGCACCGAAGCCAAGACACCTCCTCCGAAACCAAGACCGGTTTTGATCAAGGTGTTGGAGAGAACGACGTCCCACTGTGTTAGTAGGAAAGAATAGAAAAAATGGAAAGAATGGGTGAAATGGGAAAGAATGAAATAATAGGGAAGCAATGGGAATCGATCAAAGGAACGGGAAGCAGTTAGGAATGGATGAAAGGAAACCATTACAGTTTTTCTAGTTCGTCAATGGATGTGACAATGCCCCAATTGGCTTCGACTGGCATGAACTGCGATTTTTAAAGTGGTCACAGCAAGAAAGAACTGCTAAATGTGGACTTTTTCGAGAAAAACGATCGAAAGTGATTAACTAGTATGGTGAGCTGGTCATATTGAGTATTCTAGTCGCTTCTTTCTTGTCGATTACTTCTTTCGTGTCTTTTTCATCTCAATTATCGTCCGATAATTCTTTCCACTGGACAATTTCCCACAAAAATGTTAAATTGTGCCACAAAAATGTATAATTGGTAGTTCTGTATCATTTTCCATGTTCAAAAACCCACTTTTCTTCACCGCTGGGTTCAATAATTCCACTACAAATTCATCCACTATTTCACCCTATCGCAACACCAGTCCCCGTTGCTCAAAACACTTCAAAGTCGTTTACATACCTTATCATTCAACAAGTTCTGCGATGGAGTAGCAACTTTCTGGTCAGACATACTTGCTACGATTCTAGCCACGAAACAGGTCTTGGAATTGTCGCAGTTGATTTTGGTTGGTCGACGAGCGTCGCGTGCGGGTCACATGAGCGAGCGGAACCGTGCGATCGAAAGGGAAATTAGTAGGTAGCGAGGAAATGAGTAGAGATAGGGAGGAAATGCAATAAATGATTTGTGTTACTTGTAAGGGTAATTTATGGAGGCATGAGTAGTCGAGGGTCGTAGAACATGTGAATGTGTTTATCTTGCTTTTTGGTGTCTTTTCAGCGGAATTGACTAATATGTTGCACCAGTACCCGGAGCTCTAGCGAGCATTTAGCGAGAATCTCTCATATGTCTAGGGAGGATCGTAGCGAGGATGCGCCGGCAGTTCGCGGGAGTTCCCACTTCTCGCTACTCCCACCGTGAAATTCGCATTTCTCGCTATTCGCACAGTTCGCATTTCTCACTGCAGTGCCTTTGTCGCTATTTGCAGTCCACTCCACACCTTATCTTCCAACGCGCAGCTTCATCCTGTTCTTCCTTCCGGAATGAAAGACAAGCGTGGGCGTTCCAAGACAAAGAAAACATGTCTATCGTCACACAGGGAGTCGTCTCCTCCCTCCACCAGAGTCAGAACGGTTCCTACAACGCCGTTGGATCGCACTCATCTTCTCCCCAAAAGAAGCCAAGGTCGTAGTAGACTCAACAAAATCAAGTCGCTCAGCAGAATCGAGATCCGCTCCCAGCTCCCGCGGCTCTCGGTGCTTCTGACGCCGTTGGAGGGCCCGTCACGGAAAAACGACGAACAAACGTCTCTCCGGTCAGCGTCGTCTCGCTACTCGTTCGCACTGCGACTACTCAGTATTGTCCCTAATGTGTTCCATGCCACCAGAAATTACTATAACGACTTCACCACGATCGACTGGGCTACGGCTTTTTTGCTGGCGAACAGGTTCAACTTTGAACTCAGCCACCGCCATTGGATTGTGAACGATGGTTTGGACGAAACCTCCGAAACTGGCGAGTCGAAAATTCCTTACTACTACAAAGCATACTTGATCCTGGGCAAATGGGTGCTCATAGTGGCCATTGGATTCTTGTTCTCGCTTATTGCCTTCACCATCGACAAAATTGAAATTTTGCTCGTTGGGTTCAAACATGGCTATTGTCGCAACAACTGGTTTGCAAGCCAGGTTAGCTGCTGTAACGAGCCCGTCAAGAAGAACGTGTTTAAATCGGGACTGGTGTTCACCACCAATACCAAGTGCCCGGATTGGGTGACTTGGGCCAACTTTTTCCAAGATCTTCCCTTCACCTCGGTCAGAATCGATTTTGTCATTTATGTGATGCTCACATTAATTTTGGCATTTTTGGCGTGCTCCGTCACCCTCACCACCAACATCGCCAGCCGCCGTGTGTTTGTCAAGCTGGAGTCTGACGAAGCCATGGTCCAATCCAGCTCGTCGTCTCTCGAAATTGACGAAACCACCGGTGTGGAATACCACGAAAAATACCCTTTTGGAAGATTGAACATGTACACTGCGTGTGGCTCGGGTGTTCCTGAAGTCAAGACGATTCTATCGGGTTTCGTCATTCGTCGTTTTCTCGGAACTTATACGCTCGTAGCCAAGACCATAGCGTTGATCTTTGCAATTGCTTCCGGTATGGCGTTGGGTAAAGAGGGTCCCTACGTCCACCTCGCGACCTGTGTGGGAAACATCATGACTCGGTTTGTGCCGTATGTCAAAAATAATGACTTTATGAAGAAACAAATACTCTCGGCAAGCGCTTCTTCTGGAGTGGCTTTAGCCTTTGGCTCCCCACTCGGTGGAGTTTTGTTCATCCTTGAGGAAATCAACCATTATCTTCCATCGCATCAGCTCTTCCAGGTGTTTTTCTGTGCCATCACATCGACGCTCTTTCTCAAGTTTTTGAACCCTTATGGAACAGGAAAAACGGTTCTTTTCGAGTTGAAATACACCTCAGATTGGGAAACGGTGGAGCTTCTTTTCTTCATCTTTCTTGGAGCTGCTGGAGGCGCTTTTGGAGCGTGCTTTGTAAAGTTCACTGGGTGGTGGGGAAAGACTTTCCGCAAACTAAAACCGATAAATGGACATCCTATCTTTGAGGTGTTTTTGGTGTCTTTAATTACCGGCATTGTCTCGTTTTGGAACCCATACACAATCCAAGCGTCTTCGGAATTGGTTCTAGATCTCGCTACCCCATGTTCCACCGAACTTGACCTGAGCTTGTGTCCTACCATTCATGGCGAATTTGTTCGTGAGATCAAAAGCCTCATTTTTGCATTTATTGTCAAGCTAGTGTTGACTTTTATCACTTTTGGACTCAAGGTTCCCTGTGGTATCTATGTGCCTTCGATGGTAGTAGGAGCGTTGTTTGGTCGAATTGTTGGAATGTTCATTCAATGGTGCAATTATTCCTTCAACCTTGCTGTGCCAGCCGATGGCTTGGCCACCTCAACTTCGATAATGAGGTACATTTGCTCACCAGATTCGTCCAATAACGATTGCGTGGACTTGGGAATTTACTCTATGATTAGTGCTGGAGCATTTATGGCTGGTGTAACCAGAATGAATATTGCTCTAGTCACCATTCTCTTTGAACTCACAAGCTCATACACCTATGTTTTGCCAATCTCAATAGCCATTGCCGTTGCGAATTGGGTTGGAAGTGTGCTAGAGAAAAACTCGCTTTACGAGTCTCTCCTCATACAGAACGACTACCCATTCATGTCTTCTGAGACTGAGCCTATAGACCCATTTGTCAAAACTCGAGACATTATAGACGATAGCGAAGTTTATGACTGGACTGAACATTCCAATTATGACACCCACAAGTCAAGAAGAGGCACCAATCCTTCCAGTCTCCAAAACTCACCATTGGTGCTGGCTGGTGGAATGAAGGTGAACCAATTGGCTCGAGTTTCAAATCATGTCTACGACAGTGACAAACTTTACATTGATATCAGTGACTCGGTCCATGTTCCCATGTCATATTTGAAACTGAAACTTCATATGCTTGCAGACAAGTACCTTCTAGATGGGTGTATTCCACTTATCAGGCATCATGTATGCGTTGGGCTCATCTACTTTTCTGAGCTCGAATACTCACTTGATAAGCTCGCTGAGTTCTGCCTTCAAAATGAAGTGGTAGAAGATCTTGTGTGCAAATTGGCAGAAGACGACGGTGATGAAAGCAGAGATCTCAACTATAACATTCTAAGACAAAAACTAGAGTTTTCAAAGCGGCAAGCGGGAGTTCAATTGGATTACTTCAACTATGGTTCCCATGAAGAATACGATGACATGAACGAAGAGCTCTCCAACCTCACAAACACCTTGGAGTCTTTGTCTGACCTCACGTGCTTCGTCGACTATTCTCCTATCTTCTTGAGCTACGATTCTGAGTTGGCGTTGGCACATCTTATTTTCGATCGAATTGGAAACCGGGTGATTGTGTTGTTGAAGGATGGAAAGTATTATGGGGTTTTGCATAAGAAGGTGTTGATTGATTACTGCCGGCAGGCGGAGACATAAGAAAGAACTAAGCATGGTATTGAATATGAATACTGAATTTACATCAAACGTTTTCATTGTATATTCTCTCTGATATCGAAATTTTCGCAAATTGCAAAAAATGAAATATTCATAAAAATACTAAATATTCTTCAACCGCAGAACGAAACTAATCAGTGAATTGATATGAAGTAGTAAGTATATTGAAGCATTCCCCAACTAAACTTATAATACAAAATCGGGGAAGCAAAATCGGTATATTGATGAAAATTTGAATTTCAAATTTTTCATAAAAATTGCTAATTGTCAATTGCCAATTATCTAATTGAACAGTCCAAGACCGAACGGCCGCCGTTTCATCCTCGTATTCTTGACACATCTTGTTACAATGTTGCAACTACATATACGGTGCGGCGCAGTGCATGGGTGTTCCTGCAGCTGACATACCACATTTGCAGCCACTGCAATATAAAAGCAGCCAATTTTCCCCCCTAAACAAAACTCATCAAATGCCACCAAAGATGGAGAAATTGGTAGATTTGGACTACGCCAACAACTATGTGCATTCAGGGACCCTTCCTGTCACCTATATAAGCAACGTGGAGAACGCAACTCAAGGGTATCCAAGATTACAAAAACTCAAAGATTTGAAAAAAGACCAAATTCTGAAACACGCAATTACTCCTTGTGGAGCAAGGGTCCGATCTCAGGATATAGTCAGCACCCTTCATACGTGGATTCATGAGTACAATCTACAATTTGATGTGGTGATGATTGGAGCTTTGGTGGATAATCAATTCATCCGTCCAATTCTCGAACAGCTTCCGTTGCATCGTCTTTGTGCCAAACCGGGATTTCTCTTCGTATGGGCAACATCCCGTAAGATTCAGGAGCTCAGTAAGATTCTCGCGGGCGAACAATGGAACAAAAAGTTTCGTCGGTCGGAAGAACTTGTGTTTGTTACCATCGACAAGTCGTCGCCTTATTACCCGGGAAACGATAGCTACAGTAACCCGGATTGCATGTTTGAGAACCAACAGTGGCACTGCTGGATGTGTATCACCGGAACCGTCAGAAGGTCCACCGACAACCATTTAATTCATTGCAACGTTGACACCGATCTCCAATTGGAGCCAAGAAAGACAACAATTGCTGAATATAACGCGGTCCCGGATACAATGTACCGAGTTGCAGAGAACTTTTCCAACGCCAACCGCCGCTTGCATATCATTCCATCGAGAACTGGATATAATACCCCAGTTCGGTTGCGTCGCGGATGGGTGATCATGAGTCCCGACGTCATGGTCAACAACTTTAATCCCCTACAATACGAACAAGAGCTCTATTCAAAGTCTACAGTGAAGTTTAAGAACGGGAGCCATTCGGGACCTCAAGTGCTCGTTCCGCAAACAAAAGAAATCGAGGATCTTAGACCCAAAAGTCCAGTACCAAATGGAGCATCCAACTGAATTAGTATTTGTCAAGTAAAGCCATGCTCAGATAGGTTGATGAATGTTGGAAACGAAATTCTCAGCATTGTAAGACTCTGAGTGAGCTGAGTTGGTATCATCATAACATGAAAACTTACGTTTTTGTTTTGCAGAGTTTGCATCGCATCGACTCTGATATTAGCACGGGCGGGTAACGGCAGCGGTGTGCGGGCGGTATCCCCAATCCGGATTAGAGAGGGGCGGACCTGCAAAATGTCGCCGGCGGAGCCCGACCGCGACGGAGCCGAGGCATCGGAGAATATCGGAGAACACGCACCGATCCCCATGGTGTTGCGGCGCTTTTATGAGCCACACAATGGTGTTACGGGCATGTCGGTAGCCAATTGAGATAGGGTCAATCCTGATTTCGGATGAGAATACCGTTTTCGTATCCGATTGCAAGAACCGATGAAAAGAGAATAAGTCAAAAGCCTGAAAACGAACCACAATTGCTGATCTGCCAATTGCTATTCTACATACTAACCTACTATGCTATTCTACACTGCTACCGTCGCTTTCCGTTCTGTTTTTCTTTGCTTCCGGCTGGTTGTCGCACCTGCATTCGGACTCGAATTTTTTTGTCCTGATTATAGAGGTGCGGGGACACTACCCCGGCCTTCCCCAGATTTCCCGCCGGGGTATATATATAAGCCGGTCTGCCCATTCTTGCCGCGTTACAACTTTGAAAATGTCCTCAAAAATCACAGTTAAGAATCCCATCGTGGAGATGGATGGTGATGAGATGACCAGAATTATCTGGAAGTTCATCAAGGACAAGCTCATCACTCCATATTTGGACGTGGATTTAAAGTACTACGATCTTGGAATCGAGTACCGTGATCAGACTGATGACAAAGTCACCACCGATGCTGCTGATGCTATTCTCAAGTATGGAGTTGGTGTCAAGTGTGCTACCATTACTCCCGATGAGGCTCGTGTGAAAGAATTCAACCTTAAAAAAATGTGGCTTTCTCCCAATGGAACTTTGCGTAATATTCTCGGAGGAACTGTTTTCAGAGAACCAATTGTGATTGACAACATTCCAAGAGTTGTGCCCACATGGGAACAGCCCATCATCATTGGTCGTCATGCTTATGGTGATCAGTACAAGGCAACCGATGTTGTGATTCCGCAGGCTGGAGAATTGAGCTTGGTGTTCAAGCCGGCAGACGGTTCTGAGACGAAAACCTATCCAGTTTTCAACTATAAGGCTCCCGGAGTGGCACTTTCGATGTACAACACCGATGAGTCCATCACTGATTTCGCCGAATCGTCGTTCCAATTGGCGTTGCAGCGTAAGATGAATTTGTTTTCTTCGACCAAAAACACCATTCTCAAACGTTACGATGGAAGATTTAAGGATATCTTTGAGGGTTTGTACGAGTCCAAGTATAAGAAACTCTTTGACGAGGCAGGAATCTGGTACGAACACAGACTTATTGATGACATGGTGGCTCAGATGTTGAAGTCCAAGGGTGGCTATATCATTGCCATGAAGAACTACGATGGAGATGTGCAATCAGACATTGTTGCACAAGGTTTTGGATCGCTTGGTTTGATGACTTCGGTGTTGATGACTCCAGATGGAAAGGCATTCGAAGCCGAAGCTGCTCATGGAACCGTCACCCGTCATTACAGACAACACCAACAAGGCAAGGAGACGTCGACAAACTCCATTGCTTCCATATATGCTTGGACGAGAGGAATTATTCAAAGAGGTATTCTTGACGAAACCCCAGAAGTAGTGAAGTTTGGTGAGGCATTGGAGAAGGCTGTGATTGACACAGTATCCAAGGACGGAATCATGACCAAGGACCTTGCTTTGACCCAGGGTAAGACCGACCGCTCGTCGTATGTTACTACTGAAGAGTTTATTGATGCAGTCAAGGTGAGATTAGACAAGAACCTTGCTAAATAGAGGAAGCAGAAGATAACTTATTTATAGGAAAGCTGGTCAAAAGATTTAGGAAACAAAAATCATAGCACTAAACATAACATCTAGCTTTTCCTCTTCCTTTTCCTCTCTCTCGCTCTTCCCACCCGTACACCACATCCTGACAAGAAACAATTCACAACTTCCACGCCAATGAATGTGGGGTCGATATTAAATAACGACGGGCCTGTAGACGCTGGTTCTGTCACTGCCAATTCCAGTGCGCTGAATCTGCCTGTAGCTCGTCCCGGAGCTTCGGCAAGACCAGAACGACATTCTATTGTCAACTTGTTGAACGACGATGAGAAAAGCGCAAAAAACAAGAACATTTTGAACAAAAAAGATGCCGAAAAGAAGCAACATGAGACACCTAGCGGCTCTCTGGGTACACAGGACTTCAATGGAGACTTCAGTACACAAAAATCTATAAAAAGCGACGAAAATCAACGTGCCCAAAATGCCCCGGTCGATGAATTGGCCCGTCTTCACAAGCTTAAAAGCCTGACAAAGCCCACACGGTACACCGTGCCTCCCATTTGGGCACAGGAATGGAATCCAAGCAAATCTGGAGCTCCAGAGCCTACTATTCAAGGACCACCTGATATTAGCGGAACGTATTTATCTTCCAAACGGGTGTTTGACCCAACTATAACCACCAGCGTTGATCTCGAGTGCTCTATAACAGGCGTAATACCACCCGCTTCAGTTACCAGGACAGTGGCTGAATGGGTATATGCAAATTTCACCGAGATTCCCAACGACCAAAGACAGAATGTTGAGTTAGAAGCCAAATTTGGACTTATAGTTGACAAGCGAAGTGGCCGGCGGATCGATATCAGCGTGGCTTCCGAGTGTATTTTCACCGACAAGGCAAATACTCATTTTGACATGGGTGTTCATGAAGTTGGCTGGCGAGCCATGTGCGATTTTTTGGACGAACTCGAGCGGAAATACCAGGAAGAGAACCGCAAAAGCAACACCAAGACAAAACACAAGTTTTCCCGACTAGAATCCGACGTTACAGACCGGTTTTATGAAATTAGTGAACGCAATTCGCAACCGAAAACCATGAGAGTTTCCACCGATGCTCTTCTGAAACGCCAGTGGGGCATCAACAAGCAGAGACTCAGTGACTTGTACATCCACAACCCGCTGTGTATGCACGATCTTCGGTTATCTCTTCTGTATGAACATCCGATTCCCGAGACCAGTCTAGAGTCGATTGTCTCCAAAAACCAGCCTGTTCTTACCAGAGCCAAGAAACGGACTTCGTGGTCCCACCGGCCCACCGTGACCACGTTTGACCTTACAAAAGTACAGACACCTCGAGAACTGAAAAATATGAAAGGAAAGAAGATTGTAGACCAAGACACCAGCTACGAAGTGGAACTCGAAGTGGATACTCCAGAACTATTTTCAGGCTACGATTTGTTTAAGACCGGCGCAGATACCATTCGGTTTGAGGAATTGATAGAGATTTTCCTCAACAATGCCCGGTGCCTAAATAATCGGGTTACCAAGATGGCCAACAAGTAGTAATATACAGGGAAAGACTTGACCGCCTGCAGGATTTCGCGTCGTGTCGACTTTCTTCAGTCGACTCTTCAACAGGTGGTCAATCCATGCCCATCAACATTACGGGGCTCTTTGTGGCACTTTTGGTGCTTTGGGTGGTAGCAGGAGCAGCGCTGTATGGTCTAGTGTTTATATTCAAGCACCAACCTCGTCCAGAAACCTCAAATGAGAAATTATACTACACTAATGATGGCCTTGAAGACACAACTTATTCGCTTCCTTCGAGACTTCTGTCAATAACAGACGGCCCAAGTGCCACTACAGACCTCAGTGTGGTGATTCCTTGCTATAACGAGACCGAGAGGCTAGGAAAAATGTTGGACGAAGCAGTGGGGTACCTTCGGTCCACGAGGTTGAAGTATGAAATCATAATTGTCGACGATGGAAGTCAAGATGGTACCGACAAGTATGCCTTGAACAAAGCGGTGGAGTTGAAGCTCGCTCCTCATATCATGAAAGTTGTAAAATTGGATCACAATCGTGGAAAAGGTGGAGCTGTGACTCACGGCTTGTTGCATTCGCTGGGAAAATTGGCACTTTTTGCCGATGCCGATGGTGCTACCCAATTCAGCGATGCTGAGCACCTCATTACTTATCTCCAGAAGCTTCCAGAAGACAGTGCTGGTGTCGCTATTGGGTCCCGAGCCCATATGGTCAATACGGAAGCGGTGGTAAAACGGTCGTTTATTCGCAATTTTCTCATGTACGGGTTGCACACGTTGGTGTATGTTTTCGGGATCCGAGACGTCCAAGATACCCAATGTGGGTTCAAGATGTTCAACAGAAAAGCGGTGAAAATGATCTTTCCACATATGCATACTGAAAGATGGATTTTTGATGTTGAGGTGCTTCTTCTTGGCGAAATACAGGGAATCAGCATGCGAGAAATCGCGGTTAATTGGCAGGAAATCGGAGGATCCAAAATAGATTTGGCTCGAGACTCCATAGGCATGGCCATCGATTTGGTGGTGACAAGATTGGCTTACATTTTTGGGGTCTACAGGTTGGACGAATGCGGCAACGAAACCAAGAAAAAGGAGTAACAAGGTACGAATAGAAATAGGAATAGAAGAAATAGATACTAGAGTCTTTTGCTAAACTGGACAGACGCTTATAAGACGAGGCTAGACATGTTCAAACAGATAATCCGATATGGTGTAATGGCTAGCACAGTTCGCTCTCACCGAGCAGATCGGGGTTCGATTCCCCGTATCGGAGTAAAAATTTTTTTTCGCGGTGCGTCGGTTTCAATATTTTTTGCAGCCCAGAAACGACAGAAAACTGGGGAAAAAAGGACGAGTAAGAGCGCGCAATTGGGATGCAATTGAGCTGAAATTGAGATGGCTTCGTCGGCTTCTTCTAAAATTTGACACGCTTTCTCTTCTGGCTCCCTAAATCATACGGCATCGTCAAATTGGACTGCACATCCATACACCGGTACCTTCTCGGTTATTGGTTATCTGCAGTGATCAATTGTGTTGAATGCAGGTTCTGCATGATGCATATGCATCGTGTAGACGTCACATGAGACAAATAGAATTATACACTAGGAAAAGACACTTACAAACCAATCAGTATCTCAGTACCTTCATCAGTCATGCAGAAATTAGTCTATGCACTTAAATTTCATCTGCACAAAAACTCGCTGAAATTGACCCTATCAGTCAATTACATCACGACATGCAAGTATCTGCACCTGTCTACCCCTATCGTCAAAATATGCCCAATTAGCCAAAATCTATTGTTTCGAGTGAGCTAACGGTGCCGCAAGCACATGCATACATGAAATAATGCTGATACGGGAGCGCTATTGTGTGATCGTGACATCGCATGCGGTTAGAAGCATAAGAAAACTTTTTACTGGTCCGCTACTCCTCTCCGATTCCCGGCAGCCCAATCAGGCGGTCATTAGCCCAATAAAGTGCGGATGCATTTGACAGTGGACCTCGAATGGGAAAAATTGCATAATCGTGCAGAGTTCAGGTAGTTGCATGACAGCGCCTTATGACATGCGCGACTGCAAACGGCTAACAAATTGAAAGTTGGTTGCGCGTGCGCAATTATATATAACCAAGTCGGCGAAATTAAATTTGCAATTGCATTTATTTAGCACTGCAATCACTAGCTGACGAAAAGATTGATTTTCAGTGCAATTGAAACCAATTGACATATTGAAGATTAGATAACAATCATTCTTCAACCTACAATTCAAAACTTTCCATACTTTCCTTTAACAATTTCACATACAAACCGTCACAATTCAGGCCGAATTTATGTCCGCATATATCCTCCTCGCCTCGAGGCAAAGTGCTGAAACTTCACTCAGAAAGCACAGGAACCTCTCGCTGTCTTCGAGTAGTCGGAGTTCTGCAAATTCTTCCGGTTCGAGTTCACGAGTAAAACGGTACGACATAGCCTCCAATACTTATGTCGAAACCAGATCTGTAAGTTCCGCAGATAGTGATGTTCTCAGTTATCAACGAGCCAAAGATCGGTTGGCTCGCAGTCCTTATTATCACAGCAACTTTCTTTTGAACCAAGAACTATTTGGTAACACCAAACTTTTCTCGTCTCGCAATTTGGAAATATTGCGATTTACATATTTTGAAAAATTCACCACCGATGAAAATTGCATCAATGTTTCGGGAAAATCGCCGTATATGAGGGAAATAAACCGTATACGACAAGGAAAAAGCAAACACCAAAATGAAGGTGAAAAATTTCAAAATGAAAGTGAAAAATTTCAAAATCAAACCCACGACAATTATGACAATTATGACAAGCTCAGATCTTCTTCCTCCGTTCAGCAGATTCTCCTTTCGAGCCAATTTTGGAACGACATCTACCAAGAAATCAAATTCCAATCGTCCGGCAATATCAACTACTTTGACCTTATGCCATCTATGACCCACTGTCAAACATTTTTTTCAGCAACTTTTGACTATCTATTGTATCATATTATGGAGCTCACACCTCCGGAATCAATGCCTCATCAAGACCCTTTTGTTCATTTTACCGATTTCGACTATGGATTTATCTCCAATATGGGCCGGGTTCACGTGCAAGAATTTGCCACCCAGCATCACTTTTGCAGCTATTTTAGAGCAGCACCATCAAAAACAGCATCGGTGGAAATCCATATCAAGCTCTTGACGGTTTTGGTTCAAACAATGATAGATAATTTGAGGCAAATTGTGCAAACTGGGAATCGTAATCGGCACTCAAAAGTGGTTGATTTATGGGAACAATTTATGACATTTGTTATGATGCAATTGATATTTACTCCTGATAACAGAGACCGCTTGGAAAAGCTCCTGGTACCTCCAGTTAAAGAGTACGAATTTCCTAGTCCTAATATTGATCAGGAAGAAGAATTTCGCAATTCGAGTCTCGAGTCAATTACATCCAAAACCACCGGTCCTGCATCTATCGTATCAGCCACCAATTCTATGCTGATCTCGTCACCCGACTCCGAGCACGACGAGCCGGAGTGCACAAAGACCCCCAAGCGCCGGGTGTTTCAGTTTTTTAGGAAATGAACGTTGTCTGCACCTCCGCTTCCCCTCTGCATGCTTATTTGCGTTCTCCCGTGCACCTGCTTCTTGCGCTCTGCGCTCTGCACTGCTTCCTCTCTACGCTTGGCGACATGTAATGCACTCAGGTACCGCACGTGCCGCCTGCATGGTTGTCTGCACCACGAAAGATTAGCGCTTTGCACAGAAAAAGACAAGCATTCAGATCACTTAAATGAAACTTCCATCACTCTTGAGAATTAGTACCACCAATCTTCCATCTCTTTGTCCCTTGCTTTTTTTTTTCGTTATCTGTGCCGAGAAAAATTTCCAAATTCCCTGCATATGCGAACGGAACCCCCGTGCCCACCTGCAGTCACTAATCCCCATTCGGAATATTTATTATTTACGATGCGTCTATATTTATCCTGTTGTTGTGGATACCAAGGGGCTCCATAACCTTCGATGCTTTCTGCAGCAAGGGTCATTTATTAGCGCATATATAAGCGGCCCACTTTCCACTTATTTTATTTGCCATAATCTATTCCTTCATCCACAACCCTTGTCGCTTGTATCCTTAGTGCGGCTCATTAATTAAAATATTGTGGTGTTGGGTCTCCATATATATTGCATCATCTCCTGAAGGTTTTTCTAATTCTTAATGATACCCCCTGCAACTTCAGACTCCAGTCTCTTACGAGAACATGCCTTTTATGACACCGGAAATCTGAAATATTCGCTCGGTTCCAAGTTTGATTACTACCAAAATACTTTGAACGAGTCAGAAACTGCATCCACAATTTTTGCAATATTGCTCATAATTACCCTTGTCCTCATGTTTCTCAACTTTGTTCCTAGAATCAGACACATGCACCGGCACCAGGTGCAGCGCGAGAAGCACGGGAGTGTCGAAATGGTGTAATCTCGGAATATTTTGCTTTCAATGAAAGTCATCCGTGGCTTAATCTAATACAATCGTCCAAACTTTTGGACTCATCGCCGCTTATAAATGGCTAATTGGCTAGCCGCCTTTCGATAACAAACCAGTCCAGTGGTCACTGGTCTAGCTCATTCCTTGCCAGGCTTCATGCCAGCTTCTTGCCAGGCAACTTTGCATACAATTCTTTTCGTGAATTCTTTCGGTCATCTTTGGTCATCTTTGGTCTTTAGCATAATATACTTTAGTGTCCAGCCTGTAGATCTACCGCTTTCGTTGCACCATATCCAACTCGATGTCCCATATGTTCCAGTCGTACCAGATTAAACTGGGAAATATAGTAAAGAAATGCCACATTGAATGAGCATCAAAGATACCCCATACTGGATCAAACTCCATAAGTTCAAAAGCCATTCCCAAAACCATCCAAATGTTGAGAAATACTGGAAGTGTAGGAATATACTTGGATTCTGCAAAACCAACATGTTCAAGTTTTGAAAGGATTTTAGTCTCGAATGGGAGTAGCTGGATTGAATTATTGAAGAAATGAGGGTTTTTGGCTACAATTCGAGAAACAGCCAAAGAATGTAAAATCCACAATGCCAATGAACTGAGACCGAAAAATAACCCAAATGCCATATTGTAAAGGTAATCCCAGCGCCTTAAAAGTTTGCAGCAATGGAGCACAAACACTGTTATTAATCCACATTGAAAAACAAATCGTCTCTGGTGGTTTTTTGACCGAAAAAGGTCAAAGTACCGAACCATAATGGCATTGAAATTTGCCAAAATAATGCCTGCTGCACCAAAATAGTCCAAAGTTTCGGTGATATTGTTGTCCCGTGTATGGAAAAGCGTACTGAATGTCCAGCCAACTACACTAACAACCACAAGCACCATATACTGCCAGTACATTGTCGCAACGTCGCTATTGGATCCGTGTTTTTTGAATTGTTTCTGCAATTTTGGCCAGTTTCGGTAGCTAGCCATCATGTTTCCGATCGAAAATACCACTGAGGCAAACTCTTGGATTCCCAAAATCCGTACAAACGGCCATTTTCCATAAAATTGCACGATTTCATGGCCATTGTTTTCACGTGAAATTGTCACCAATCGCTGGCATTTATAGTTACAATCCAGCAGACAGTCCCACAGGAAAACAATCCGACACACTGGATTCACACTAAACTTTTCAAACTCTTCTAACTGGTATGAAGATGGAGGAACAGAGTCGAGAACAAGCTGGGGAAGTGGGTGATCCAGACGTGGATTGGAACATGAGTACAACTCGTCACAGTGCAGTAAGCATTTCTGGAACTCGGGAAGCCAATCTCCAACCGAAGCAAGCGCCAAAGACGCATGGAAGGCAATGGCTGATAAACGAAACCAGTACATGTTGAAGTAATGAGCATTGGTGGTGAAGTAGGTGTGTGCAGGAAGACAAGTTCGGGACAAAATTGACAAGACAAGTTGACACCTAATAGCTGGAAAACTGATCTGGAAAACGAAAAGTCATGGTCGGTGTTTTCTGGCTGAAATGTTCTCGTTCATGTTCAAGTTGATGGTTTTTCATGACTCTACTATTTGCAACATTAATGCAGAATTCATAAATTTTGCAAATATCTAGAAATTTGAATTTGAGAAGTTATTTCTTGAAGCTGAACAGGATGTTGCTTCTTCGACATGCAGCATACATTCTATTATCTGACCAACCATATAAGCCAAACATAGAGCCGAAAATCAATTGTAATGAAGCTGTCATAGTCGCGAAATTCCTATTATTCAAGAAAGCCTTAAATGGAAAGCATTGAAATGAAACTCTTCCGACTGAATATTTGGCTCTTCTGAATCAAAAGGTACCACAACCACAAGACAATAGCCAGTATCCATAGAAAGATAAATAAGGGAAGTTGAACAAATGGGCTGGTAATAGTCATATTCATTTTGACCGTGATTGACCATGTTTGAAGGGTATTCTTTCAGAGCAATGGTTGCAAAAAATAAAGAACTTTCGTTAAAAAGGATAACACAGAAATGAAGAGTAAAATGAATGGTCGGGCAAGGAGTAAACAAAATATAAAAGTCGGTAATTGTTGCAACGGCTCGCATTCTGCGTGAAAACTTGCAACCAATCTGGTCCGCATGGACCCAGACACCACGACATATATAATGGATCAGATATATCCCCTCACATACATATACTTGCAATACATGTAAAAGTATATAGGTATCGGTTATGACCCAGATATAAGTATATACTGTTTCTAATTTCGATTTGATAAGTAATCCCCATAAAATATTATGACTTTGACAGCTACGTTCTGTTGATATGACTGATATGATTAGGCATTGAAGCTCAATTAGATTAAACAACGAAAAACGAGTCGAATAAATATACTTCCGGACGGGTCATTTATCCGCGGATATATATATGCGTTCGATTAATGTAACTTTTCGAACAGTTGCAAAAAGATTTCTTCCGCTACGAGGGGTAGGAAGATAAAAGATACTTGCAACAAAAATGAGGGCCACGTATATAAGCTCAAATTGTATGAGTGTCCGGTAGTACCAAGCTTAATCCGAAAATAGATAACCCAACTTGCAACTAAAAGACTCCCAGACACCTCAAAACGGTCCCCTCATTATATAAGCTTGTCCAGTGTGTCCGCACTTAAAGATAGCGGAGATACCTAATAAAGTTAAGTGCGCATACTAATCGGGATACACACTGTATCTAACAATTAGATCCAGGCCTTTTTCGGAAACAACTGAAAATAGTAAAAGCACCTTATTCAAAATAAACTAAACTGGTATTTCAATCAATACAATAAATCCGATAAATTTAATAATCCAAGTAAATCCGGTCATTGTCAATCCACGTTCACCTTGCATGCTATCGATACCCCGTCTTATGTAATGCGTCTTGCTCTGATAATTGCGCTCAAGGAGGCAGAGGACAATAGCCGTCTATGCAGTTTGCCATATTTACGGAGTTCGTCACGTAGACGTAGTCGCAAGAACATTGAACGAAGTCCCGAAGGAACCGAGTCCTGAAGTTACCAAAGTTCTGAAGTTTAAAGTAAAGAAGAAGAATACGTAAAAGACGTAAAAAACATTAAACCACGAATTGCCATTTACAGAGCGTAGCTCTTATTCGTTCTGCTTACCTCTTCCAAAATCAATAGGAACACTACTCACGCCTCAAATTAGTAGGCTGCGAAAAATGGTAATGCGAAAAACAGTGCGAAAATAGTATTGCGAAAAATACTTGCGAAAAATACTGCGCAAATCTCAAACCAAAAATCAAACGATAAAGATAGATTTGTATAACACATCTAGCCTCAATTCCGATCCGAAGATCATTTGATTCTCTCACATAACAAAAATCTAATTTTTTGAAAATCTCCTTTCGTCTCCTTTTTCCAGTCCTTTTTCTACTCCTTCCTCTCCTTCCTGGACCAATCGCCGTAATGGTATTTTCATAAAAAAAAAATCCACAGAGTGCAGATTGAATGCAGGCTGTGCAGGAGTCAGATGTTCCGGCAATTCACTCCCTGCAACCTATCGCATCTTGCAGCTAAATTAGAACCTTTTTGGGAGTTTCTTGGACCCCCGCACAGTAACTTTGAACCCCATCACCACCCCCACGTTGATTGCGCTTTCACAAAACTGGTTTGTTATCCCGATTTCATCCCCTCCTTGACAGTTTGGCTCGGCCTAAACGGGAAGCGCGCCGCACGCGGCGCATTGTCTTGTCTAAATTTTTCTTTCTGAAAAAAAAATTTTTGTTCCCCTCTGAAAAAAAATTCTGGCTTATAAACATATATAAATCCTAGTGGCGAGAAAAAATCTGGCACTTTATTCCATACCACAGGATTTTATTTTTTCACAGGAAGCAGACTGATTGAAAGCATTAACTTCAGGAACTCTATCAATTGACAATTATCGTCTCTGATAAGACCTACTACTACTTTTTTGATTTACCCGTTTTTTTAAGAGCAAACATTTCAAAATCAAGTTCCTAGCAATAGCTATTCATGTCTCGTAAGTCTACTTCTTCCAACTTTACCATGAAAAATAAAACTAACCCTGAAGGTCTGTCCACCTTGGACTTGGCTGCCACCGGACCAAACCCGGAGTCGCAACCGGCTACTAAACGCAGAAAGGTGGATGTCAAAAATGACGCTTCAGATAAACTTGACCCCGTGGAGAAACTTTTGAGTTTTGCCGACCTTCACAATGATATTCTCCACTCGTTGGATCAGGAAACTCATAATGAACCAGAAGAATGTGATGATTTACCCCCTTCTTCTACCCCAACTCCTTCCAATATTTCTGTTAATTTCACCAATATGCTCCAGGAGAACTTGCGCCACTACTATTCCAATTGCAAAAGGGGCCCACTCGAGGTTTATAATGCCAATTCTTCGTTTGCCATCCTCAACAAACCTCTTATTAAAGAGCAACCCCCACTTCCAGCCCCCACCCGTCACGAGGTTCCATTTTTCAAAAATGTCAACTTCAACCCTAACGCCAAGTCTTCCTCTGCATACACGTTTGACGAGTACCTCGCTTATGACGATGACGAGCCGGAATCGACATCGGAGTCAGATAGCGATAACTTGTCACCCGATACACCCACTTCGGCCCACCCATCTCCCATTCCTACCAACCTGAAAATGTGTTTCCACTACAGGCAATTCAATAATAACCTCAATCTTTCGTCCCACCCATCACAGGCCCCACAAGAAGACATTTTACAATTCTTGAACAAGAGATCTATCATTTCCGGCAGAGCCAGCGAGATGGTGAGTACCGGAAACTTTATGATCAATGACTTCTTCTTATAACGATCGCTCTATTTCTTTGTGTATATTTATTGTATGTTACTGATGATTTCTGTAGAACAATCTCAATTTAGTTATACAATCTCTCTAGTTTTATAATCTCACTGTATCTTATCTGTCCTGTCCACGTGACAGAACACGTGACACCTCAGATAATATGCCAGCAACCGAATTCATGTTTTTGCCATGTCATTGCTAGCGTATATTTACACTTATTTATTGGGTGGTTTCACATTCTTACCCCTATGCGTACTAGCAATATACTACTTGCACCCAATCCGTCCTGATAGTCCCAAACCAGCCAAAAATCAAAAAAAATTTAGAGCAGGCGAAATCGAAGATGAAGCAAAATCCGGGGTACAGGCGCTTAAAGCTGGTTGGGTCACTGTAACCCACGAATACTGGCAGTCTACAGAAGACATATCGCTGCTGACTCAAGCAGTGAACGATTCGACAGATAACAAATCTGCGTATTCGTCACTCTATAAGCTTGCAAATAAAGCTGATGAAGCCGATAGTAATTCTAGTTCTGCTTCTTCTTTGGTTATAGGACCAGGATCTCCTACGTCGGACGAAAAGAATATAAAAGGACCACAGAAAAGACACAGATTTTATGCTGTTCTTAAACATGGAAATTTGTTTCTTTATAAAGATGCCACAGTCAAAGATGTGAAACATGTAATTGTTTTATCGAGTCAAGTTGTCACCATTTGGCCACGAGGAATTGCAGATAGCCAATTGTTCACGAAAAACTCCGCCATTTGTATCATGAAAAAAGACTGGTCCAGACACCGGCGACTACTGGACAGCTTTGATTCCGATACGGTTTCTACTCATGAAATTATTGCTACGGAAAACAAACACCACATACAGCCTCCTAAGGGATCGGTTTTCTTGTATTGTGACTACAATATAGATAAAGAGGACTGGTACTTTGCGTTAATTAGGGCGTCAAAATCTGACACTACTCCATCTCCATTGAATCCAAATGTGTTTGCCAAGCCATTGCATTTTGCAACCGATGATATGATCGATATGATCCAAACATTGTACAGTGCCGAGGGCCAACTCCATTCAAAATGGTTCAATGCAATAACTGGAAGATTATTCTTGGCTTTACAAAGAACTCCGGCTATGAGCGCATTTTTGGAGAACAGAATTGCTAAAAAACTCAACAAAATCAAAACTCCTGGTTTTCTTGATAAGTTTCAGATCAAAAAGATCGACCCAGGAACTTCAATTCCTTTCTTCACTTATCCGTCTCTCAAAGAAGTCAACCCCGATGGAACTCTCGTCCTTTCTGTATGTGTCCACTACCATGGTTCCATGGCCATCCAAATTGCAACCAAGGCCAATATTAAACTCGGAAGCACTTTCAAGCCTCGTGAGGTGGATCTACTCTTGTCTGTGACCCTTGAAAAGTTGGAAGGACAAATGATCATCAAGTTCAAACCTCCACCATCGGACAGAATATGGTATACTTTTGAAACGGAACCTACAATGGACTTGAAAATTGAACCTATTATCAGCTCACGGCAGTTCAATTACAACATTATTACCAGCACTATTGGAAAAAAGTTCAAGGAAGCCATTCGAGACAGTTTGGTGTTACCGCATTATGACGACTTGGTGTTCCACGATACTCTAGGAGAAATTTATAGAGGAGGAATATGGGACCAGGAAGCAAGAGGAACCGATTTCGACACTGCAGAGGTGTCGACCCCGGCAGATTCAGATGCGGCTTCAAGCATCGCCAATGATATCGACTTGGACAAGTCCGCACCTTCGGCTGCGAAAGTTCGGCTTTCCAATACCATCAATGATTTCACGAAAAAGCTCAAGAAATCCAAATCATCTCACACGGTTGCTTTGAACGAAGATCAATGTTTGTCCGATGGATCTTTCGTTGACGCCAACAAGAATCAAGAGGGAGAGAGCGACACTCATGATTCTTCCATCAGCAAAAAGTCAATGAACACCTTGAAAAAAATTGGACAATGGTACTTCAAAGACGAAAAGAAAGGTGAAAGTACTGTTACTCAATCACCAGATATGATTCTGAATAGGCGTACGCCCAGAAAGTCCAATGCTGACATGACCCATTCTGCTGCCTCAAGCATGTCCAACCAACCTTCCAGCCCCAAAAATTACATTTCAAGCAGCGCTTTTATTCGTGAAGGAGAACATGTTGACTTCCCGCAACCTTCAAGTAGCACCCGAGAGTCCATGATTGAGCCAGATGCAACATCTTTGAGTTTCGGCGTAACTTCTTCGGCAAGAGAAGAAGACTCGTCCACCAGTAGCGCACGCAGTATACATGCGGCAGAACCCAGTTTGACAGAGGTGACTCCGGCAGTAGCGTTGGCTGAAGATACTCCCAGTTTGGCTCATTCGAAACTAAGAAGAAAACCTCCACCAGAAAGCTTAGCCAGTTTGGAATCGCATGAGAAATCACAAGAAGACGAAGAAATGAGTGAAGAAATGAACCAAGAGGCTACTATGGAAGAAAACGACCAAACCGACATCTAGTTCTATGCAATATACTTAAATATAGGGTGCCCAGCCGCCATACATTTGGCTGAGGTTTTCCGTAGAAGTTGCTTCCTGAATTAAAACATCAACTTGGCCATTGATATTCATAGGAAGCCCTTCTTTCTCATCCATGAGACCTCTGATCTTTCTTCGCACGGTACGAAGATGATCCTGTGGGTCTTGCTGTGTTCTCCAATCCAACAAAGGATCGTATAAAAGCGTTTCAAGATTATTCATCAACGGTGCTTCATTTTCTCTCAAAATCGATCCTGTAACCTCACACGAGATTCTGAACAGTCCTTCGACTCCACTAATCGACATAACGTCGACCATGTTCTGCGTGAGTCTGAAAGGAACTATTTCTGGAGTCGGTAAGGTTTTTCCCTTTTCAAATAGACAATCAAAATCAATGTGCAAAGCCGCTCCCGTCTTCTTGAAAAATAAAATGTTTTCACAGTGTCGGTCTCCAAGTCCAATGATATAGCCCACAATCGACATAACTGCTGTAGATCGAGTAAATGCCGTTCTAGCAAGGTACCACGAGGACGGATCTGAGAACTGGTTTACCAACCAAGCATGTAGAACTGGTGGTGCTTCGTGACAGATATCTTCAAACAAGGCGATCAAATCTTCAATTGACTTTCTGTCGGCGGCAGATTTGCTTTTAACTGCCTTCTGTCCCAGATCTAGTCTCAAGAACATTTTTCTGTCATTCACCATTTGCCCACGTTTCTTACGCTGTTCATTGATAATACCTTTCATGGTATCAACGTTCAGCACGAACTCAATCACACCCATGTTTTCAGCTAGTGGCACCACCGAGTAGTTTGCAATTGTGAGATTGCGTTTTCTAGACTCATTATCAGCCGATAACAATCTATTGATCATCGTTGTGAATTCAACCACTTTGGCATCCTTTCTTGTATCATCTTTTTTGATCATCAAACGGTAAACTTGAAAGTCAGAACCACGAATCGTCACCTGCCGTGGCATTTGGAGGGAATGGAACACATTCACAGCGTCGTCAAACCCATTGAAAGTGATGCTTGAAGACTTGGGAAATGCTGATGAGCTCTTTTGAACATGCTTTACACTGGGTAATCGAATTTCCAAATTTGACCGAACAGGTATTACCAAAGAAGTGCACGGTTCATTCAAGCTAGTTATTCCAAAGTCGTCAGCCAAAGACATCTTTCGTGGTGATTTTTTCGAGATCTTGAAATTGGCAAGTTTTTTGAGAGTTTGAAACAACTGTTGAGCGCCAGAAAGTATTTTTGAAGCATCATTACCAGTGGAAACATAACTTTTGAGCACCAAGCTAACACGATCTCTTCTTGTCTTGTCATTCGAGTTCAAATGTGAAAGTACAAACCACAAGCTGTGACGAGGATACGTCTCAACAAGTCTAGCGATAATTTGATGAAGCAAATCTGCCGATGGCTGATGAGCGTGGCCAACACGGGACAATAATTGGGTTATGGCAGTATACCACACGTACGCTGGGATCTTGGTAATCACAGACCCTATGTCTTGAACAATTTGATTCAATGCTTTTTCTGAATCACCTGAACGTCTGGTAGTCTGAGCAAAGTCGAGCCATACGGTAATCAACTTTGGAAGTGCCTCAAAGATATACGTTGGACCCAAAGCTAGGGCTTTCAAAAAGTATCTCACAAGATGCTGCTCAAAGATTCCTGACAGATCATTCTGAGAATCCATGAGCTTGTTATAGTACTTTCCGAGATCGTAGTACGGTTTTTCCCAATTGGCATCGAGACGATAAGCCTTTGTGTATTCCGCAATGATGGCCGTGGAAGAACTATGGCTCGATTCATCCAACCATTCTGCATACTTGAGTTGTACCTTTGCTTTCAGAATTGACTTCCATATATTCTTGTCGGTCAAAACTTGCTCAATGGATTTGATAGCCTCAGTATGCTTTCCTTGGTCCCATAATAAGTCAGCGTACTCAATGGTTGCTCTTCCATCATTGAGTGCCATGGCTTTAACTATTGATTGGGTTGCAAGGTCGAATCTGTGATTCTTGCGGGCTAATTCTGACTTGAAGAGAAGATTATCAGCAACCTTTTGGTTTTCTTTTTTCACTTTGTGGGCCACCAGCTGCATTGAAACTATCGCCCACTGGGAATCAAACGCTTGGTCTGCATTCTTGAGCCTCACCTTCAAGATGTTATTAATGGTGGAACTATCTGACTCATGGTCGGGAAATATGATGCTGGACATATCATAAAGGTTATGCAAATGTGATAAGAGGGCAGCATTGCGGGAAGTTGACGAGGATACAGAGGAAAGTAATGATTTTCCAATGATATCGTAGAGCAAATCAATGCGAGCTTTTGAGAGTTCTTCATCCAGAAGGTCCACGATTGCATTGAGAGCTTGTGCAAATTGATATGTCATAGAGGTTCCAACATCATGAAATTTTCCAATTGAATCGGCAACATAAAGCCATTTTTTCAACTGATCAAAGCTGCCTGAAATGGTGGCAGCTGAAAGACCAGCCATTGACCAGTCGAAAGGAATGGCAGAAAGATCATGATGCTCGGTTCGCACTGCAAGAGTCGAAAGAACATCGTCGTACATAGCATGATTTGCTAAAGATTTGAGTAGTTTGGTTTGATTTTCAATCTTTTCGTCTTTGTCTCCCAACTCACTAAGTGCCTGGAAAGAACTCTGCACAAAGGTCCAGTTATCATTATACTGGAAAGTTGTAAGTTTCTCGTTGAGGTTATTCGTTGAGAACTTCCGAAGAATACCACTTAGAGCATCAAAGTCATTCAAGTTGGCGTACATGGACTGCAAAACGGGTACTATCTTGAGCTCGCCAATTTGGTTTTCAGAGTTTACTCGCCCATCTCGATAGCATTTTTCCAAGTAAAGAATCGTGCGCTCATAAGAGTTACACTCTGCTGATTTGATTGCAATGAGCTCCATTGGCACTCCATCCAAGAATGAGCTCACCAAATCTATTCGCTTTTTCATTCTGGAAGTTTCTGTCTTGCTAAGAGTATAGTCGTTCATATACTGAATTGCTGATGAAACCCAATCGTTGAAGTAGTCTAAAACTTCGAAGACAGATTGATAACAAAGCTTGATCTGGTCGCTTCTATCAGGTGATAATTCCGAGTTGTCCACGTTCAACAAATAGAGAAACTCAGTACGGATATCATTGATGACTTCCTCGTCTCCGTTGATTACATGACTCAAAACCACATATTTCAAAAGGTAGTCACAGATCGAAATATCATGATCACGAATCAACATCGAACATGTTTGAAATATTGTCAGACGAGAAGTACTGTTCGAACCACCATCTTTGAATATGCTTTTCACTGGTCGTTTCAAAAGCGTGGCTGTGACGTCGACAAGCCATTTTTCATGAGTTAAACCAATCTTGAAGTGAGGATACTTCAAAGGCTCATACCTCACGACAGGAGAAACATATTTTGATGACAAAAGCGGTGTCAAAGTCGACTTTGCTACGTCGCTGAACTTTTTCCAGACGTCAGTAAAAGGGTCTTGTGTCAGGGGGTTCAAAACAGAAGCATCTAACTTGAGTACTTCCAAAAACGTTTGCATGGAATAAGCAGAAAATAGTTGCTTGACTGGATCATTGGAAGCCCAAAAGACCTTGAGTACCTTGTTCTCAATAAAGTGACGTAGAAAAGCAGCATTCTCTCGGTAATCTTCAAAATCGTGGACAACAATTACCTGTGATTTGAACGTTTTAAGAGCAAAACGATTGGGATCAAGCGCACCAAAAAGCGATAATGCTTTAGCACATTTCTTGGAAATGTCACTACTGGAGCTTTTGAACTTCGAAGAGGTGTCCAAGAGCGTTCGAATCAAATTGGCCACGTAGGTTTGCATGGCATTGTCTTGAAAGTCTTCTGATTGACAATTGAGTTGATACTTGTCAATATAGATGTTCAAGTCATCCAATGCCTGGTGAACAACGTACTCATTGTGTGTTTGCAAACGACGAGCGAACTCCGACAAGTAATTTGTTCGTGATGTGGGCTTCATCAAGTTTCTGAAGGTGGAGTCCAATTTGAAGTATCTTTCCAAATCTTTAATAAATGGAATTGAAAAGTAGTAAAGCGAGTATTTTGTGTACTTGTCTCGAAGCTCAACAAATAGTTTTTTCAAGATCTGAACCGCAATAATTTTGGATCTGTGCTCAAAAATTGTAAACTTTTGAAATATGAGTGATATGAGTATATCAAACAAAGAAATGAGATGATCTGTCAGAAGCTTTTGAACCAACACATTCCAGCATCTCAACGCAGGTAATTCAAAGTCAGCATTTTCAAGCATAGCTTGCAAGCATGTGGATATTTGGCCAAGAGCAGACGCCGAAGCATTGATGTTGTTAGTTATGAGGAACTCTATGGCCCGAAGCGAGCTCATTCTCTCTAGAAATGGCTTGGTACCTTTGATATGATGAACGTTTTCCGAGAACCGCTGAACCAATTCTAATACGTGCTCACCTAAAAGATATTCAATGTGGTTAAAATTCTTTGCACGAGCCAAGTTTTGAGATTTGGTCTTGGTTAAGTTGGCTTTTGCAATATAGTGTAGAGCGTTTCGTATTTGCTTTTCGTTAGTAAAAATGCCCTTGTCGTTGATTCGAATATTGAGAAGAACAAACCAGGTGATTTCGCCTATACTTGAAACCAATTCAGCCATTGAAATCGATTTGAATTCAGGACTAGCATTAGCAAGAACATTCAAGATGTAAGACTCGTTTATCTCATCGTCCTTACATATGTAGGTTGCAACTATCCGTGGCAAATTGCGGGCAATCAATTTCCATCTGGTGGTTTCTGCTGCAACGGCGATATCTTGAATATAATCATGTTTGTAGTATTCAAGAAACCTTGGAGTAGTATATTCTTTGGTTCGATTCAAAAAGTACTTTTTGGAAATTCCACAAAGTTGAGTGATTCTTTCAAACATAGCAGGATGTTTAACAATCCGTTCTGCAACGCTGGGGAGAAATGGCGATAGAACTTTGTAAGGCGTGAGAGACTTTGCTGATGCAATCCCCAACATTTCGTGGTACACCATATTGACATGGTGATCATTAGATTCGCCAAATAGGTCGATAAGCTTGATAAATATAGCACAAAGCCATTCTCCTTCAGAAATAATGGCTAACTCGCCAAGAGCTCGAAACATGGACTCGGCCAAGTATGCATTTTTTTCGATGTCGATGGACACCAAGCCACTGAAAACTATTCGAAATGCAATTTCTAGATGGTCATCTTTAGGAGCTAGGAGAAACAAGGGCAACACCCTAGCAGCCAAAAGACGGCAATCACGATTATGGTTTCTCTGTAGACACTTGAGCACAAATTTGAATGAAGGTTCGTCAGCAATTGAAACGATGTCTGGTCTGTATGATGCCAAGATCTTGTAAAGGGCAAGAAGTACATTTGTACATAGGATAGGATCCTCTCTTATCTTTTGCTGGTATGTGCCAAACATGAACTCACAGAAAATGCTGTACAAGGTCGATATCTTGGGGTGTTCTCGTATCAAGGGACGAGAAATTGAGATGCTGGAATAATTAGTCTTGCTGAGAGAGCGGTGGTCGCAATCTTCGCAGCTTGAAGTCTTCAATTTGAGTCGACCACTCGAAAGGCACGAGTAGTTTCCCAATGCTGTGATTAATGTGTATAGCGTTAGTCGTGAACCAAAGTTATCCTTGAGAACAAAGCCTTTCAAAAACTGATTTACGTTTGAAATCCATACCAGAGGATCTTGAGCCGTACGGAATTCTGGTGAGTAGAATTGTAGCATGGTATCGAGGGAAGGGGACTGGGTACCGAGAAGCTCTGCTGCCAAAGTATCTAGTTCTGAGTCGTTGAATGGTGCAGGTTCCTTCATGATTTCGTCACCATTAGTTATGGCATATCTCTTTTGGATCACGGCGATGGAATTAGAGAGCAAATGAGGTAGTTTAAGCGGTCCGGAGTTGAACGATGCAAACGCTTTCATGAACGAGTGTTCGAGCTGGCGATCTATACAGATCAAAAAGACTTTGAACAAGCAGCAGCACCAGCTTCTTATGAACGTAGTGTACTCAATGGGTGGCAGAGACGAACTTTCATGGAATTGATCTCTGAATTCCGTTAGCCAGCTAACGACGAGTGCGATGTCTGCCCAGCCAGCTGTCTCTTCCACCACGATATTATTGGTGAGATTTGAGATGAGCACCGATTTCAACTCGTCCACCACCTTGATGTTATCGTTGTAATTGCAAAGAACGAACCACAATTTGCGAGCAAACGTCTCCAATTTTAACGGCATGCCAGCGATATTTGCAAGCAAGCGAATCAGAATATCTTTGTCGTTGATAATCAGAAACAAGTGGGTACATCGTACTAGCTGTGACTGGTAGTTATCCTTATCGTATGGCGTGGTGAGAGAAGAAAATAGTCCAGCTAAATCGTGTTCGATGGTGGAGATGAGGATGATCTGTAGTTTGCGTTTATACTGGAATCCATGAAGTTGGGTAGTGACCAAGTTGATAATGGTAATGATGAACAGTTTAATGCAGTTTATGGTTTGGTGGCTCGTTTCGTCGTGATTTGTGGAATAATTGAAGAGATGATGGATGCCAAATCGAAGACCCCATTCGTAGAATAAAGACAGTAAACCTGGGATTTCTATGGCCAATTCCGACTCTGGCGGTGATATGTGGGTGTTGAGCAAGTATTTCTTCTTGGAAAGCACCAATTCAATGGTATCGAAAGTTCTTTGGAGAAGTTGCAATTTGCCATTTCCATTGGCAATTTTGGCGATGAGTTTGTGGGCGAACCCGAAGAGGTATAAGGTTAGTTTTTTGAAATCGGTTCTGTCGTCGTTCTCAATGTTGGAATGGACATCGTCGAGAAACGAAACGAGATCCTGATCACTTATATCGGTGGCGGCCATGGCGCGTGAGCGCGGTGAGAAGTAAAGTGAGAAGTAAAGTGAGAAGTGAGAATAATGAGAGAAGAAAGAAAGAGAGAAAAGAATTAGTGAGAGAAAAGTAAGAAATAGCGATTAGGTAAGAGAGGAAATAGAGAGGAGCGAACCACTGTCATAGTGTAGATCAAGTGTACCAATAAAATTGAGTGCACAAATCATACCGTCTTCTACCGACTCTACACTCTTCCAACAACAATACATTATCACCATTAGATGTAAGTCGCTGTCTAGTCATCATCCCATGGTCCTATAATACATAATCAACTATAGTTGATCGGCCGCTTGAATAGTAAAATATGAGGCTCGGGAGCATGGGTCTCGTAGTGAGCCCATCCCAACGATTGAGTAATTCCCAAGCCTCGCCATTCGTCCTCGTGCAATATACGAAGGGTGCCTGTTTCCGGGTTGAAGTAGTCCTGAGGAATCGCCTTGAGCATATTTTTGGGTAACATTACGTGTCGATATTCGTTGATATCGTCGCTGTAACGAGGACTATAATGTATCATATCCTGGAACTCGAGTATTTTGGCTCGTTCACTGTCTGTGAGGTATCTGGGTTTGCTCATGGTAACGTCAAAAAATGGTAATTGTGGGGCAATAGCTACACGTACTCGCGTGTGTAAAGTCGTCTGCGATGAGCGCCGAATCTGCCGCTGCCTTGACGGGTGCACCGGTGCAATCATAAACCACCTTAAACTGAAAAATGATTTTTGGTTCATGGCATTAGGGGTGTTCACACGGCTGGCAGATGTAGAGAGTGCACGAAAGCGTGGGTTTGACTTTGTAGTATCTCCCGTAGAAGCTGTGGGTACCCAAAATGCTTCCAGGGTGATGGGAATGGTCGATACGACAACCATTGAATCCAGCGATCAATTCATAAATCATCTTGTAGAAATTGCAAACGCTTATTCTAAGCGTGTGAAGCATTTGGTGTTTTCCCCACCTCCCTGCTTGTTGGCGGACAAGTTTGGTTTGAAAAAAAAATTGCAATTGCTCGATTCTCGTACCACTTATACCTTCATCATTCCATTGATTGATGATGTATTTTACTGGGAATTCTGGAACTATGTACTCAATGGCACAGTATCTTGCGCCTTGTACTTTGTTGATGGCCAGAGAGTGTCCAGGTCAATGCTAGAGCGATATTCAACGCTTCCTGTTAGTTACCTTGAAATCGACACCCAAACTGTTCCTCCAGACGAATATATCGAGGTCTTTTCCATGCCATCACCACCTTCAATAGTTCTTACAAACGGAAGAACAGACCACGGACTCACACGATTGCTCCAGTGTGCAGAATATTGTGATAGCATCATAGATCCTCTTCAGCCTCTTCGTGATAATCTCGAACTAAGCGTATACGCTCAGTTTGAAAAAGACACCAAAAAGTATTCACAATACGAAAAGGCAATAAAGTTGGCACTCAAGTCAACTGCAAAGAGTGTGCTTGTTGCTGGACCCGGTAGAGGTCCTCTTCTTCAAATCGTAGTGGAAATGTCTTCAGCCAAAATCACAGGCGTAGAGAAAAACCCACAATGTATCGACATCTTAAAAGAAAGAAATGCTCATGAATGGCAGGATAGGGTTGAAATAGTACACAAGGATGCCCGGGAAGTATGTGGAAAATGGGACTTGGTTGTTTCGGAAATGTTGGGTTCATTTGGGTGCAACGAATTGAGTCCTGAGGTTCTCGATGGGTTCTCATCCACGGTGATCCCGCAATCATATACCAGTTATATTCGGCCCATCTACTCTCCCATGGTGCCGCTGCAGTACTATGTTCCTTTTTTGGCTCATTTTAGTGTCTTTTATTCCATCACAAATCCAATGCCTTGTTGGACCTTCAGACATCCCAACAACAATTCAATGCAAAAAAAAAGCCGTTCTCAAGTTTGTTGCAATGTATGAAGAGTATATCAATGCATTTGAAGGCACTTTCTCTGCGGTTCTATTTCAGAACGTAACCATATCCAACCAGCAAGAAACAAGTGATTATGTACCATCTTGGTTCCCAATGATCTTTCCAGTCGAGAAAACACGACTTGAAAAAAAGAAGGAGTATGTTGTTGAAATTGAACGAAAAACTTCCTCCGAAAACGTCTGGTATGAATGGAAATTCTTGGGAAAGAGGTATAACCAGAATGGACAGAGCCATTCGATCAAAAAGCACTAAATGGGTTCAATAATTCACCAGTGGTTTCAGAAGTCTTTGAGCCACTTCTGGTCGTTCATTCCTCTCTTTCCGACCCGGTTTATCAACCTTATCTCTCCTATGCAGCCGGTGACGTTTGTGATCATGGTGCGATCTCGAACCATGTCTGTCTTGTTTTAGTCGTTTGATTTCCTGGTCTTTTATCTTTAACAACGGGTCATCCGCAAGTCTAACGCTCTTATTCAGACCCGTTCCACCCACAATCCGCTCCATTCTGCTGACCACTTTTGTCTCTATAGCTTGCTTTCCACTTAACATGTCTTCAACCTGTTTCTTTCCATCCGTAAATTCTTCATTTACTTCACGAAACCCATCTACCGTGGTCTCTTTGGGTGCATCCTCGTACATCCAGTTCAAATTGCTGAGTTCCCGCTTCTTTTCCGTGGGTATATCATCTCCATATTGGAGCTTCAAGAGCGCTTGTTTTTCTCGTTCTGCACTAAGTTCCTTTTCCCGTTCTTTGATCTTTTGATGTTCTTGTAGAGCTTCTTGTTCTTGTTCCCAGAGCTTCTTCTGGTTCTTCATGAGCCCGGGGTGCCATGATTTTTTGAGATTTAGGTTTCCAGGCATTGTGAGTGAGTGAAGTGAGATTTGAGATTTGAGATTTGAGATGAGTGAGAAGTGAGATGAGAATGAGATGTGATTGAGGAAGAATGAGAATGAGATGAGAATGAAACTGAGGGGAGAATGAGATAGAAGAAGTGAGAGCAAGAAATGAAAACATAACAGTAATAAAGTAAAGTAGATAAATGATAAGCTTCATGGCATCGTCTTCTGATAAGAACTACCTTGACCATCTTCAATCTACACCCTCTATCTCTCCATACATTAAGTATATATCGGTTAGAAACCGTGAATTTTGATATTCTTCTTGGGCAACTGCAACTGAGTGGTCAAGAACTCACTCACCTTTGTTCTTTGATCTCCCTGCAATTGAATGACTTCTCCAAGATCGTCGTCCTTAACAATATTACCGTTACAGGCAAAATCCTTCTTTAAAACCTTCAAAATCTTCTTCAAATCATACTCCTGGGGCACACCTTGGACCGTGGTCAATGTCTTACGACCATTACGTTGTTGAATACGAATGTGAATGTAATTTGTTGGCTGAGCTTCCGAGTCACCAGTGTCAGCAAAAGGGTCTGGGGTTAGTATATCGTTTGGAAATTGGTCACAACAAACTAGCTACGTACCAAATGCGTTTAAGTTTTGGATAGTTGACATATAATAGGCAAAGTTTTGACTTTGGTTGTTTAGTATGTGATGGTCACTTGCAATCTTGATTTGCACCACGAAAAAGCTGCGGGGGTTACCCGGCGCCGCGCCCCACCCGCACCAATTTGCTGCGACTTTTGCCAAATCTTCGATTTAAGGATTAAGCAATGTTGCACCAATTTGGTGGCTTACACGTCGGTTGCAATTTGCCACTAGCAATACAACAATAGGCAACCTGAAACAAATTATTTTGAAAAAATTACAAAAATTTACTTTGCTATTCACTGCTCTCCATTGCTTACTCTTGCTTACCCCTTGCTCTCCATTTGCCTGCTCTTTGCTTATCCTGCTCTGTTTACCCCTGCTCATTTGCTCACCTTTGCCTCCTTTATGTCTTCCCCCAATTACACGTCTATCATATCTCATGTGACAGCAAGCACGTGAATGGCCCTCCCCTCAATAAATCGAGGCAATGACAAAATTTTATCATTGTCTATCCATGCCAAAGCAGTCCCTGGCTACAAAAGAGACTCCAACGGACCGAAAGGCACAGGGTGCCGAGTCGTCTCTGGAAAAAATCAATGGCCAGTCCATTGATTCGTCGAAACAAGTCTATAATGAACGGGAAAAGAAATGGCAGTCCTTCATAACTCTGGAACTGTTTGGGCGCTTATCATGCTCGTATTTTTCCTTACATGTTTGGTATCGGGTCACTTGCCGTTGATATTGATGATCGCTATGTTCCAGATCATGATCTTCCGCGAAATCATCGCCATGATCTCGGAACCGGCTCGTGATAAAAAATTGAAATGGAACAAATCATTAAACTGGTATTTTTTGGTTTGTACGGTTTATTATGTTGATTTCCAAAGTTTTTTTGAATTCTTTGAAGATTCCATTCTCCAGTATCGGGTATTATCTATTTTGGCAAGCAATCATCGGTTCATTTCTTATGGCTTGTACGTTGCTGGATTTGTGTTTTTCGTCTCCACATTGCAAAAGGGCTACTACAAATTCCAGTTTGCTCAGCTCTGTATCACACATACTACCCTTTTGTTGGTGGTGTTTCAATCACATTTGATTATCGACAACATGTTGAATGGTCTTTTCTGGTTCTTGCTTCCAGCTGGGCTCGTCATTGTCAACGATGTGTTTGCTTACATTTGTGGCATCACGTTTGGAAAAACTCAATTGATTGCAATTTCTCTCTAAAAAGACAGTCGAGGGCTTCGTTGGAGCTTGGGCTTGTACCAGCATTGCTGCCGTCATATTTGCCCATGTCATGTCAAATAGCTACTACCTTATTTGTCCCGCTGTGAACCTCCACACTACCGGTCTACAATTACCCCATCTGTGAGCCAAATCCCTGTGTTCATTTGCTCAATTCTACCCAATTCCTCCAGGACCTCGTGGACTGGGTTGGTACAGAAATTCCTCTCACTCAAACCAGTTTACTTCCACGCAATTGCTTGG